GGTTGCGAACGCTTGCAATACAAACAATGATATGATAGGATTTAATGAAGATGTTATGAGGTCATTGGTGGATGATGGTAGTGTGGAACATAAATGGGATAGCTATGACAACACACATTTCTTATGTGGTTTTCCAACAGAAGTGGACTTTTGCTTCCAACAAGGTCAAACATCTACTGCTCCAATAACATACAAATTGTCTGTTAAAGGACCTATTGAACTAGCAACTGAAAACGTACCAAAGCCACTTATTGGATTTATGAGGGATTGTTGCTTTGCCATTCAGGTGCGTGCTAATGGCATCCCCATAATAAGATTAGATGACTATAACTTAGCAACTGACGACAGTGAGGAATAAAGGATGAACATTTATTTTTAAAGCTTATAAATGAGTTCTTCATCAAGCTCTCGCGAACCTTCACCATCTATGAAACAAACTTTACCAAACGATTATGGAGCACCTATTGAATATTTCTTACGAGCTGCACAATGGCAAAGAGCAGTCTCACCAAGGTTAGGTGTTCCACCAGCTCCTGTCAAAAATAGCATTTGGTCAAGTCCTTATATAAGATATGGTCTCCCACTAGGTTTGCTAGCTACAGCAGGAGCAGTTATGATGTTGAAAAGAAATAAAGCAAATGTTGTAAATAATACTGAAGTAGCTGAAGTTAAACAAACTCCAACACCTTCGCCAAAACCAACGCCTTCACAAGCAAAACCTTCAATGACTCCTGAACCTATGAAAGTACAAACTCCTGTTCAAAAGTCAACTCCAAAACCGACTCCAACATTTAAACCAGAACCTACTCCTCAAATAAATCGTAAAACTCCTGCGTTTCCTTACTGAAAAAATAACGTTATTTTTATTTAATATTAAAATTTTTATTTGATTGAAATGACGACTAAAGTCACTGAAGCAATGAAACAAAAGTTTTTGGTAGAATACATTAAATCAGGAGCGGTTCCAGAAGGTTTTTACGTTCATACTATGAAGGATGGTAGAGTTCAGTTTAGAAAGATAAAGCAACCATTAGATAGAGAAGGTATATTAAGGAAGATTAAACTTCATGAGGACAACATTGCTGAACTTAAGAAGAAGTTAGAAGAGTTGGAGAAAGGAAGAGAGTTATAAAGTAATGAGAACGTTTATGTTATGAGAAATTTTTAACGTTAGTTTTATTTTTACTGAAAATTTTTATTTGGATGTAAATGACAGAACAAAAGCAACTCATTCGAATTCCACAGTATAACAAACATACATTTAAACATTTATTCTTCCTTCCTGAGCATAACATGTTCTTTCAAATACATCCGAGACCAGTTGACTTTTCATTGACTGTGTATAAAGATAGAAATAGTTATATCATTAAACCATACGATGACGAAGGTAAGTTATGTAAATTGTACGTTAAGAAGTTAGAGAAAGTTTATGGCTTCAAGTATGACTACAATAGGGTTAACACTGATGATGAAGATATTGAGGAAAATTTATGAGAACATTAGTGAAGTCGTTAGTGAGAACGATAGTGAGAACGTTTATTTTTACATTAGTGAGTTCGTTAGTGAAGTGGTTGGCGGCTTTATAAATATTTAAGATTAAATTAGTGTTGTCGTTTGTGTTGTAAAATATACGTTAACGGTTTTGTAAAGTGTCAAATTCACAAGTATTGGGTAAGGTGGAACGCAGTGCCACAGTACCCAAGACTTGTATACTAACTATTTCAATAAAAGCTAAAAATGAAAATGCAATCGCAAAAATAAAAGCTGAATTTTCATCCTCTTTTCTACCATGCAACATATACAACAGCTTGAAACTGAATTATTTTACTTCAAAACCAATAAATCTTAAACAACTACCAAAACTCAGAAATTATGGAATCCATAGTTTATTACTTGACAGAAACTCTGTAACGACCGAGATCTTTGAATACTCATACGTAGTGTTTACAGATTATGCTCATATTTATGGTTTTGCTGCTACATCTAATTCATACTTAGAAATCCTTGGTGAAACATCAATCACAGCCATTTATTTCAACACTTCAGGTACAATTTCACTTCATTCAGATAGTACTAATCCAGTTCCATGCAATTTTATAATTTATAATTTATACAGAATCCCATGCAATCAAATTATCACACTTGTAAGACATAGCTACAGTGTGGCTGATTCTTGGTTCACTCGACAATGTTATATTTTCGCATTTATAAATGGAACTGTTCGCCTAAGATCAAATAGAACTGATCTAGAATTATACAACACAATTGGATTTTATTATCTAAATCAACCTAGTTCAATAGACAAACCTTTTCTTTTACAATCTAATATACATGATTTCGGTGATTTCGAGTTTTATTCAGATGAAAAAAGATTTGAATCATATGCTATAATTAATGGCAGCCAATCAAGTAACAAAGCATATTACATCACAAACAAATCATATGCAGAATTAAATTCGATGATACCAGTTGAACCAACTTTTCCCAAGCATGACCCATCGCCCGGATTAATTATTAGAATCATTATTGGATGTTGTGTTCTTATTGCCATCATTATAATATCTGTTGTCTTTTACATGAGATCAAAGAAAAAGAAGGAAGGACCTCTTGAAATGCAATTAGAAGATACTAACAATTCTCCTAACTAGCAATTAACAAAGACAACAGGGTATAACCCACAACAAAATTAAAAAAAATTTTAATTTTTTAAAAATATATAGGGTGTCCAAAGGTGTGTTTAGCACAAACCTGAATACTGCGAATAGAAATAAACAAGTTACATATATATAAAGTTTATTTAAATATAATCACCATTGGATTCAATCACGCGTTCGCAGCGATCGATCCAGGCTTGAAAGACACGCTTTAAATCATCATGAGAAAATTGCTCAAATTGCTCTCTTACAAAATTTTCAAGATCATCTGGACTCGCGAATTCGCGTCCTTCAGCTCTCTTTTTTAGCGTGCCGAATAAATAAAAGTCAGAGGGTGCAATATCAGGTGAATAAATTGGGTTTGGAACAACTTTGACATTGTTTTCCACCAAGTAATTCATTACCTTATGACTTTTGTGAACTCTTGAATTATCAAAATGAATTGCAAACTTTTGTTTTTGTTGTTTGAATTTCTCAAACTCATCAGAATTGATAATTTGAGTAAGAACATTGTCAATTAGATACTGAGCATTCATCGTATTAGGTTTTTGAAGAATATCAATTGCGATGATGCCATTCACGCCCCAAAAAACCGACAACATAATCATTGGTGTGTCAATTTTTTTCTTCGGGAATGTTTGCGGATTTTCATCCTTCGGGATCCACATGATTTTGGCTTCTGTTGCATATTGAAACCAAGACTCGTCCCCTGTTACTAAAAAGCGAAACTTCTTGGATTGATACGCACGCAATATAGAGAGGAGCTCTTTCGAAGATTGGACTCTAGATTTTTTTTGAACTGAATTAAGGTTGTGCGGAACCCAACGTGTATACGCTAGTTTGTAGTTCAAATAATTGTGCAGATAATAACTGACTGTTGTACGTGGTATCTTTGTCATCTCCTCTATCCTTCTGAGTGATGCTCTTGGGTCTTCATCTAGCGCTTGAAGAATTGCTTTGATTTTTCTTTGATCCGGCGATTTTTTGTCAATTTTTATGATGGGCGCCTTTTTGTTCATGAAGTGATACATCCTAACATGATACGTTACAGTGGAATAGCTAGGAGCATCCATACCGAAGCATTTTACCAATGTCTCGTAGATTTTTTACAGTCTTTGCATTTTTTTGCAAGAGCGAGGATGTTTTCTTTATGATTCATTAAAAAAATGAAAAAAATCCCGCCAAAATTTCCCGCGAAACCGCCTCTTGTCTCAAAATTCATTTTATATCCCGGCATGGCGCCAAAATACAACTTACTCATCATATACATATATTCATATTTTTTATTATATATTTATAATCAGCATATATCTCCTTTAATAGTCTCATATAGAGCGCTGTGCTAAACGCACCTTTGGACACCCTATATTTTTCCTCACAAATCTCTCAAAAAATTGTGAATTAAAATAATTCACCATCCTTCCACAGACATAAGAAAATATACAATAGCATAATGATCGATTGTTAGTGATATACCATCAGAAGAAAATTTCAGAATTGCTCTAAGAATGCCTTCACTCTTTCTAGGTTAAGAAAAGATTCATATTTAACTTAACTTGAGACCTAGGAGAAAAATATCATTATGAACATCGAATTTTATCAGAACTTATCCCACTACATTGAACTTTTCATTATTTCATTAATATCAAACTATTAATTTGCAATTAACAAAATATTTTTATTTTAATTTTGACAGAACACATATTAAAACATATTTACTCTTGTGTTTGGGAAGCTTATTAGCACTTAATTTTTAATAAGGAAATGAAGTTTGTACTATTTGATTTTTAAAAGTATAATTTTTGTAACAAGACTTTAACATGGATGATTAATCTGGACATATATTGGAAATACAATAAAGTGTACTGACATTTATTATATATTGCCTCAGTAATAATTCAATTTATAATTTGAAAGTAGTAATTTAGAAATATAGCAGTCTAAATGGTAATGAATGCCTTGGGTATTTTATATACGATTCAAGATTCATAAATCTGAACTTTTTTAAATTATGATTGATTGGAAGTAAAAGAAAAAGGAAAAAATGGGGCGAGCCGGGAATTGAACCCGGGACCTCCTGTACCCAAAACAGGAATCATACCACTAGACTACTCACCCTAACACACTAATTTAAATTTTAGTTGAAATTTAATAATAATCAAAAATTTTGGATAATAAAAAGATTATGATTGTTCTTTTCTTTAATATTTGATTGAAATAACTCATTCTGTCCATGAATTTCTATAGCCACAAGCTATTCTGCTTTAATATATAAATGATTTTTCAAATTTGCATGAAATTATTAAATTTTCCACATCCAAAATGATAAAAAAAGATAAGAATTTATTAAACCTTTCCGAAAGATCTACGGAACTGGAATAATCTCTTTTCTTCTTCTTCAAGGAGTTTGCGTTGAGCATTGACCTGTTGTTGCATATTTAATCTGAGAATCATTGGATTTGTTGTCTTCTTTGGTTCATGTTTATCTTTCTCATCAAGTTTCATGTTGATGTATTTATCAACTACTTTGATAAGTTTATCAGTTGTATCTCTTACTGTTTTAACTTGCATCTTCAGTTCTAAATCAGAACCTTTAACACCCATAACAGCTACAAGAGAAGCAATTGCACCATTGATAATCTTTGCTGCTGCAATGATTTTGTATTCGATTTCATCATCCTTTCCGCTGATTAACAAATCAGCTACGAACATCAGCAACTTTGCAGATTCAGAGATTTCTGTTGCTGATTTAATGTAACCTTTTTCGTTATCAACTTTACCTTGTTTAGCAATAGTTTTAGAAGTGATTTCCTTTGATCTTGTAACAATAATTGATGCAGCTTTGAGAATGATTTTTGCGCAAGAAACAACGAACGCAATGAGCCAATCAGGGTTATTGATATCTTTCTCAGTAGGAGCGTTAATCTTCATTACATCTTGGTTCTTTCCTCCCAAAGCGTTTGTATTGACTTTGTCTTCAATAGTACTCATTTGTGCCATCAAAGCATCGACTTCTCTTGCTGTTGCAACTAATTGTCTTGTTACATCATCTAATCCTTCATCTCCATTCGATGCAACAATTCTTGATGCTTCATCAGCAAGTTTCATTACTCTCAACATTGAAGAAATCAATGAATCGCATGAATCTTTAAGTTCTTCATCGTATCCAGGAACTCTCAACAATCTTGATCTGATGGCATTTTGTACATTTGTTACGTTACTTCCCCATCCGTACAAAGCGGCTTGTGTTGCAACTCTGATTCTCTGATCAGGAGTTGCTGCTGTCATTCCTACACCCGCATCACCGAACTTGTCGGCAACTTTCCTGAAGGCAAGAACAGCATTAACGAGCTCTTCATTTGTGACTTTTGGAACATCAATGGCTTTTCTGAATTTGGCAACTTCTGCAACCAATGATGTATTTGCTTTCTGCAAATCGTTCCATGCCTTGTTCAAAGAAGGAGCTTTTTCAGGAGCTGCTGGTAATATGTAGTCTTCTGGAAGTTTCATGGCGTTCTGGGCATCAGGAGCTTGAGTTGTTTGGTCGGTCAAATCTGATGCGTTTTTGATGTATTTCTTCATATCAACTAAAGCTGTTGAAAGCTTATCAGAAATGGCATCAATTGGATAACTCGAGTCACCACATTTGAGACCAGGTAATGCCTTACAAGCAGCATTATTGCTTTTCTCAAATGTTTCCATGGATGATGTAAATTCGGCGGTTTTGCCAACGGCTTTTTGTTTCAAATTTTGACCGTTTCTTGTAGCATTTGGCAAATCATTACCAAATCTGTATTGGAAGTCATTGCATCCATCTGTGAACATCGCAGGGACAATACTAGAAGCAGAGAGTTCTACGGCGTACGCTAGATCGCAAGCAACTTTGTTTGCAGCGTTGTAAAGTTTGTATTGATTTGCAATGAAGTTTGTTGCTGGACCACGTTCATTGTAGTTTGGCTTTTCAACGACATTCAACAAATTGTCGAAGAGTTTGATCATGCTCTTAGCAGCTTCTGTCATCTTTGCCTCGTTTCCTTTCTTCTCTTTTCTGTTTTTGACGCAATCAGATCCGAAACTCAATATTTGGTCTTGTAATTGCGTATAATTATCCAAGAGTTCCTTTGTTGCTTCACTTTCTTGGATTCCTCTTAAAACAAGAGATTGGTTTCCAAGAACACATGAATCAGCAACACATAACATACAGTTATTCAATGCGTTGTAAAGATTCTCAAATGTTCCTTTGTCGACAACAGTTTTGATTGCTTTTTGTATTTCCTCTTTAAACATGTCAAATTTGTCATATGTCAAATCAATCAATGCATCGAGATCTCTTATTCTATCGACAGATTTGTACAATAGAGGAACCAAAACATTCAACCTGTCTGCAAAGTATTTGATGGCACTGTCAATTTCGTCTTTCTTCGGAGAACCAGCGACAATTGTATCAACGAAATTCTTCGTCATCAACGGGTTCGGATTAGGATACAAAGCATAGAAAGCTTCTAAATTCTTCAATGCTTCCAAAACAGAAACCAAATCATCTGTTGACGCTGATTTTCCTTTGGTTCTGAGTTTATGGAATGCTTTGATGATTCCACGGACATCAGCTGTTGTGTACTGATCGACGTCTTTGAGTTTGAGCTTCGACAACTCTGGAAATGCTCTCACTTGTGTTGCTGTCGCGATCATTCCCATGATCTTCTGCATGTTGTTTGGATCGTCCATGTATTGAACTCCTTGTTCGAGAATCTGCTTGTGGAGAGAGTTCATGACAGGTGCAATGTTGCGGCCAAACATGTTCTCGTTCATGGCAAGAGAAACAGATAATTGGTTCATCGCTGGAACAAAGTTTTTCATGTCACTTTTTCCATTATTATAAATTTTAACACAAGTGTTGATGAAACCGTTGAGGCCTTTATCGAGATCGCCATCTGGCTTCTTTGCGAGGTCGTACCAGTTCTGGATTGCACTCTTTGTGTCGGAATTCGTGCCTTTTGCGATGGCTCTGACCAAATCTGGAGCAAAGTTCCTGAGCATGGCGTTTGGAAGGGATTTAGCTTGTTCTTCTGCAACTTTCATGTCTTTGATGGTCTGCGGCATCTTGTAGAAGATCATTGGCTGTGGTTGGGAAATCGCAAGATTATACATATCAGAATTCGTCTTAATTATGGACTGTATGTATGTAGGAAGATGCTGTGCTTCAGGTGGGTTCTTCTGCAGACAGATATTCGTGGCGATTGTGTTGAATACGTCAATAGATGATCTGAGAGGGGCAGAATATTGGACAAGGAAGGCTCCATTGGTTCCTGACGTTGCAACCATTGCATCATTCATCAGCATGAAAGTGAAACTTGATGCAAAGTAGAATAAAATTGTTGAATCGTTGTTTGCAGCGTTAAATTCGTTATTCTTGGCCAACAAAAGGGATCTTGATATATGGGAAAGAAGAGCAGCTGTAAAAACGGCTTTGTCTTCGAAATTGACCAAAGATGGGAGACATTGAGCTGGAGCAGGAAGAGGAGCAGCGATTTTGACTAAGCTCTGAGCAGCAACATGCAAGAGTTGGTAGTATGGATGGCCAATCATTCCTTGTACCACTTTCAAGAAATCATTTCCTCCTTCAGAGATATCTTGAAGCTGAGCGATGAGTTTTGACACTTCAAGAAGGTCGAATGTGAAATTCTGAGGTGTATTTGAGAGAATTGAAGCGATCGAATTTACCAATGCTTGAACACGAACGAGTTGGAGGTCCTGCTCTTGGCTTTTACCAAGCAATAAGGAAAGAGAATAATTAAGAATGTCGTGGACCGATTCCGCTCTGTTGTGAACGATTGTAACAACAGATGTGTAATAAAGATGGAGCCAGAGGCCAAAACGAGTACTAAGTGGCTGGAATTTCTTCAAAATTGCAGTCATTTGGGATTGTACCTCTGTATCATCGATCAAAGAAATTAATTTCATGAGGGAAGTTGGAATTCCTGCGATCATATCGAATATGGACTGCTGTAAAAGAACAAACCCATCTGAGTCGATGTTATACGTTGAATTCTTCTTGATTGCGGTCATGAAATAATTTACTTCAGCAAGTGGCTTCTCTGGGAAGATTTCGAGATGTGCTTCGATGATATCGATTAATTGCTGGTTGAGGTCACGTCCTTCCTTATGGAATTGGCGTGTAATAATTGCAATTTTCTGGCTGAGGGCAATAAGTAAATCTTCGCTAAGTCTGGCATCAGGATACTGTGCACTGATAAATCTGCAAACAGAAAGTATTGTAAAAGCGGCTAATTCTGTAGTTTGTGAGCAATTATCGAGCATTTTAACCAAAGACTGGTAAGCAGCAAGTGTAGATTGATTGACATAAACGTTATTGCCGATAATGTATTTTTCTTGATACATTTGGAGTAAAATTTTCGCAATCATAATACTTTGTTCGAAAGATTTTTTGTTGAGGTAAGCAGCCGTTGCATTTTTCATGAGATCCATTAATGACTTAACCTCTAACTTGCAGATGAGATCATTCGTCGTTTGGATGGCTGTAATGAGAGAAATTGTTGTTCTCGAGAATTCGTAGCAGAGACCGATGATTGGCTGAAGCTGGGATAATATCGTACAAAATACTTGGAATTTCGTAGAAATAGAGACGGTATCGAGTAAAAATTGAGTAGATTCGAGTCTGCAAGATTGGAAGATCTTATCGGCATACGCTCTGACATTTGCTATCATATTCTGAATGACGGACATAGCGTCTTTTGACTTAAGAACGTTAGGAAGGCTCATTAAGCAGCAAATGTCGACGTAAAATAATTCATAGCTAATTAAAACGGATGCAATGTTATTAATAAGCTGCTGTTGGCTGCTTGGGCATGGCGGAAGCTTTGCTTGAATAGCAGACTCGTATTTGAAACAATTAGCGATGATTTGGTCAACGTATCCAATTGATGTTGTAAATGTTTTCGTAGCAGAATCAATGTTGCTTGCCATTGATGCTGCTTTTGCTTCACCGAAATCAATCATCATTTTCTTTACTGGAGTTATAGCGTCAATAATGTTTTTAATGTGGGCGCCATTTTTAAGAGATTGCGGGTAGAATTGATCAACGTAATCAATCGACTGTTTCAGAGCAGTTGCTAAATTAAAAACTTTACTATAGGAAATTGGAATTTGAGGCTGTGGTCCTTCTGCACAATATGGAAGTCTTGTAATAATATCTTGCATGTATGGTCTTATAGAGATGATTTGAAAATAAATTTTAGTTGATGCGTAACCTAATTGATTTAGTCTCATATATGCTTTACCATCTGCAACTAAATCTTCGGTTTTTCGTACTTTATACTTAGAAATTGTACTAGCGAAGGCTGGAAAGGGTGCCTTATTCATTAACGTTCGCCAGTATTTTGAAGCAAATTCTACGATTAAATTTTATTCAAAAATTGGAAATTCATTACTGACATCATTGGTCATTTTTACACACATTCAGTATAACAGTGTTTTGCTTGTGGTTGAAATCAGAGCGTTTATTTATTTTTACGAAAAGACATTCAATATTAAAGAAAAAATTGAATATTTTCGGCATAAATAATAAATAGGAATTCGAATTCCTGATCAGATATTATTAGCTTAACTAAAAGAGAGCCTTAAAACAGCGAGCTAAGAACATGGAATTTCTTATTAATAAGCATCAATCAAGTTTATAGATATGAAAGCTTAAATAGTAGAGATTTATAAGGCTTTGACAGAACATATTTTCTATTTTCTTCAAATGCAACACTAACCAAGTCAAGCACACAGCTTTTGGGATCATATTGAATACATTTATGATTATTTATAAAGAATGATTCCACACACTTATCGCACATTTCAATATATCAGTCACATGTTAAATTTAATCTCATTTGTTTGGAAATTCCCCTCAATCTGAAAATATAAAATGTTACCAAAATGGAAATCTATTACTAATATTTTGAATTCCATAATATTTCATAGTTTCCGATCAATCCATTGCATTCCCATCACTCAAGGCACCAGTTAAAATTTCAATGATTCAATTCATAAAAATCTGACACAATGATTTATTTTTAGGCAATTATTCATATACACAATATTTCTAATCGATTTTAATTTCTGAAAAAATTGCGGATATAAACAAAATGATGTTTTTTCGCAGATTCTGAGAAATTCCAAGTAAAAATGAGTCTATAGTCAATAACAAATAAATAAGATTCAAAATCTCGTTCATCGGATATAAAATCTTTCTTGATTTTGAATTTTTTTTTATTTTCAATTCTCAAAATAAATGGAAGTTGCCCGCCCTACAATTAAACCAGTCGCACAAGGCAATCGTCCACGATTCCAGGCAACAACACCAAGACCCCAAATAAACCGGAGCAATACAACTCGTCCAATTAGCAGGTCTCCTCCTCCATTTGAGGCTCCAGCAGCAATAGGATCATTTAAACAATCAGCTGAAGTCTTTGCTCAACAGTTATCTCTTTCTCCTTCTTCAAACACAGCGTTACTTTCAAGAGGAATTGGATTATTGTCAATTACACAATTACGTGACCTTCTACGTGACTACTCGTTACCAACTGGAGGAAACAAGCAAGTCCTTGTTAACAGATTAATTATTTTCCTTGAAACAATTGGTCAAAGTCAACAAAATATCCTTACAGCTTTTTCTGCTAAGCTTAAACAGCTACTTTCTATCAATACAGATGAAGCTAATTCTTCACCTCATAGTGATGCTGATTCTCCGTTATCAAATCCAACAGTTACTCAAAATATCCCGTTGGAACAAGTTCAACAGCTTTTTGCTGGATCTCCATCTCCATTATATGAACCAACAGATCTTCCAATGGCTTTTGGCCCTGTTTCTATGCAGCCGAATACAAATCAAGTTTATAATATAAATTTAACTCAGCAAGATAAGAATGCAATACCATTACTTCAACTTGCATCGAGTTTTAACCAAGTTGTAATATCTAAAATTGTCGTACAGATCAATGGAACATTTATAAATCTACGTGGACCGAATTTCCACACGAGTCTTAAAGATTACGTCGATAAACAAATTACCATCCAAATTGCATCCATTGATCCTGCATCCCAGGTCATAGGAATCGTCAGATGGATGAAACAAGTTCCAATCAACATAATGATTCATCAAATTTCGATGAAAGAGCCTCTAAAGAAACAGCCATTACAAGGAAACCAGATACCTTCTGGTGTATGCCCTCTAACAAGAAAGATCATCATCAGACCAGGAAGAGGAGTAAATTGTCAACACGGAGAGTGCTTCGACATATCTGGTTTCATCTGCAACGCTATGAAAAACAATTCCTGGCAATGCCCAATTTGTAGGAAGCTCCTTCCTATCGAAGATCTCAGAATCGACCCTTATTACTTCGCATACGCTAGCGGAGTATTTTGAAATTTAGAATAAAATGTTTTTTATTTGTCTGAAATTCAATCTTTTACATAAATTCCATTATGATAATTTTCAAGGGTTCACTTATATCTCAAATGACATGGCTATCAATCCTAAAATGTTTTGCCTCAGTTCTCAGCTGGGAGCAAATGAACCTTTAACTATGCGTTTTTCATTTAAGTCTATCAACACAGCATATCAATTTAGATTAGATCATGCCAATTAAATTTCATTAGAAACCTGTTCTAAAACTATATATGATTTGACTTGGTAGCTAACATTCCGGAATTGAATTCTCAACCAATATCACGAGAGACTTCTTAATACTGATCACTTCAAATTACAAATTCATTAAAAAGAGATGTCCAACATTTGGGTTGAAGAAATTTAATCATAGAGTTCCCGAAAAAAAATGTAGACGATGAAAAAAGTTGTATTCATCTGATGTTTTAAGGGTGCATTTACCACTTTCTGACATTCTCTCAAATTTCTTGTTTAAGGTTTTATTTTCTATGCCTCTTCACACCCGTATATCTCTTTTTGAGAGAGTGTCAGAAAGTGGTAAGTGCACCCTTAATGTATTCTTTACACTAAAAGAAGAAAAAAGATTTCGAAAATTTAAATAATTTTAATTTTTTAAAATCTTAGAATCTAAAACTATTAGGTTGTATATATAACTAATAAAAAACAAGAATAATATATATGTATAAAATATAATCTTAAACAATGTTAGAATAAGGAATGAATCTGATTGATTCATTTGTAATCACAATGAAAGTGGCTGTTGCGTAGTTGTAAGTCACCAATTCAATGTGTTCTCTTATCTGCAAGAAGTTGATTGCATTTTCTGGGTGGAAAACTTCGAAATAACCAACTTTGTTGTCATTTGTTACGAAAGCAATAAAATCTGCTCCCAAACAATCGAAAGAAAACAGATTCACGATTTCCTTGTTGTGTGTGAACTCTCTTATTATCTCTCCATTTACTGACATGACAATGAACTTCGTTGCCGTCGAACAAACAATGAAACCATAGTTGTTTGTGATCACGATATGTTCTGCTTCTTCAACAATATGAGTTTTGTTGACGAAATTCGATTTCGACATCGAAAGGGAGTGAACACAAACATGGCCATCGATTGTTCCATAAGCGAAGATCTTGTATTTGTTGGATGACGCCAATGATGACAAACGACATGGAGAATGTGTCAAAACAGTTGGTTTTGGTTTGGATTCGTCCAAAATCGAAATTGTGCAAAAATCTGGGCAGAACAAAAATGAATTTTCGTAATACGAAATCATATTTGTTTCGCAGTACAAAACGTAACTTCCTTGTACTTTGTTTTCCCTGTTATAAACAACTGCTTGTCGTTTTTCAGGTGTGTACAAAACTAAACTTTTTTCTGTGGCAGAAAAACTCGAATTTGGAGTTATTTCCATTGTTTCAACAGAACTTGTGCTGATGACTTTGAAATCATCAGAAAGAAGACAATTAATTGTCGTCAAAGTATTATTTGACAAGAAAAATGATAGGACGATAGAATTTTCAGCGGTTTCTGTCAAATTACAACTTGTAAACAAAATTTTGTTCTTTGAACTTGTATTTAATTGTCTCTTGTAGTTTTTCGTTATCATTTTGAGGACATTTTGTCTTTGCGGGTGCAATTTGGAGAAAACTTGTTTATGTTTCGAGTTTCTTTTACTCATTTCCTTTCCGAAATTCTGGTCAATCCATTTCGGAATTAATTTGGAAGTTCCATGACTTTCCAACAATTTTCTTATGTGAGAAATGAAATCATATCTGTCTTTGCACCAATTTGGAAGATTTCCTGGTAATGTAGGATCGAAATATACTCTGGCATTAACATTCTTCATTTTAGAAATGGATTCAATCGAAAGATCATTTGAAATTTCGACGGTTTTTGTAAAGTCATAAACGCAACCAAAAATTTTGAAATCTGACAAAATCGGAGGGAAAATCGGTTGCATTTCAGGAGTGTTGTTAAATGTTCTTCCACTGAAAATGTTGATAAGCATCAAGTAATCAAATGTGCTCAAATTGGAGATCTCCCATAAATTGGTCAAATTCAAACCGCTGAATAAATCTTTTTGTTTGAAAGAAACCGTCATAAATTTGAGATTATTCATCAAATTCTTTGGAAGATTCTTAATAACAGTTTGAGAATCAATGGAAATAAAATCAAATAAATAGGATTTTCCATCAACAGTATATATCTCTAAATTGGTCACTTCACCTTTGACATTTTGCCTGGCAAAAACATAAGTAATTCTATTGAATTTAATTTCTTTGTAAGAATACGAATAAACGACCAAAATTTTGTCCTTACAAATATGGAATTCCGATTGCAAAATCTTTATACCTTTGATTAAAAACACTTTGTAAGTCAAAAGTTGGTCATTAATTTGTGGAACAGTCTTGAATTTCTTCTCTGTTGTTCTCTTCTTCTTCAACTGACAGAAATTATATGAATAAGTTTTGTCTTTAACAAGAACTGTCATAGAAGTAATCATGTTACAAAAATCTTTCAAAGAATTCTCAAATTCATTAACAATTATATTATTTCCATCATTCTTGTAGTCTTCGAAATGATTAATTGTCATCTCTTCAACAAACTTATTCTGTGAATTCAACATCGAATTCATAGACGCAAATGCCTTTTTCAATGAATTTTTGTATTTTCTCTCAAAAGCTGACAAATTTTTATCGAAAAATTCAACAGAAGAATTCAATAACTGGTTTCTTTGGTCACTAGGAATAAGATTATTCTGTTTCGTTATTCCTATCATGTAATTAAAGAACAAAATATCTCCTGAGTTGAGTTCAAAAGAATTATGAGCATTAACCATTTCATCAAGAAAATTCGATTGAACAAAATTATGTTTGTCAGTCTTGCATTCGTAAAACAACTTAACACCATCAATGTCGTAATTAGATAATGCTAAAACATCACCAATATTCTTAAGTGAACTGATTTGAATTGGCACTTTTTGAAGTGATTCAAATTTTTCTTTTCCAAAAGGAGAACTCAAATACATTTCTACTAAATTATTTGAGTGCGATTGCATGGATGAATGGAAGAAAAATGATGCAAAGATTGATAAAATAACATATGAAGTAACATCCGGTTTTGACATAATTGTATAAGCGGCGGTTTTTGTAAACAAAATCAAAACTTCTTTGTTACAATTAATTAAAGAATCATCAATGAATTTAATGAACGAATACACGTTGAAATACAAAGTAGCGTTGTCTTTTTGGGATTCAATTACTTGGCAAATGAAAAGAATGATGAAATTCATGTATTCTTTTGGAATATTGTAACATAAAACAACTGGCCAAAGGAACCAATCAGGACACAAATATAGATTAGGAGATTTGATTGTTTGACCAATTTTTGTTGCCAAATTTTCCATTTCGTTTAATTCTATTGATAAAATTATCAAAAGATTATATAAATTCGGATATTTCTGGAGATTATTCACGAAAAATTCGAAAACTTGTGGTTTAAGATCTCTATTTATGTTCTCTGAGATCTGTTGTGAATATTCAATCATGTTCTGATAGGATATCGAATGTAAACAAATAATGGCAGATTTGACAATTTCCAAATTGTCACTTTTTACAAATTCTTCCAAAATTGCGTTATATTTATGAGAAACCATTTTTGTTTGAAGGATTGGCTTCGTTATATTGTGTATTATATCGAGCATTATCAATGAAGTTGTTCTTGTCTTTGATGTTGCCAATAAACTGAACAAGTTTCGGAAATCAGATGAAGTAAAATTGATAAAAGCCGTTCTTTTCATAATTTTTACAAAAATGTCTCTTATTGCCAAGACATTTTTAACTGTGTAACCTTTAGTGAAGTATTTCATTATATTGATGGAATGCTCGTAGTTTATATCTTCTATTTTCTCAATGTTTTCATCTTCTTTGTCAAAACACAAAATCATTTTATATTGTGATAATAAAACAGAGAAAAATGATTTTTGTTTGACCAAATCAGTCAAATTCGGTAAAAGAATCGAATGCCAGTGCTGCAAAATAAAGAATAAGTCATTGTAGTTCTCACAATTGACCCACAACCAAAAATTGAATACAAGTTTTGTAAACCATTGAAAATGTAACGCTTCGTATTGAATTGATTCGAAAACGTGGTACAAAGCCAAGTAAAGTTCGGAGTTCAGTATCATCGGATGCTGCGAAAGATTGGTGGTCATAGTCAAAAGTGAAGTGAAACCAATTTGACTTTTTAGGGATCTTTTGAAGATTGATTTTATCAATCCCAAAATCAAAGGAGGATATTCGTTGTTGAAAAACTGTTCTTGTCTGAAGAACCCGGCCAATATATTGCCATAATCACCATCAACCATGTTATCTAATAAATGTAATGATGGCGTTTTACAATCACTGACATTTATCGTCAAATTTTCAATGTAATTTGAAAAAAGTGACGAATTTACAGCGATTCTTTTTCTTGGTGTTGTAAAAGTCGACTTGAGACCAGGTGTTGGAATGGAAGACGTTGAAAACAAAGGAACTTTCGTGAAACTCCACGGCTGTGAATACAAAACATTTATATCGGATTGAGTCAACAATTCCGTGTAAAGATTCAAGTCTCCGAACTCTCCCATTTGAATATCATCCCATTGCGAGTTTTCCATCGGTTCATTCAATCCGCCAACAACAAATTCTAACTTGGTCGGATTAAAAGTGAACTCACAAAGGTCTGAATCATTCAAACTTTGGTTGTTTTCGAATGTACTTAGTTTGACCATTTGACCATCCATACGAACAATGATTGTATACAAGGTCCACTGTTGAGATGGAACGTTTTTGGCCAAGATTACGGATGTTCTTGTACAATCTGCTTCGTATTTCATGAAAATATGGCCAGCAGAGAGGAAACAACGAAGGAGATTGTAGTCATCGTCTGTAATAGTGAATAAGGAGATGCTGGCGTTGGATGCTGTCATAGGTGTTGCATCAATATTCAATCTTAAGGAAATTGTGAAGCCTTTGTTGAGATCTTCGCCAAATATGCCTTGTACAGAGAACTGTGGATCAGGGGAAGTGTTCATTGAGAAGGTTTTTGTGGGAGTAATTGCACATTTTCCTAAAAGTATGTCTAAATAGTTGCAAAAATCAAAGGAATGCTGGTCAACGTCTGTAGAAATATAATTGGCCATGATGGTTGAGATAGCAGTTGATGATTTTGAAACTGCCATCGAAGTTATTAATGGCAAGACGTATTTCTCGATATCGCTATGCTCAAGTGATATAGAAATATCTACATTTCGGTATTTGAAGGTCGCCTTGTCTTTCTTTTGTGAGATGTAGGTCATCAATATCCAATCCAGGTCTCCATCGTGGAATTGACGGCAGTTGAAGGCCGTGTAGTCGCATAACTGCTTGAATGTCTTAAGAATATCGACGAATCTGGACGATTGACCGAAAACTGCAATAATTAATGGAATAACTGAAGGTTCTTTGATGTAAAACCTTGTTAAAGTGGTCATTGCGCAATATCCACTTAACAAAGACATCAATAACAATTCAATTCTTGTTGAAGGCTCTTCTTTGTCAACTAATTTGATAACTTTGACTAATCTAGCGAACAAACTGCGATTTAAGTAGAATTTATCAACAGTTCGTTCAATGGCTGATAACAATTTGATGGTATTTTCAAGAATAAGTCTATCCGGACGTACTTCCAAAATATCCAACAATAATTTCAGAATTGGCCTGAAAGAAATGGACAACCAAGGCTGTTCTCCGAAGCAATCGGCCATTGTCGTGATGACTACCTGTAAATAATGCAAATAAACGTCACTTTTTGCCTCATTTACACAAAATTGAATTGTTTTATAGTACCAATCGATTAAAGGGTTCAATTGGTTTGCGTCATATGATGAATCGAAGTTTGTGAGTGCGTCTCTGACCGCGAAAAAGATTGTTTCAGTCAAATCTGTTTCTAATGACAAAGACATGAACAAAGAAACGAAATTCTCGCATGTAAAGCATTTCCATGCCAAGTCTATATTCTTAAACAGCCTAAAAACAAATGTAAACAAAGCAGATCTCGGTTGATATAAAAATTCATATTTTGTTTGACATAAATTAACGAGATTCTGGCCAAGAACCTTCAGCATTTTCGGGAAAACGAATTTATGAGCATCAATGGTCTCTATATTCATAACTCGAACTAAAACTTCGGCTAATAAAATTGGAGTGTTTTCTGTCATCTCTACAACGTCAGGGAGCTCTTCAACATCATTCTCTATGACAAAATCAATGAACGCTCTACGTAATCCGTTGATAAAAGGATGTAAATCCGAATTTCCGAAAATTGTCATCGTTGGAGACATAACAAATGAACTCATGATGGTGGGAATGAGGGGTTTGATCAAGTTAAGGTTGGCTGCTTTCCTAAATATTAAGAAAAACACACCGTAAATCGAAATTGAAATATTTGGATCTTGTGAAGTGCAAACTTTATGAATTAAGGCTTGTAAAACGATTTCTATGGCATTATAACTTGCCTGCTGTAATGATTCGCCAATATCTATCGCAATATTAAAGACTTTTTTCGGAATATATTCTTTGAAAACATTTGAAGGGCTTTGGACCTTTGAAAATGGCGGTTCCTCGAAGAATGGGTTGATATCGTTCTTCTCAACGATTGAAGTGTATGGCTGAAGCTTTTCTGTGTTTATTATCGAAGTATTTGCGCAATTTGAAGTAAATAAAGGTTGTGTGTTACAAGAAATAACACGATCGTATATGCATTCCGGTAAAATGTAGATTTCGTTAAGAATGTTTCGAAAATTATATAATTTTGATAATCTGCATAAAATTCTAACGCACGTAGAGTCTAATTTAGTTGTAAACTTATGTAAATACGAAAGAAGGCTGTTGAAATCGTCGACACGTATAAGCTGACGATTTTCAACAACAATTTGTTCTAAAAGCAATTGTGAATCTCTTGCACAATCAAAACATGGAGAACTTGCAACAGCTTCAAGAAAACTAACAAAGTAATCGTAAAAATCATTCTCAAGTGACGTATTTGTATAAAAATGAACAACAAGTGGTTGAATGATGCCAGGCGTAAATTGTGTTCTATTTTCTTTAGTAAGAACACAATCTAGGATCTTTTTGAAGCATAGATTGACGATTTTGGAATAATCAGTATTATTATTAATTCGATTTAAAAGATCAACAATTGTTTCAAATGCTTCTTGATTACTATAATTGGACGGGTCAGATGTAAATCCAAGTGAGTACAAGCAAATTACTGTAGTATATAGTTGAAGATTTGTTCGAAATCTTTCTTTAACTCTCAAAATCGCTTTAATTCCTGAAAGATTAAACGGGAAAGTGTATCCGAAGTTTTTTAATGCCTGTTCTGGATCTTTTCCTTGTTTGACTTCGTCCGTAAATTTCGAAAATTGTTGTTTTTCAAGAGTAGGCGTCGCTGCAAGGAAACCAATTTCAGGAGAGTTCTCACCTTCCTTAATTGCTGCCTGGAAATCATACCTCATGCTTATTAAATCATAAAGAGGATACTTTCCAGTTCGCGGACGCATTTTTTATACGGTAAAATACCGATAGATCGTAAAGTTTCATAGATTTTACTAACATTATTTGATTTGTTGCAACAAATATATTTATAAAAAATAATTCAGATCAAAGAAGATTTTTACAAATTTCTCTGAATCTCCATTTTAGATTTTCAATTTGGAATTACCCATGAATTTCCTATTCTTTGTTTGTGTGTTTTTGGATTTCCATTTGTCAAAATCAGCTATTCTCATCCAAAATATGCAACAAACTTATGATAGTATATTAAAAACAGACAACAATGCACATTTATTCATTATATACCATGAAAAATGATATATATAAATATTCTTCGCGATCAAAATAATTTACATTAGCATCTGATTGGATTTTGGATTTTGTTACTTCTTCATCTAAATCAGGGCATCTAGTTATTGGATAGTTTTCATTCACTATTTCCAATTTAGAATCCATAATATCATTTGTTTGAACAACTGCGGCAAATGTCTGTGGAGTGTTCTCAAAATAGCAATTTGTAAGAGTCAGGCCTTTATCGGCATTTATTAAAATTGGGGATGAAGAAGTTTTAATAACATTATCTATAAAATTAACATCAGATACGCTTGAATATCCTGCAAAGTCAATCAAATAGTTTTGACAGCTGCAGTTATATATTGTACAATTAGTGACTTGAAGAAAATGGGAGTTTGAATTCATACCTTTTCCAAGAACTGTATTATAACTACCGACACAGCTTTCAAAATTGCAAAATGTTACATTGCTTGGAGATAAACAGTAATGAAAATTAAATGCTGAGTATCCCGAACATTGACATTTAGATATGTTCGAATTTGCTAAATAATTATTAGCAGAAGTAACTGATATAATAGAGTTTCTATGTGAATAATTACCACATTTTGCAAAAGATGAAAGCGTTGTTTTCAATTTTGTATTTCCTGCGTTTATGTACATGTGATGGCCATTATTTGATGAAATACATTTGCTAGAGCATACTTTATTTTGTATCAAATATATAGAATTTGTAAGAAATATTGCACCGCCATGATTTGATGTGGATGAAATATTAGTAAAAGTAGTATCTTCAATAACCATATGAATAATATATGATGAAGCATAAATAGCCTGCGATATTAAGTTATCAAATATAACATTATTAACGTAATAATAGTATTTTGTTTGATAAGTTACAGGATCTTTGCTCTCGATAGACTGATTGTATGGAGTGTCAGGATAGTAATCATCCCATGATCTCGATAATATCGGAGTAATTAATTTTGGCATGCAAATAATGCTGAAGAAAAGATGATTCATTTGAAAAATTATTCAATTGTTTGAGCAATTTTAACATACTATTAAATATTGTTCAACGATCATATATCACAAGTTAAATTGCATAAAAATTTTAACATTTTGATCGCCCATAAAATATTCAAAGTGTTTTTATAATTACAGAATTACTATTCAAATATTTGAATGAGATTTTAGATTTACGTTATAGTCTTGAATAATCAGTTATAACTTATTTCATTATATATTACTTTGCTTTGACAAACGATTCAATTTTTTATGTCATTCTACTCAATTTCTTATGTATTGAATGTGAGAAAAATTTGAAGGATAAAGTTTTTTATGTATTAAAAAGTCTTTCATGGTATATCATTAGCATTAATTTTATAATTTCAAAAGATAGATCTTAGTATTTAACGATAATTTTCTTATCAAAAGGTTTATCTATTTTGGATGTATTAAATAAGCTTTCAAATATCTTAATGGTATCTTGTGCTAGAAAATCATCAGATGGATCATTGGTAGTACTTGTTTATTGAAAGTATGCCCAGAAAATTAATATTTCATGTCCTCCAATGATTTTTGAGCTATTTTTGCAAATCACTTTTTAAAGTCACTACTTTCCTTTAGAAGTTTTTAACTGTCTCAACAGACAGGAAAGTATGGAGCAAATCATTGAAATACAAACACTAAAATCTAAAAAAAAGTTATTGAAAAATCCGGTAGACATTATAAAATCACATATTTTGACTCTTGGATGAAGCTGAGTTCTATCAATCATATGAACAACTAATCTAAAGAGATGATTATTTGTATACACATATGGTTTCTTTGGAATTTTTCAAGATTATATCAACAAATCCAAAAGCTGGGTATAATTAGTTAAGAAACATACTGATTCTTTCATATTATAAAGGAGGGAACAATATTATTAGCATTCTGAATTCATTCTTACACAATCTGAATTCAATTTCAGGAAAAATAGATACTTAAATAAAAATAGAGCGGCAAACCGTATTTATTTATCGTATACTATGAAAAAGCATAGATATATATTTTCTCCGCAATCAAAATATTTTTCATGAAAATTGGAATGAATTTTTGATTCAATTTCTTCTTCTAATCCAGGACATCTAGAAGCTGGATAATTTTGATTAATTATTTCCACTTTAGAGTCTCTTATTTCGCTTGCATGAACAAATTCATTAAACAATTGAGGTGTGTTTTGAAAATAACAATTTGTTAGAGTCATACTGGCGCCAGCATTTATTAGGACTGGAGAAGTTATTGTTTGTAAAGAGTTATCTATAAAATTGATATTAAATACCATTGAACTTCCATCAAATTTTATCAAATTATTATTACAGCTGCAGTTATGTATTGTACAATCATTGACTTGAAGAAACATATCGGAACGATCTGATCCCTTTCCCAGAACGTAATCAGTTTTACTACTACAGCTATCAATATTGCAATAAGTTATATTGCTTGGAGCTATACAGTAATGAAAATTAAGTGCAGAATACGATGTGCATTGACATTTCGAAAAGTTCGAATTTGTTAAATAATTTTTAGCATTTGAAGTAGATAGAACACCAGTACCATACATTAAATTACCATTATTTGTAAAAGATGTTAGAAATGTTTTAAGATCTGTTTTACCTGTAATTATATACAAATGCTGACCATTATTTCTTGTAGAGCATTTGCTCGAGCATACTTTATTTTGAATTAAATTTATATTAGAAGTTAGAAACATTGCAGTTCCATGATCTTTTGTTGATGAAATATTAGTAAAAGTAGTATCTTCAACGACCATGTTTATAGTATATGATTTCGCATATATAGCTTGCGCTGTTAAGTTCTCAAATAATACATTATTAACGTAATAGTAATACCGAGTTTGATAAGTTACAGGATCTGCTGTCTGGATTGATTGATTGTAAGGAGTGTCAGGATAGTAATCATCCCATGATCGCGATAATCCAAGGGTTTTTAATTTTCCAATACAAATGACACTGAAGAAAAGATGGATTATCATTTATAAAAATTCATTATTGTTATGAGCGATTTTGACACTATATTTTATATTTTTTGATTACCATATATTACCAGATAATTTGCATAAAATTTTAAAACATAATGATCGCCCCACAATATATTCAAAGTGTTTTTGTAAGACCTCAACTCAAATTTTTGAATGAGATTTTAAATTGAATCTACAGGTTTTATCCGAATAATAGCACTGTATTAATCATACTGCATCAATAAAATTATGAAACAAGCAAAAGTGTCACTTTTCATTAGATTATCATCAAACGCTACTTGAGAATACTTCAATAAAAATAATTAACTTTAGTCAAAACACAATACTTCGATTTCACAACCTGCTCAATTTTTTTAATCCAATATTCAATTCCTTTTCAATTGAATCTATTAAAAATTTGGGTAAGATCTTCATATGAATTATAAATATTGGGTCTAATACATTGCAACATTTACACTGTACCATATAACTGTTCAATTATTTGCAATCTTATTTAGAAATTTTTTGGATAATATAAGTGTAAATATGTAGTACCATGATGAACAAAAATAGAATCGATAGCAGCTGGATATTCATCTTATTCCGGAATTGAGAACTGATTCAATGATCTTGCCTCTTCTCTCAAATTTGGAATCAAATGATGTCTGCGTTGATTTCTGTCATGAGCTTTTGAACATGTAGCATAGACTAGCTAGTATTATCATGAAAACGAATCTTCATTCCCGATGAAGCAAGCCTGAGGAATTTTGATTATGGAAGCACGATCTTCTGTTTATTCAATAATTCCTCATGAATCATTTAACACTTGTAAAGTGAGAGTTTCATCATCAATTTCACAAATTTCTTTACAGAATGGATGATTTTCAAGAAACATCAAAATTTTATGATATTTAATGTTTAAATTATTAATATCAAGAATTTTTCTACTTTTTTTTTTCATATGCACTCAGAGGGAACTTCTATGAAATCTCTCGGGGTTCAACAATGTGTTTTAACAAAACTTAAGGAATTCACTCAGGACGAATACGAAAATTATATAAACAAGAAGGATTTGCAAAGTTTTTGGGAGGGAATTGACGAGTTACCAATTGAAAAGGCAATGGAGCTCAGACGTCTTCAATTAGAAATTCCAACATCATCAAAGGATTTTGCTGGTGGATTTTTATCCCCATCATTGCAGAATTTCTTTTTATTAAAACATAAAATTCCAGAAAAATCAACATCTCAAGTTTCTAAACCAAAGAAAGTCCTCAATATCGACGAGCTTATAGACTTCCTCAAAGGATCCCAACAATGGAAACAATCTGGCGAAAATTGGCTTTGCGGAAATGCCGAATTTTCCACAGAGTCTCTTTTCAGCATTTGCACCAAATTCATAAATGATGGCAATCCGTGGGAAGATTGTCCATCTCTTTCGCAAACTTATAACGAAGCTTGCGAATTCCTCAAATCTCGACCAGAAACAGAAGATTTTACTCAAGTTCATAGAAAAATGCATGAATTACGTTATTATACTCATACTGATCTTAAAACAGATATCGAAAAAATTACAGGCAAGAATTCAGATCTAAAGCTCTCAACTCTCAAAGAACCACGCACATTAACAGATACTCTTCGTAAAATGATGAATACCGTTGGCTCATCTGATGACGGAAGCCAAGAAGAAACAAATGAAAGACAAATTCACATTCCTGACTGGTACATTCCAAGATTAACTCCTCTTGAGTCAGCAGATTGCCCAATATCAGAGCAGAAGCCATTCAAGATCACTCAATCGATAGTTAGCGCTAGAGCTGGAATATCTGATTCCCAATTCGAGCAAGGAAGCCTTTCAGAGCTTCTGTTTACTACTGATGAAGGAACAATAGCTCCACTTCCATTTACAAGCACTCACGCTGAGATTCCACCGAGAAAAACAAATACATTTATTAGAGATTCGACTAGAAAGTACGTTGCTCAAATTCTTATGGACATGAAGTACGAGAAAGCATCAGAAGCTGGCGTAGAAATACTTACAGACATTATTCTCGAACAATTACGTCATATCGCACAACACGCGGCTGCAAAGACAAGATCAGGAAAATCAAGCGGAAAATTTGCAACTGCTGCTGTATCTCAATCTCTTAGACAAATGGGCCAAGGTTTGAATGCACCTGGCCAACACTAAAATATATTTTTTTTTAATTTGATAAAAAACATGATTTATATGTTTCATAACCTTTAAATATTCATTATATGCTATAAAATTGAAGAATAACAACGTTAATATTAACTCATTTCTTAAATTAGAATCCGATAATCATATTTCTTCAAAAAAAGTAAGATTTTTCCTATCTAGGGAATATATGGATGAAACAAGTAATATAACTTGTAAATATGTGAGTATTTATTGAATTGTGCCTGTCGATTTCACAAAATTGATTAAAAACACTCTCAAATTGCGAAATAAATAAAACAACAACCATTTTATGTGATGGAAATGATAACCCATGAAAATGGGAGCTATTTTTAAGATATCATTCCATTTTCATCTCTATGCATGGAAAAATGAAGCAAATCAAAAATTCACTCTACATCATTAGTTTTTGTAAGGATATGCATATGTATTAAAAGCTGACGCTGGAAGGATGGGGCTGGGATTGAAGATACCCCCTTACATGGAAAAATACAAATCTAGACTCTAATTTCTGAAAAAAAAAGTTAATAATTATTATTCATACTTTCAACTATAAAACATCATATTCAAATTTCAATCCGTTTTGAATAAGTTCTCGCAGAATTTCAATGCGGTCATTAAGGAATATATAAATGGCTGCTTTCTTTCTTTGCGCTTGCCTTGGAACTTGAAGTCCATCATTTTTATCTTCACTCATTAATTTTATTAATCATTTTAGAAAAATGTCTTGAGGCTCTTTATTATTGTTCAATTCTAAAATCAATTTATATGATTCAAGTTCTTTATAATTTGTATCTCCTACATATTCCTCATTTCTTTTTTGTTCATTTTCCCTTGAGTGTCTTGGACAGTACATAGTGATTATATGCCTCTGATCACGTGTCAAATCTTTCTTTTTGTTTGGAAGAAATTCTTGTTCAATTTTTGAGGGATGTACGCGTTTATTAATAGACCTATGTATCCTATCGTCCAAAATCTGTCATTGCTATCAATTTTTGAGTATACAACGATTTTTTTATAAACTTTTTTATTTTATTCAATCAGGAACAATTAAATTAATTGTATTCAAATTTCAAACCGTTTTCAATAAGTTCACGAAGAATATCAATGTGTTCATTAAGAAATTTATAATGGGCTTCTTTTGATCTTTTCGCTTCCCTTGGAATATCAAGATTATCAGTTTCTTTCATTAATTCTATTAATTTTCTTATAAAAGTGTCTTGAGGTACTTTGTTATTGTTCAATTCTAAAATCAATTTATATGATTCAAGTTCTTTATAATTTGTATCTCCTATATAATTATCTTTTCTTTTTTGTTCATTTTCCCTTGAGTGTCTTGGACAGTACATAGTGATTATATGCCTCTGATCACGTGTCAAATCTTTCTTTTTGTTTGGAAGAAATTCTTGTTCAATTTCAAAAATCAATGCTGCAATTCGCCCAATTTGATCATTCGTTTCGTTATCACCATTTGCTTGCTTTTCATTTATATACCCTCTCATAATCGCGAAAAGCTTATCATATTTCCATAAATTCTCATCACTCATTTTATAAAATTTACATTAAATTTGTCAACATTTTTTTACTCCTTTCAATTTTGAATTGCAAATGATATTCATTTTTTCCATGAAAACTGACATATTTCACATTTTTTTTGTTTCAAGACAAGATGATTCCATAATCTTTGATTTGAAATCGAAATACGTTTCCACTCCATTCTCAAAACCAACAAAATGTACGGCAAACCCAAATTTTAGCTAAAAGTGACAGGAAAAAAAACGTTTAGTATTAAAAAAAAGACCGATGAGAGCTTCGTTCGAAATATAGAGGGAACTGAGAATGCGCAACCATTCTCAGGGAATATTGGATGCTATTCCCGTTCCCTCTGTATGGAAAATTGAGGTTTTCAAAGGGAGTTAAAATAATATCAAATTTATACTAATTTACTTCAAAATACAAAAGTTTTTACCTTATGAACCTTTGATGGAAATATGCAAATTTAAAATAATAAAGAAAGCCGCGAGCGAAGCGATCGGCTTAGTTCGAAGATTTTGATTCAAATCTTTGCTGATCTGTAATTCGCGGAAGCCGCGAGCGAATCGAGCGGCTTAGGTCTAAGATTTTGATTCAAATCTTTGCTTATATTCCTTAAATTCTTTATGAAACTCGCAACAGTTCCTTTAAAATTTTTTATTGGCTTTAAAAAGGCAGGGTTTTCATTCTGGAGCTCCGCGAATCGCTTGGTGCTCCATAATGAAAACCCTGCAATAGATAAACACACGTCTAATCAATGCAAAAAAAGTGGAAATTTGAGTGAATTTTGATCGTCTTTTTTACTTTTTTTTCCCCATTCTAGAGTTATGTATTAGCTATTTTTTATAAGACAACCTCATACGGATCCATTAATCCATTGGTATTTAACATTTTAGTGAGGAAAATTAATTGATTTATATTTGGCAAAGATTCAATAACATTGGTCAGCAATGATATACTAAGATTATCCATTACATGAGCATTCTAAATATATCATTATTATCAAGCATATCAGGCTCAAGAAAAAGTTTCAAATTTAAAATTTATTCTAAACGTATGCAAAAAATCTTGGAATCGGATTCAAATTCATACAAAATACATCTCTATATTAATGCGATATCATTTCGGAATCAATAATTAAAATAACTTTCTTTCGTTATTTTTTTCAAGATGGATTCAGATAGCCAGGTCGTAGAGATTTCTGTAACTCATCAAAAGAAAAAAATACTAGCAAGCCCTATTGTAATCAACTCTGAAGATGATACACCATCTTCTCCTCCTCCAGCTCAGCAAGAAAAACCAAAAATTTCTAATTTATTTGATAATTCAGATAGTAGTTTAACACAAGAGTCTATTCCTCCTGAACAAAATCAAACAAAGTCTCAAGAGGCAGAAGAGGAAGAAGATGCTGAAGAAGAAATTTACGAAGTTGAAAAGATTGTAGATCATAAAAAGCAAAAGGATGGAACATACGTTTATTACATTAAGTGGAAAGGCTATACAGATGAAGATAATACTTGGGAACCTGAAGCAAATTTATTTTCAAAGCAGATGATTGAAGGTTATTGGAAAGAATATAACAGCAAGCATCCTGAAGCAGCAAATGCTACACCTAAGGAGAAAGAAAAACCAAAACATACAAAATCTACACCTAAAGAACCAAAGCGTTCAAATCTTTCGAAATCTCCAGCAAAGGATCTATCTAGGGCTGGATTACAAGAAATTAAAGGAATTATCAAGAGAAATGGCCAAATATACTTTTATTGTATTTATAACAATCAAGAGAAATTAATTAACAACCAAGAAATGAAAAATAAGTTTTCAGCGGAATTACTGAACTTCTATGAGAAAAATATAGTATTTTCGGAAACAATCAAAATTGAATAATAATTTCCCGAAGTATTACGACTTGTAATACATATAGCATTTACAAATTGCTATATCTCACAAAATACCCCTAAAATGATGTTTGATTTATAACAAATGATAGAGAAAGTAAATTTTTCTCTAAATTTTATTACATAGAGTAAAAAAGGAATATATTAAATAAAAAGACATATGTTTACTTGTTTCCTATATGCCAAATGACGATAAAACTAAAAATAAATATGAAATTTAATACTCATATCTTTAGACTTAGTTTTTTATTCAAATTTCGAAGGATTTTTCATCACATCAAGAGGATGATGCTTCACTGAGATTCGAACTATGAAAATGAATTAATGTTCATTCTATACCTATTAAAATAAATTTACTTTTTTCCCCATGCTCTATATGTTTTCGTTCAATGTAAATATGCCAATTCTATACGCAAGTCCATATGGGTATATCTTGTAATTGAATTTCCTTATAATGCTTCACTTAACATTTTCTGGAATGTTTTCACAAACTCCAGAATTTTGATAATATATCTCAGAATACCTAATTAGTATGTTCTTGTCAATATAGGCAACATATTCTCACGTAAAAGTCCTTATCCAAACCTTCTGTATAAAGATGTCTTCAGCTTTTTTTCGCTGTCTACAACTTATTTGAGGGACTCTAATTCTGTTAATAGCTAAAAACCATTTGTAGGCACTATATTGAGAGAATTTCAGAGAGTAGTAAGAGCATCCTTAAGGGTGCACTTTCCACTTTCTGACATGCTCAGATAGTATCAACATATCTTTAATTTAATGGAAAAAGAGTATAATAGCTATATTAGGAACTAAACAGTGATAAATACTAACTTTTTATTATAGAAAATTGGGATATAAAGATTGGATGTCAAAAAAATTGAGAGAATGTCAGAGAGTAGTAAGAGCACCCTTAAGCTTCTCATATAGCAAGTTAGAAGAACTTAATATATCCAATAAATTTAGAAGGTAATTTTAAAAAAATGAAGAAAGAAAGATGTTTATAATTCAATTTCATTTGAATTTTGAGATTCAATCCCAAAATGCAAAATAAGTATATTAGAAAGCCATGATTTTGTTTCCGAACTGCTTATATTCCATCTTTTTTCGAACTCCTTCAATATTCTCTGGCTGTTCTCTTCGAAATGACTGATTTCTAGGAACAAAGAATTAAACAAATATCTATCTAAAACTTCTCTTGAGTAATCCAAGTTAACAACATGAACTGTTACAACACAAAGACGACTAAATGAAAGAACACTCGTATACAAAAAGTTAAATTGGACATATTGGTTATAAATGTTTGGAATACTGCAATCAAAATAAAAATGCTCTCCAAATGAAACAATTCCGCAATTATGAGCTCCTCGTCCATGAGTAAATCCATGTCCTGATATACAATTCAAGTCTCCACTTGTTTTTATCGCAATAAAAGAATTATATGAAACATTTTGATCAACTATGCTTCTAATCAATGTTTCTATATTATTTATTTCTGATGGTTGAGAAATCTTGAATTTTCCTCCTGTGCTAATCGGAATTTCAAAAATTGGATGAATTTTTGAAATTTTTTGTGAAAAAACAAGAAGATTTATACGAATTCTGTATTTAATCAGTTCATCACTTAAAGAATGATAATCAAAGTCGTTTGATAATGAATTAAAATCGTTTTCATCCAAAAATATATTTATTGTTGAAGAACGAAGATGTGATAGTTTTTTAACGACTTTCAATATAAACGATGCATCCGTACTGCGGTTGTTGATGATTTTTGAAAAGAATTCTGTAGCTTTTTTAAGATTATCTGAGAAAACAAGTGATGGACAATAAAGATTATCTGTTTGTAATTTGGGCATATCGTTTGAAACTGTTTTAATATTCAATTCTTTTCCAAATTCAAGATATGAAATAGATCCGTGAAAAATCGCGAAACCATAGTGTTTAAATGTTGAAGATTGATTTGTTATCGATGATATTGTAGAAAGAAATGATTGATTTGATAATAATGAGAGAGATGAGATGATATATTCTGTAGCAATGAAACTATTTTCATCAGATTCATTATAGCTTGATGCAGCAAAGTATATTGGTTGCATGTATTCGAGATTTAATCTATTTAACGCATTAATCTGACTTTTATGGTTGCATATACAACATTCCATTGAACTTCCATCATATTTATTATAACAATTTGCATAAGCACCACAAAAATTGCATCTGGGTAAGTTTTTTTCGCTTGTTCGTGTTAATTTATCTATCTCATTAATAATGAAAGGAGTATATTCGAAAACAACATCTGAAACGTCATTCTTCTGTGTCGCGTCTTTAGTTGTTGGGTTCTTTAGATAATATCTAGCACATGTTTTGACTTCTTCCATTTTTTTTTCTCGAACGATTAAAATCTAGAATTTGAATCAAAGATGTTGTAAATAACAAAAAGGGCCCCAAACAAATAAAATACTAAAGTTTTTCACTCAAGGGTAATCTATATCTCTGATTTACAATACCAAAGAAATCAAATAATTGCAAAATTAATCAATTAGTGTATCAGATGTTATTTTATAATATATCCGTGTAAATATCACAAATATATTCAAAATTAATGGAGAAACGGCAATAATTTTAAATATTGAAAAATACTGAGAAAAATGTTCAAATCAAAAATCAGATGGAGTTGATAAAAATTCATAAAAATCTCCAATTTCCGGGGTTCTGGACAAGCTTAGATATAAATATAGGGTGCTAATGTATTTTAGATTCTGTCTTAATTCTATCGGCGCGATGCGCCGATAGATATGACCGATAAATTAGAATTGTAAACTTCTCAAATTTATCAATAAAATGGAAAGGTATCCTGAATCTATAGAAGAGCTTAAGAGCATTGTTTGTGCAGCAAGTCGTCTTAAATTCGTCACCAAAGTATTATATTGTCTTCGTTTCACTCAAAACCATCCTGAATATAATGAACAAATTGGCTGTTGCTGGTATCTCGATGGAGAATCATTTCTAGTCAATTCAGGTGCATTGGGTGCATTTTTAGACTTAAAATCTAATTCTATTAATACAAATTTTCGCGAACATGGATTTCAGGTCCAAAAAGGAGATAAGGTGCCACCCGAACTTCTCGAGATGTCAAATCGAAATTGGAAAAAGAGGAAGGCTACAATAGGCAATTTCAATAGAAATTCTTCAATTGCTGATGCAGATTCAATCGGACTTGTAGATTCATCTAAAAAGGATCAAACTCCCGAAAAACCAGTACAAAAGCAGTTCATAAGTATCTTCCAAAATAAGCCAAAGCCAGTAGAACCAGCTCCACCTCCGAAAATTCAAAATGCGCTTGATGAGTTTTTCAAAATCAGTGATAAACTACACCAAAAGATCAGCATCGAACATATGCTACTTGAAATGCCTTTAGACGATGCTGAGAAAAATAAATTACTTTCAGATATTGTAAGTCAATGGAAACAGGCATTTGGCATTAACCAATCAGTACCTGCTTGTCAAGCAGTAGAAAACTTAATTCCAGATACTCCAAAACGCTCGAAATATCTTACTTTCCAAATGCGTGTAAATTTAGTTTATTTAATTTATCAAGATCCATCAGCAAGCAGCCAATCAGTATCTCTAATGCAAGGAAACCTCAATTTCGATCAATTCGCTAAATTTTACGTTAGATACGGTCATCCATCAAATGATTCTTTGTTGGAGCAGCTTACTGTCGTTCCACAAATTGTTTCTGATATGGAGAGTATTGATGATGCATTAAATGAAGCAAATTATGATGATGACGCTTCATTTATTAATGGATTCATTCCTCATAGCCATAAAAACGAAATTACCCAAAAAGTATGGAATTCACCAGTTCATTCATGGGCTTTGATCCATTCTAAGACGGCAAACAAGTTTGTTTTGTATTGCAAATCAGATCAAATTTTGCAATTGTATATAACAGTAAATATAGCCACCATTGACCCTAAAAATAGGATTACCGTTAAATTCGGTAACGATATTAAAGGAACTAGTGATTGGAAGAGTCTTTTCCAACTTTTATCTTTGCCATCTGACAAAGGCCTTCAATTAGCGCCTGTTTCAATACCTTGCGTCAAAGAGATAGGTGCAGATGAAATAAATGTTGATACTCCTAAGAACAGCGTTCAAACAACACCGAGCGGATCTCAAATGTTGTTTTTGACACCAGATTCACAGACTTATCAGACAGATTCACAGTTCAGTATATCAAACAATTTCAGTTTTGAAGGATGGAGCCAACATCAAGCAGATTCGCAGTTTAATTTTTATGATTAGAGCTTTTGTTTTAATATAATTGTTAATATTGTATTTTTCTTGTGTTTTAAGTAATAAAAATTATAAAGTAATTCCTTATGTATTTTAATTCAATGGAGAAATTTTAATTTACGTGAAAAATAAACAATTTTCATAAGCCATGAAGAAACGATCGATACCTATAGCATGTATAGATAACAAATCAATATCATTTTCTTTTTATTCAAAGAAGAATATTTTGATTAATCATTCTCGTTATCCATGAAGAACATCCAATACGCATAGTGTCTATATATAACAAACTGCCATTATTTTTGTGTTTAATAACATTCAGGCGCTAATTTTTGATATGATAGTTATTATTGTCACTTTTTAAAATGCTGCTTCGAAAGTTAGATAAAATTCCACAAACTATTGAGCGTAGACAGAGTGCGATAGCAAGAATGGAAAATAGATGTGCTCAAGCACGCGACACACTCACTAAAACTATCGATAACATCAATGTTATCCAACCTAATGCTAAAATTGCCGATGAACAAGCAATGACATCAGCTAGATTGGAATATGAAGCTCAAATAATTCTTGATTATAGCGCTCAAAAAGTTGAAGCAGCAAGATCTTTAGTTGATTTATTGGATCAAGCAGAGCAAGAAATTCTTGGCGAAATAAAGCTTATGGAGTCTTTCTTGGCAACTAAAAAGACATTCGATCAGAATCCTCTTGCAGAAGATTACGTTGAAAAACTCAAAAGTCGCATTCAAAATTCCACTGCAGCAAATGATGGAGAGCACTATTGCCTTTGTAGAGGTCTTAATGTTGGCCAAATGGTTCAATGTGACAATCCAAAGTGCCCATTCGAGTGGTTCCATGTTGAATGCGTTGGAATCACCAACCGATCAGAAAACTCGTGGCTATGTCCATACTGCTCTCAGTTATTGAAAAATACGACAACTGATGAAAATCGTATTAATCCTGAATAAGAATTTAATAATTCTTTCCTCAAAGATATGCATCATGTTTATAAATTTGTTTAGTTTAGCTTTTTGCATATAAATGCGTGTTTGATTGAGCTTTATAATACAAATATCTTTTTGAAAATGAAAGTAATTGTATATATATATGAAATTAACTGAGCAAACTACTTGAATCTTATTTTCTAGAATGAAGATTATTATATCATCCATTTAATGGTTATAATGACAAGATTTTTTTTGCCAATCACTCCAAATCACTTGATTTTATGGATATATGTCAAAGACAACACATAATTAATAATAATATTTTTTATTTTCAAAAAGGTACTTTTAATGGGCCAAAAATTGAAAATTTTTAATTTCTCTAGTTTCTAGCCAAAATCAATATAGAGTTCATATGCAAAAAGTGAAACTACTATGGTGTGGAAAAAAATATCAAAGTTCCCCACTTAAACACTATATATATATAAAAATTGATTTTTATGAATAGATCATTTTTGGTTATATATTCTATGAAAGACATATATATCAAGAGATATTTCTTTTATATGAATGATTTGAAATCAGTTTTGTTGGTGGAATGGGTCCTCCATTAACAGGCTCACCTCCACCAAGATGTTTATATACATATCCAAATAACGAAAGTGGAGATTTTATCTCATCGATATCTACTTTTGATGATTTTGGACTTTCAATTTCATCAAAAGGATACGTCCAGATTCATTCTCTCCCAAATTGGAATAAAATTTCAGGAAAACAGCTAAATAAAGTTGTATCAGGTGCTATAATTGATGCTGATACAGTTGGAATACTACATTCTCATCAAGTTTCTTTATATAATTACGAATTTAATAAAATACGAGAGATGAGACCACAAAATTCATATCTTGAAAAATACAGATACTCATGTATACAATACAGCGAAAATGTACTTACTGCTCTTACGACAAATGGATCAATTTTTTCTTGGGATATCAGAACTAACGATATACCACGTTGTTTAGTGCTAAATGGCATATCTGCTACAACAAGTTTGTCAGTTTTGCCTCAAACAACAGTAGTTTCAACTGATCAAGGAAAGATTTTAGTTATTGATCCAAGGATGAACAAAAGAGTAGTCTTATTTGATATATCATGCTTTTCGCCAAGCAGTGCAATACTAGATGGAATTTCAAGAAGATTTGATTCTCCTTGGTCCATTTCATTCCAGTTTTCAAACGGATATTCTGGAATATTCGATTTAATGTATAGAACAACAGAAATAATTATTGAACCCCCACCATTTGTTGAGTGTCAAAAATATGCAAAATTGCATCCAACATTTATGGGTAAATATATGATAGTTGGATATTCTTGGTCGAAATATATATCCATCTACAAAAAACATTTGAAAAAATTCGAACTTTGTGATATCCCTATTTCTTTTTGTTCTTCGCCAATATATGATGGTTTATACTTCACATCATGTCTTGGTGATATATACCATGTATTTTAGTATATTATATTATTGTATTGAAATAAATTTTTGCATTAAGAAATGTAATATTGGTCTCTATGACTATTTATATGCTTTATTGATAATATTTGAAGCACTAAATATGTTTGATTTACAATCTTCTGAAAATTCAAAATTTTAAATAGAAATTGAATAGAAGCCAAAACTATTGATTTTCAAGTTTATAAAGACTGAGATTTGAATAATTGTGTCAAACTTTAATATAAAAAATTATTAAAAATTATTAAAAAATGCTTTTAATCAAGATATCAATAAGAAAATATTATTATATGTCAGAACTGATTTGCGGATCAAATGGATCAAATGGTGTACCTAGAGGATTGAAGTTGATATGTAAATTAAACATTTCTTCGAGTTCAGCACGCATAATTTGGCTGGTATCACAAATTTCACCTTGTGGAAGATCATTCGTTTCAAAGGCAGGTGGGGTAACCAAAACGCCATCTGTGTGAATTTCCATGATTATTTTTCTTTCTAAATCTGAGAATACATCCCTGTGAGCAGATTTCAAAATGTCCTTATATGTATACCTTTTAATGATTGAACCGCTTCCAATATCTTTAACATAATAGGCAGACTGAAAGTAATATTTGTTATTTTGCCTTCTTGTTGTGATGTAGAATGATCCAGGGAGGACAATTTCTATTTCAAAAAACTCGGTTTTCCCTTTATTTTCAAATGAAATGATTGATGCTACATCATGTTCGATGGAACGAAACAAATTATGCCTCTCTTCAAGATCTCTTGTGCGTGTAAATAATTCTGTAATTTTGTCATCTGTTAACTCAAGGTGTTCTGGCTGATTTTCTCCTAAGAATTTTGTAAATTTTGCATTTAAATAAATTGGTGAATAATCTTCCCATGTTTTTCCATAACTTCCAAGGATAGTTTTGGATGATGACAAATTTCTCTTGGAGCAATTGTCGTTAAAAATCCTCTATCATCCTTAAATCTGATAAACAGAACCATGAAACAGCATTCCTGACATGTTGTTTTGTGAATTTTATCATAGTCTTTGGCATGCTTTAGTTTAATATCCTCAAGAGCCTTTTCCAGCTTACTCAATGAGTTAGCATCACCAACAGAGTATGTACCCTTCTTATTGTACCTCTTGCAAATAGCCATGCAAAAATATGAAAGAGGTTTATCTCAAATTTTCAGAATCCAAAGTTCAGAAAAATTTAAAGCCGGATAACGGTTTTTATGAAATTAATTTTTTAATTATTTATTGCATTTTCAATATATGCATGATGTATCACACTCAAAATTTCATCATGACAAATTCCATTTTGATTTTGAAAGTCAAATGAAATCCTCAGATATAGTTTTTGATAGTTTCAATTCTCTGTAAAATCCTGTAAAAATTTTAGAGTTCAACTATTTTAAATTGAAAGGATCCGAACAATTCTTTGAAAAGTTATGTGAAATTCGATTAAGTTTAATCGATATTTTAAATTTACAAGATACTACTTGATTCCACGAAACGATTTGATTCGCAAAAAGGTAAGCTATTCAAAAATATAATGTTGCATTATTTTTTGAGGTCTCATATTTTCTTGTCCATCGAAACATGTTTTTTACTTTATTAGATTTTAGGAAAATTTTGAATCGTCAAAATCAAACAATCACTTCAAAAATTGAAATAAAAATTACCAATGGATCGTTCAACGTTATCATAAATGAAAAAATTGACACAATGCGATGAAATGTTCGTATTGACTATTTGCCCACTGTGGACCTTCTAAATATAAAATAATAAAGAGATTATTTTTTAAATTAAAAATTTATCTTTTTAGCATGCCCCTGAAAATAAAAAAATTGTCACTTTTCCGGACAAAAATAATGATCCTTCGAATTTTTTTGAACTCAAGAAAAATAAATTTTGATTTGTACATTCAACACGAACACTTTTTAAATGGAATCCAAAAAGTGGCTGTATTGAACATGTATAAATTATTATTTATAAACAAAAACTCCTTGGTCAGAGAAGTATTTTTTCATTCTATCGACAGATTCCTTTGGAGCAGGAATAGTCAAATCTAAAACAGGCAAAACCACTTTAACTCTTTCGCCAGATCCAACAACACAAAGGCCGGCCATTGAATAACAAGTGTGTAAAGGATCAGGATCGTTTGGAGGGGAGTCACAGAACCCTCCACTGTGTATCTGTGACGACCTGAGAATGTATTGGGACATGGCGTCGACATTCCAAAATTCAGGGATTTTCAAATGGTTTGAAATGATTCTGGCGGCTGTTCCCATCCACCAGGAGTAGCAGGAATCAACGAGTTTGTTCGTGCGGCCATTAAAACCTCCTGCGAACTCATCTTGACGCATTGCAATGTATCTGACAACTAAATTTAGGTCGATTTCGTCTAACGCGTTCAAAATGTATAGGATTCCGACACCACAATGGACAAAACCGCCATGGGACTCACAAAATGGGGTAGGAGAAAAGCCTCCGTCGTAATTAAAGCAACTTTTAGTAAATTTAAGAACATCTTTTGTTAATTCGGGTGTCATAATGTTGAGAATGTTTGCAATTGCAAGTGCAGCGTATGTAGAGCGTAAGTCTATCTCAGAATCTAGTGAAGCTGAAAATGAACCATCATTTTGCTTCAGACTCATAAGAAAGTTATACATTTTGGATCTATCTATTAACTTATATGCATTTTCATCGCCACATATGGATAAGGCTGTAATTGCTTGCAAGTTTGTAATAATATTGCAATTATCCTCTGAAAATCCAGAAAATTGGCCTGACTCTGTCATTCTGTGTGATAAAAACTGTTCCATTTTTGAACGCACCATTGGAAATTTTTCACTTTGATCAATTCCAAGAATTGGAAATGCAGCTAATGAATATGCTGCATAAACTGGTATTATAGACTCGGATCTTTGACCTTTCACTGATGATTTATTAATTAAATTTGAAAGAAAACCAATATGATCACCAAGATTCCAATCTACGGTTCTTGATCTAAGACATTTTATATAATTGCACTTCTCCTTTTGCATTTCGGAGGTTTTTGTTGGAATTCCTTCATCATCATATTCCAAAGTATATAAATCAAAATCCATTAAAATAAAATGGGGTCTGAAATTTTTATTTTGGGGTTTAAATTTTTTTATGGTATCTGAAAAGGATTTTAATAAGCTCTTGGAGTTGAGTAAAGATCATATCGAGCTTATGAACACGATATACCGACTAAAAACATTCGATGAAACCGAAATCGACAAAATTTACAAAGATATAAAAATTAAAATGATTGATACTAAACTATACACGCCAGAATCTTTTTGTATGATTATTTCCGATGCTTCAAAATTCAATAACAGGTATTTGAAATCATATTTATCCTTATTCAAAAAGATTATTCAAGAATATCATATAAAAACAATACATAGGATTTCAGCCATTCTTAATTACTTTGTTTATAAAGAATGTGGAATTATTCTTGATTTTGATAACGCGTTTTATTTAAAAGATTATGAATCTCAAAATATTTCCATTAATATTCATGAAGAAAATACTATTTACAAAGCAATAATGGAAGATGATTTAAAGATGTTTATATTATTCACAGAAATCGATGGATTTGATGTAAATCATGCAGAAGAGTTTAGTAATTTTTATCCAGAACCTCTTGAGTATTCATATCTCGAATTATGTTGTTATCATGGAGCCGTTAATTGTTTCAAATTATTAAGAACAAAATACAATCAAGAAATAACATATCAATGCCTTATGTTTTCATTTTTAAGCGGAGTTCCTGATATCGTGAATGAATGTTTAAAGGTGCAAAAACCATTATATCAATGTATGGAATATTCAATCATATCACATAACATTGATTTCATTTCATATTTGATGAATGAATATGAATTAACGATCGATCCTGAAGATTGTTGCAAACATAATAATCTTCATGCATTTTTGGTTTATTTCGACCAAACTAATGATATACAAAATTGTTTAGTTTCATCTCCACTTTTTCATCTTCCATCTCTTTGTGAATATTTTATTTCACAATGTGATAATATCAATGAAAATGAAGCCTGTGAAACAACTGCTCTTTGTAATGCAGCATATAGTGGATGCAAGGAAATTACTGAACTTTTCATTTCCCATGGAGCAAAAGTTGATGTACGAGATTGTGATAATTTGATTCCTCTTCATTATGCAGCCAAAACAAACAGTAAAGAAAATGTTGAAGTCCTCATCTTACATAATTCAGATGTCAATTCAAAGACATATTTTAATGAATGGACTCCTATTCATTATGCAGCAATTACGAACAATATGGAAATTGTGGAGCTTCTTATTTCAAATGGTGCAGATGTGACTGCAAAAGATGTCAACGGAAATACAGTTCTACACCATGCTTCAGAACATAATAGTATAGAAGCAGCAGAAGTTCTAATTTCCCATGGAGCATTTGTAGATGAAAAAAATATGTCTGGTCAAACGTCTTTATTTTTTACAGCAATTTGGAATGATGTAGAAATGACAGAATTCCTTTTGAAGCATGGTGCTGATATTAATGCAAAAGATAATGATAATAAAACACCACTTATATTTGCTATTGAAAACGGATGTGAATATACAGCGAAATACCTCATTTTGCACTATGCCGATGTCAAAGCTAAAGACAAATCAGGCAAAACTACCTTTGATTATGCAAATGAATTGGAACTAACCGAAATAGTAGACCTTTTAATTTCTCACGGTGCGTAAAATCATCATCTATTATATATTTGTAATTAATGAGACTAATAAAATAATAAAAAAATCTAATATTATATAGAATTCCTTGTGTAGATTTGATATCTCCGAATTACATCATTCTCTATTATAATTTAAAATTATTTAGAAATAAAGATTAATAAAAATTAGTTCGGATGACTCTTTTTTTATGAAACACTAGATGTGCACTTATTACTTCTGGTACACTATCAAATCATAATTAACTAAAATGCAACTTTATATGATATTTATTAAACATTTTTCATTGCAAATCTAATAATATCAGTCGCAATGAATTGGCTAATATAATTGCTAATACATCAATGAAGTGATTTATTTCAATCTCAATATAATGGTTACTGACAAACCCTGTCAAAAAAAATTGAGAAAATGTCAAAAAAATAATAAAAATAAAAAGCAAATATTTAAGAAGAGTTTATTGGGACAATTCTGCATATGCTGCCTCGACACTCTTAGACAAAAGGAAGTGGTGTCTCTCAAACAAAGAAATCTGTAATTCTGTGAAGTAATTTGAACTTCTAGCTTGGTTGATAATTGCATCAATAACAGCGATTTGGTTTGACTTTGTTGCATCGCATAACTGCTTGAATAACTCTGCAACGCCTTGTTCAAGGTTCTTTTCAGCATATGTAATGCAATCCTGGTATTTGAAGGCTGCAAGAAGTAATTGGGCTTTAAGTATCTTAATATTTGTCAATTGAGCCTTCATTAATTGTGAAGAGTTAATTTGGTCATTATTTTCCTCTCCAAGTTTAGTTTGGACTCGATCGACAACCAACAGAGCAAGATCTAGTCTGTCACCTCTGCTATAGCAGTCAACACAGTTAAAAACAGAATCGAATAGAAGTGGAGGTGAAAGATGTTGTTCTAAGCAAAGATTTGCAGCTTCTTCGTATGTATTTCCTGCATAGTGGAGAAGATCGAATTGAGCTTCTGTCTTTCCAAGCTCAAGAAGTAAAACTACAGCAAGATTTGGTTTATTATCGGATTTAAGTACATCAGCTGCTACACGATAGCAATGAAGTCCATCAGCTAATGGGTCTGACCATGTATCGCGAAGATTTCTTGAAATGCTAAAATTGAAATTTGCAGATTTGATAAATAAACGAGCTGCTTTAACAGCAGTTCTAACTGTATGTTGTTTGTCTTCGATTTTTTGCCAACATTGCATTTCTCCGAACTTTGCAAGAGCGACAAGTCCGCATTCGAACGGATTTTCTTCGTCTTGAGTCCTGGAAAGTTCGTCAAATTCGGCAGCGGTTTCCTTGAGCGAATTCTTAGTACGGAAAAGCTTTGTAAGTTTGGCTGATATCTCATCAAAGCGCTTATAAAACGTCATCGCTGTCTAATTTTGTAAACTTCAGAAATTCAATTTTGATTTCATTTTTTAGGATCAGACTTTACTTTAGGATCATGTTTAGAGATGGAAAAAACATTTCTGATGCATCACGAACTCACTCCAATTCTCCGATTTATTAATGAATTTTTCCAATTTCAGAGTAATTCATAATAAGAAATGTGCTTTATTAATCAAGCATGCTTTCAATCACCAAATTTTTCAAAATGAACGGTGCATATACACTTTTGCAGATCAGTGTTAAATTGAAAAAGCCAACAAATCAAGATTCGACAGAATGAAGCAAAGGAAGATGCAATTGCACTCATATAATCCAGTAAACAAGAATTTTAGGAAGATGTAGCTATGCATGTCTCTCAAACTAGTCCAAATTATTAAAAAGCATGAAAAGAATGAATTCTAGAATTTTTACTGCAAATTCCAAATTCATATTTACTCGTCACTGTGTTTCCTTCCAATTGTGTGTATCAATATTATAACTAGTAGCTCATTTACAAAGTTTTTTTTTCCTGAATAAATAAATTTACCACCAAAAGTTTTTATTTTTTTATGAGCATCACTTATGAAGAATTCTTGGAAGTATTCCATGATGCGATTGTTACTTTAAAAGCATTGTACAGACTTAAAGCAAAGACGCAAGATGAAATAACTCGTATTTACAAAGAAATAAAAAGGAATTTGATTAAAATGAAAGTATTCACACCATCTCAAATTCTTAGTGCTATTTCTTGTGCAGCAATTTATAACAATCGTTTTTTAAGATCATATTGGGCATTATTCAAAATAATCTATAACAAATATCAACCAAAGACGCTTGATAATCTCACACCTCTTTTCAATGAATTATTTCGTTTAGAATATGAGCTTCAAAATAAATCTGATATTTCAACTTTGTTAGAATTTCATGAAGAAAACACGATTTTCAGAGCAATTATGGATGATGATATTCAAGCATTCATTGCATTCACCGAAAGAGAAGGATTTGATGAAAATTAATATAATAGATTTCGTAAATATTATCCATATAGTAGAATGGGATTAACACTTCTTGAATTTTGTTGCTATCATGGAGCTGTCAAATGCTTTAAGTTTTTAAGAACAAAATATAACTTTATCATTTCATATAAATGTGTTTTGTTTTCTTTCTTAAGTGGAAATCCAGATATTTTAAATGAATGTTTGAAATATCAACCACCTCATTATAATTTAGGTATGGAATTTGCAATTATATCACATAATATTGACTTTGTTATGTTTATACAGAATCATTACAACTATGAGATTGATTTATATTCTTGCAAAATGTACAACAATATTCAGGTATTTTTTATTTATTTAATTCAACATGAAGATTTTCAATTAAACCATTGTGTTTTTTATTCCATAAAATATAATTTTGTTTGCCTTTTGGAATTTTTCATTGCACATGGAGCAGATGTAAAGAAAATGCGTTTTGGATGGAGATTTTCTGCTCTTCATATTGCAGTAAAATATGACAGTGTTGAATCAGCTGAAGTTCTATTATGGCATGGTGTTGAAGTTAATGCGAAAGATATTAATAGAATACCTCCTCTTCACCTTGCAAAAAGTTCAAAGATGGTAAAACTTCTTCGTTCATATGGTGTAAATGTAAATGCGAAAGACAAATACGGAAGAAATGCTCTTCATTTTGCAGTCTATAATTGTGTTGCCCAAGAAATAGCTGAAATACTTATTTCATCTGGAATTAATGTCAACTCAAAAACTAAGGAAGGGAAAACACCTCTTCATTATGCTGTGGTTCGCCATCCAGATATTTCAAGACTTCTTATATCGCTTGGCGCAGATGTTAATGCAAAAGATAGGCATGGGCTAACTCCTCTCCAGGATGCAATAAAGAATAATAAAATTGCCGTAGCGCAGCTTCTTGCTTCTTATCCTATGGAGCAAGTGGGTTGTATTTCTGCTTGTAGCATCAATTGAAACAATTAAACTGGATTACAATCAAGAAATTAAAAATTCTATTGTTTCAGATTATAGCAAACTATATTTAAATCGAAGAAATTCTTTTTCTTCCAAGATATCCCTATTTCAATTTCTTTGACATATTTTTATGGATTCTCGTCTTTTTTAACTAATATATTTATCCATATGTCATTGAATTCATTCTCAATTCGTGAATTTTGCAGTATTATTCGTATTTGCAGAATCTGAAGACAATTAATCAGCAACTTATTTTGATTTCCCATCATAACGCATTTCAAGTTTTTGCTGTTATATGAGAAATAATTGAGGAGATTTGAGATGTTAGAGCACACGATGGTGACATAACATTGCTAAAAATACACTAAAATATAGTCCAATTTTAGAAGTCTATCAAATTGCTGGGATAGGCTTTGTCCAAAAGTTATCCAAAGTTTGTATATTACTAATAAAGAATCTATTATTTCATTTTATGATATATTCTTTAATTAATAATAGATTAATAATATTATACAATATAGAATAATATAGAATAGAAACTTCTTTCATTAATAATATTCCATTTTATGATATATTCTTTCAGTAATAATATATTTTACCCGAAAACTTCTAATTTTTCTCAATCAATGAGATTCTGGTACTAACTATATGATTCAAAGTTTATGAGAGGAGAAAAAAAAATATTAAATAAAATTATATTTTAAAAAATTTAAGAATTATAGAATATATATAATAAATATTTTAGATCGAACAAAATATAAATCATATTAAGCAGCAATACCAAGAGTAGATTTGAGAGATTCGAAAATTGAATTAAATTCTGCTTCATCGCCTCTCTTTAGTCTAACAAGGATTGTAACATCGTCTGTTGTCCTAAAGGTGGCTTCGATTGCTATGTAGAAGTTAGTTTCTTCGTTTCTTGCGATGAATGACTGAGGATCCGGATGGAACCACTGCATTCCATTAGTATTGAGGAATGTCTGTATATTGTACATAACTTGCCATATACTTGCGCCGTAAGTATCAAATACATCTTCTATTATTGCGTCGTAGTCTTCGACAAGGGTCCATTCTGACTGGTTTGCAATAGACATTGCACCCATAGAATAACTTTCCGAAGGAGAAACAATGTGTCGCTGGAAAGCATCTGTCGAATTTTTATTGAACTTTGGAACTTTGGAAGCATGCATAATAGGTTCTTGGCTGAGTTCATTTGCTTCGGATACTGCTAATTGATTCCATGGAAGTGAGTCTGGATCGAATCTTTCTTGTAACATCGAAAGGAAGACTTTTGCCATTGTATTTTCCGTTGAGCTTAATTGGGTTTCGAGTTCATCGTCTTTGAAGCCAATCTGACGAAGGTTATCGAGTAATTCTGGTTTGATTGTTTTGATATCTATTGGTTCGAGATTACTATATTGAACTGGGCTTGGAAAGATGTAACTTTCATTTAATCCTAACCTGAATGCTGGGTGTTGTTTGATCTCAGGTATCGTAATTCTGTTTTGTGGATCAACAGTTAAAATCTTTTGTATCAAATCTTGAATTTCGGGACGGAATCTAGGCATTTGGAAGCTTCCACGTTTTACTTTGTGTAGAAGAGTACGAATCGATGGATCATCAAACGGCAAATAACCAGCTAAAAGAGCAAACAAAATAATTCCGCAGCTCCAAATATCGGCTTTCCTTCCATCATATGGATGGCCGTTGATTACCTCTGGAGCGGCGTAATGAGGTGAACCACAGGAAGTTTCTGCAATATTAGAACGAACCCATCTTGCAAACCCGAAATCGGCTATTTTAACTCGTGTGTATTCATCTAAAAGAATGTTTTCGGGCTTAAGATCACGATGGCAAATACCAAAGGAATGAAGATATTCAATGGCTAAAATAATTTGTCTGAAGAAATCTAAAGCCTGATCTTCAGGGAGGACACGCCTTGATATAAGATAATCGAATAATTCACCTTGCTTCGCATATTCAAGAACAATATAAATATGACGCGCTGATTCATAATAAGCCAATAGCTTTAATATATTGGGATGATCAGTCAAACGCATTAAAGCGCACTCTCGATGAACTTTCTCTTGGAGATCAGCACGTTTCTCGAAACTTGATTTTGGAATAATTTTAATAGCGACGTTTTCATTTGTTTCTTTATTAACAGCAAGTTTGACTTTGCCTGTTATGCCTTCTCCGAGAGTCCTGATGACAATGTAAGGACCAATTTTCTGTTCTGTAGGTGCATGAGGAGTATCCATAAATTTTCTGAAGTTGTCATGTTTTCTTTCTCACTTCCAAGAAAAAAAAATTCATTCCTCGATCAACGTTGAATGCAAGAAGGTTATTTTTACGAATATTATTAATGCCCAGTAATCTATGATCGATGCGAATGGACTAGATTTTTTCTATTATTTTGAAATGATTTTACGGTTTGACAAAAATTTGAAAAGGATTTTTGGAGAAATTTTCCCATCAAAATTTTATTACTTTGAAAAATATTAATTAGACAACTACATTGTCTGTAATCTTATCTTGTAAGTGGCGTTTAAAAAAAGAATTTAACCGAAAATGAGTTTCATAAATTCAGACAGTTTACTAATATTTCAGATTGTTTTTGATATGGATTGACACTATATAAATCAATATTGTTAAATGATCTGATTATTTTGGTTTTATAAGCAGATTTAACCTCAAATTGCAATGTTAGAAATCATAACAGGTGTTTACTTAAATCCTCGATCAAAATATGCTATGTAGTATTTGTATGTTTCATGTGCGCATTACAATATGTAAAATATTAACATAAATTTTTTTTATAAAATAACAATTACAAAATTACAAGTCAATACTGAAAATAGACTTTTGCTCTTTAATTAGAGGTATCTTATCAAATATTGCGTCGTCATAAATTGCTGCAAAAGCCAATATAATATCAAGATCATTTTTATCTTTGAGTTTCAAGGTTTTGAGGAGCTCATGAGTCTGTTCATGAGTTAGTTTTGTAGAATTGTTATCTTCTAAGTAATCTGTTACAATTGCAATGAGAGATATTGCAGTTCGAACAAAAACAGCTAATTTTTGCTCGCAAACAAGAGATTTAGTAGGTGACTGAACTTCTTCTAACAATTTGAGGGCAGTTGCGATTTGCTGAGTTGAACTTATTGATTTTGCTTTGTAATTTACTGTTCTTGTCTTTATCTTCTTTTTCCTTTGGTCTGGATCGTCGATAACGGATATGGCTGCTCTAATCTCTTTGAATTCTTCTGATGCTGCAATTTGAGTTGATTGAGCAGGGGTAACTAATACAATTTTCTCCGGCAATCTAACTAATGCACGAGCAGTTGTTGATTGCAGAAGGATTTCTTCTGCGGGATAGTTTTGTTTTTGGATTACTTGTAAATGCAAAAACATGTTCGGTCTGGAGCGAAGTTCTGCACTTGAATATTGAAGATATTCAGGAAGGGTAAAATGTGTTAAGAAATTGAAGAATCTTTCGCATTCTGAAAAAGAATTTACTTCAAATATTGTATTCATTTGACCTCTGAGATGGGCGGTGAGGATTTGAGCGTATAAAGATTGCTCAGCCGGGTCAATTTGGAAATCTAAAGGCTTAACTCCAACATGAAATAGTTTTGAGATATCAATAACTGCGCATTGAACTAAATCTGTTAATTTTTCAAATGGTTCAGAACGAGAGAGTAATAGTTGAGAAGCATGAACAATATGTTGGGCGTAGTATTTAGTTGCTTCAATTACGTGTTGAACTTTCTTGAATTGACTCGATTTAAAGATTATTGCAACAGAGTAATATACATCTAGTTGTTGAGGTTTACTTTTCGGAACTTTGAAGATTGTATTGACAACAAACCAATCTGATGAAGCAATATCAAGAACAGTAGTTAAAAATTTATTAAATGCGCTTTCTTTTTGTCTTGGGAGTGTACTGAGTGTCATTCTTGATAAGGATATTAACTGTTCTGTTATATTTTCGTGTGTGTACTTCCAAAGATAAACTAATTTCGATCCTGATAATATATCGAAGTCGCTTATTGATACTGCGACAATCGGATCCCCTTCTTGCGGAAGATTCAATAAAACTTCAGTCATCAAAAAATTTTTTGACAGATTTGCTATAGATAAAAATTGAGGAAAAATAATTAATATTTTATTCATATTTTAATTTTAAGAAAGAAAAATTTATTCTCATTAAAATTAAATGTGCAAATCAATTTCATTTTAGCTAATAAGATAATATTTTTAATATAAGACTATGAATACAAAGTAATTTATTTTGATATTTTTTTTGCGACAGACATCATTGGTAACTAATTATATTTCATTTCAATGACCTCATGAATACAACTCCAGCTTAGTATAGCCTATCATTTATTCATCATTTTTTATGAGTGAAGGAATTTCTCTTGATGTGTTTATACTTTTGATTATTGTAGTAATAGCAATTTTTATATTACTAGTAATCACGTCTTTTCAAGTGTATTTTAGTGATACAACACCAGCAGAATTACAGATTTACAGTGTGATTCGAAATAAAGATACACCACAATATATAGAAAATCCAGAAATAAATGTCGAACCATCCAAAAAAATAAATTTAACCATAACTGTACAAGTAAATGCCCACAAAATTCAAGAAGCTAAAGTAGAAATTGAACAATATATCGAAAAACTCAATAATTCACCAATCCAAAATAAATCATTCGAAATACTTTGTATTTTCCCAGCAGATTCTCCATTGATTAAGCGTTTTGATGAATTAAAAGTTTCTATACCAAATTGCAGGTATTTTATCAGTCAGAATGACGTTATCGAGAACTTTAAACTCAGTGTGCTCTATGCTAAAGGAAATTATGTTATTAATTCCAAATTTATGGATCAAGAATTGTTCGACTTCCAAAATTACGAAAAACAGTTCATTATTCTTGCTACACCTATGAATTCAGTTAGTTTACCATTTTACAACAAAATTTGCTATAGTATTCCGATTTTTATTTATAAACCAGCTGGAATGATTATATTTTCAAGATTACACTCAACTGGCCAAAAAGCAGCACCAGAAATAGACCTACTTTCCCGCAAATGCTCATTAACAATCTATAACAAAGTTTATATATTTTCTGATTTCAATCCATCATTATTCTATTCAATTTATTCAAGCATTTGGCTGAAGGTGATTAATATTTTGTATAAATTACAAGTATGGACTGTTGGAAAGAAAAAGAGAAAATATAATTAACTTTATTTTTGTTTATTTCTTGATATTTTTACCATCTGATGCATATATATTGTTTAACCCTTTGAATTATCCTTTGTTATGCGTATAATAAATGTATATTTATAATTCTTTTTATTGACACCTAATTAGTATCTAGTTTTTTCTACCTCCATCTACTCAATACATCCCTTCTTCTATATTCTTTCAAATGCATAGTGATGTAATTACAATTATCCGTTACACACAATTTTTCCAGTATTTCAAACTTTATTTGACTTTTTATATTGTTTCTATTCTTATTCTCTCAATTTTCCATTCAAAATATTATGTATGCTTCTCCATTGTCGACAGGTGGAACTGCCCGACAAAAGGAGAAGCTTAAAAACAAGATTGAACGTTTAGAGGCTAAACTTAATTCCTTAAGAGTAAGCTTTAATAACGAAAATGAGTTGATCAACCAAATTAAACAGAAAAATCTCGAAGAAAATTATAAATTACAACAGATAATACAAGAAAGTTCTAGAATTGAACAAGAAATCCGAAATGAAATGTACAAAAGGGGAGAAATTAATAGAGAGATTAAAAAACAAGAACAAATCCTCGCTAATCCAAGTTTAGCAGCCGAAGAATCACATAACCAAATGGAATTGAAGCATCTTAACAAACTAATTGACGAAATTGAACTTGATATTCAAGCAAAAGAAGAAAAGATTGATACATTCAATAAAAAGATGCAAGAACAAGCTGCAAGTCAACAATACAGAAAGTCTTCCATAATATTAGATCAATCAAATTTATCATTAGCAAGTTTACCTCAAATTGACTCAAAACCAACTATCGAGCTGTTAAAACCTACCCTTGAGTTGGGTGAGCTAGTTTCTTTTGAAGTTAAAGAAGAAAAACAGAATAAACCAGTATTCCATTTCGATGATTCCGAAGAACACGACATTCCAGATCTAGAGGACAAAGAAAAACAAAGAGAAATTCAAACCGAACTAAAGAGATGCATGGCGATATTTGATGCACATTCAAGAGTTAGAGATATTTTAAATACAACAAATGCGAATATTTCAAGAGCAAAAGCAACAACAGAATTAGCCAAGAACAAAAAGAAAGAATACTTAGGAAAAGCTAATAACATTGAATGGCTCGAACACACGAGATCACATCGCCATAATACAATAAACCAATTAGATGAAACAATTGCAAGATATAATAAAGAACTATCATTATTGATGAAAAAGCAAGCAGATTTGGAGCAAAACATACATTTAATGAAAGAACAGATTGCAAGATTGCAGAGGAGAGATACTCCAGATGTTCCTCAGCTCGTTGGAGAAATGCAATCTTGCAAACTTAAATTCAAAGAAAGGAATACAAAACTTCAAAATGCTTTGAAGAGAATCACAGAAATTGAGTCTGAATCGGAAAAACTAAAGAAGTTTTTGAGGCCAGGAGTTATTTCTAGAATTAGGAATGAAATAGATACACTTAGATACGAGAAGAATCAGCTCAAAGTAAAGCTCTCAGACTTACAAAAGATTAACCAAAGCGAAGTTAAAAGAAATGCTGAGCAAGGTAGAGCGGAAAACAGTAGTAGAGAAGATCAAATCAATAACTTGATCTTTAAGATAGGAAAACTTAAGACACAAAGAAAGAATATAGAACAAACAATCGAATATACTAAAATTGCCATAATTGGAGCAGGATTACATGTACCCCTAATGAAAGAAAGGAAAAGAAGAGTTATATTTTGATTTATTGCTATTTGCAATATATATTATTTTGTTGCGTTTAATAAATGTTTGTATTTTTATTTTATTATTTCATAATGTTCACACAAAATGTATTTTCTGATAGCGATACCAATACTTTTTCAGAACAGTTTATTACTGCATGTCATGATTGAATTGACAGATAATTTATTGGATTGAAAAAAAAATAATTTAGAAAGGGATAGATAAAAATTTAAGGGGAGATACCTAGAGTAATTAAAATAATATAAAATAAACATAATATATTATAAAAATGGTAAAAAAAATTTAAAAAGATAAATGGTCTTTGGAAAAATAGAAATCTGTTCTGTAGAAGTAGATCATTATGGATAGTTATTATGAAATGTAGGTGAAATGTTCGGTTGCGAAGAAATTTTTTTGGGAAAAGATTTTCGTAAGATTATTTCCTGTCTTATATCTGGAATACGGATGTAATGTCAATAAGGGCCCTTATTGGACAATGTTTTACTTTCAACCAATTACAAATGTAAGCAAACCCAGGATTCAATGAATAAAAACTTTAGTAGCGGGAATCACGGCGGCGGTCATCATAATCACGTCCACGTCCTCTGTAGTCATCGTAATCATCGTAGTCGCGTCTTCTGCTTCTTCTATCATCGTAGTCATCATAATCGCGCCTTCTGCTTCTGCGGTCATAGTCATCATAATCACGGCGACGACGGTCATCGCGGCGATCACTGCGACGATCGTAATCATCATCACGTCTTCCTCTACGTTCGCTACTTCTTCTCTCTGAACGTCCTCTGGAGATATCGACAACAATCGTACGACCTTCGAATTCCTTCTTGTTCATTTCAGCAATAGCCTTATCTGCTTCTTCCTGGGTAGCGTACTCAATGAAACCGAAACCTTTGGATTTGCCTGACTGGGCACGTACTGGGATTCTACTGGAGATAACATTACCAAATTCGGAGAACTTGATCTTTAAGGACTCCTCGGTTGTCTCAAAAGAGAGGTTACCAACATGAACGGTAATTGTTTCTGGTTTCTTTTCCTTGTCATCTTGCTGTGGCTGCTCGGCCTGCTCTTCCTTTTGCTCTGGCTTTTGCTGCTCTTCGGCTCCGGACTGGTGATCGGACTCATGATTGCTGCCTTCGTCTCCCGACATTCTCTGAGAAAAAAATGGTAGAAAAATTCAATTGTTTACAGACCGATTATCTATCTGTCACATTTTAAAATTTTTATTCATCTAAGGGTTTCGTTTTGCTAAAATTGTCACTTTTATAGCATATTTGTTTTTGGATGTTTTGCGAAACCAAAAAAAAACTATGATATACAGTGTGTGTGTAAAGAAAATACTTTATTTACTAGTTAAAAGATCATTTGGTATTGATCAAGTTATTTTTTCTGGATAAGATATTATATGGATAATTGGATAGAAAATACAATTATATAATCTTGTACCTGGTTTAATTAAGCTAATTGTCATCAGAAACTTGTAATTTTTATGAATTTCAGATTTTCTTTTCATTACTGCTTTTCTTAATAGGTCAAGTTCTTATTTACGTTATAAAGTATGATATTTACAAATATCAAGTTATCGTGTTTTTTGAGAAATTATGAGAAACAAACAAAAATGAAAAAGATAGGAATAGCAATGAATAGTGATGTGGGTATAGAAAATGTAAGAGATATGAATGCAAAGCAGTCAGTATTTAGGACATTGACCATAGATTTCGAAAAAAAAATGCTGCATATTGAGCGAAAACTATGATTATATTATAAGGCTGTCATTTAAAGCATAATGAAACTATTCCCTTTTCATTTTAATCGAATAAGATAGTAAAGATTTTTGAATTAGCTAGAAACTGATGAGATGTTTTCACAAATCAGATTTTTAATCTCTATAATGCATAATTCACTCAATATCTCAATTTTGATATTGCGAGATATTTTTGCTATCGGTTTCGCAATTTTGACACAATAGCAAGAGGGTTCTATAAGCATTATTATCAACGTAGAATCTGAATATCATATCAGAAAATGTCGCAAATCTGACATTTACCCGACCAAATAGCAAAAATAATTGAATACTTTTCGCAAAAACTTGAAAAATCGATAAAAATATGAAATATAGATATTAAAGAGACTTTTTATATAATATTCATAAAGATTTTCCAAAAATATGATACAGCAAAATTAAAAAAGTGACGTCTTGAGTGGAGTCAAAGGTCGAAATTGCTAGCTAAATGTTTTTTTAGCGAAATTGCGTATTGTACGTTTTTTTCGCAAAACGAAACCCTTAATTCATCGTAAGTCATTCTACTAAGTAATTCAAAATAAATAAATTTTCGTTTTGAACGTTTTTAATATTATTTCCGTGATATACTCAATTTTTCAATTAAATCAAAAACTGTTTAGGAAATAATAAAAAACATCCCCATCAACCATTTTGATCGACAAAATTTTTCCAACTTATATATTAGCGCTAGCTGCTCTTCAATGTCAATATGGCTATTCTTTACCTTGGATCATTCAATTTATGCCTACATTTTGTGGTGGCGTATCAAAATCTACCAAAATCCAAACATGTGCTTATAAATATTTACAGTCTGACTCATGGAAAACAGGGATGTGATCCTTTCTAAATCTTTTCACCTTGCAATTTAGAATCATTTAATATTCAAGCTGAAAATTCAAATACTGCTTTATGACTTGCTTGGATGAAATACGTGACAGCAAATGACATGTCCAGAAATGACCATTATCGACTTTTAATATAAATGGATATCAAATACATTCTCAAATAATATTATCATTGTATTTTAGTTCTGATCAATATGAAACTGCCAAATCTATAATATGGAGTTCATATCATAGTTTGTGATAGACATTTTATCAATATCATGCTATAATTGATGTTTGGAGATGAGTTATAGACAGTCAAAGCAAATTTGTAAGCTCCTTAAGCGTGTTTGCTATTTTTTAAATAAAGAATGACACAATTATTTCTGATTTTTGATAAAAAAAATATCTTTGTCACTTTTTAAAATATTGTGAAAAATCAGATGTTTACTCGAGCATTATTTTTATCACATTTGAATAAGAATGTGGTAACAAATCAGCTCTCTAGTAATATTTCTGGCACAATATCCACTCCTTATTCATTCAATTCGTTAGTCGACGTTATTAGTGTCTCAGATGCTCAGTTTATTGATATCACAGGCTCAAATACAGAGGGAGGAGGTGCAGTTTCATGCACTGGCCCAGTTACATACGAATTTACAATATCAAAATCGTATTTTAATAGTTGTTTTTCAACTGGATCAAACTCAAAAGGCGGCGCAATCTTATCATTAAATTCAGTGATTTATCAATGCATTGATTCCTGCTTTACAGAGTGTTTGGCGCGTTCTGGGCATTTTCAATATTTAAGTTCTTCCAACGGCTCTGCTCTCATATCACAATCATCATGTATTAATAATAATGCTGAATCTGAGATAGGTGACCAATCTACATATATAAATTCTCCAGGAATTTATGCAGAAAATGCTAATTTTTCTTCAAATTCAGTAAACGGCGTCGGAGCAGCTTTCTCAGCTATTGCAAATTATAATCTAGTACTACAATTATGCTCATTCATTGATAATTACGGCATTTCTACACTACATTTAAACGGAGATCCGTATGCTTGTTATGTTCAACACGATAACTTCATTGATAACGCAGGAAACTCTTTAATTTCTGTAGTAGGTGACTTTATAATATCTTCATCATGTTTTTCAAACGAAAAAATCCAAAATCCATTTTTAATTTACGAAGGAACATTGAAATTAAAGAAATGTGCATTCACCGAAAACTTTACAATGCCTACATCAGTTTCAATCGATAAAACTTACATACAAACGCCAGAATTATACCAAAATCAGGCCACAGAATTAGAAGAATGCCATGCGAGTGCTGGTGGAATAGTTGAAGACATAAAGACACCAGGACCAACACCAGCTGCTCATAATTGGGGCTGGGGAGTCGGAACAATTTTATTATTGATTTTGATCGTTTTTGTTGTCGTTGCCATAGTTATAGTTGCTGTTTATATTATTCGCACATGCTTCTGCAAGGTTCCAAAGGTCTACAGAACTGTAAAACAAATTGAAGAAAATGCACAAGAAAGAGGACTCCTTGATGACCAACAAGAGCCAATTGTAGAACCAATACAACCAGCTCCAGCTCCTTCTGAGCCTCAAGAACCTCCAAAAGAAGTCGAATCTACTCCTGAACCAGAAAAGCAAATAGCTCAATCTCCAAGCCGCGTACAGATCATTTTAAGCTACACTGATGAAAGTGAAAAGGAAATGGAGTCAATTTCTTCTGGAAAATCAGATATCAAAGTTCAATCTTCTTCTACAGAGCCTCCACCACAAAGAGTATCAATTATTAAGGAACCTTCAGACACTGAAGAAGAAATTCCTCAAATTCCTGTAATAGAAATCCCTCATGACGAAAATATGGAATCTGATTCAACAATTACTGACCCAGCATCAATCATTTCTCACGAAAGAGACACAGAAAAACCTAAAGAGAAGGAAAGCACCTCTTCTTATTCATCAAAAGCACCAGATAAACCTTTAATTGAGAATTTGAAGGCAGAAGATGAGGATAAAAGTGATTCTTACTACTCCTATTCGAATGACAATTCTGTTCCTTTGCAAGTTTCTCCAATGCCGAATAAATTAGATATAAGTGAGTCAGATTCAGATACTTCTTCATCAACAACACCAAAGAAACACGTTAAACTACATCTTGATGAAGAATCAGAAGAAGTCCCCCTACAAAAACCAGGAAAGAGTCCTAAATCAAGTGATTCAAAGCCAAAGAGGTCTTATGCTGGTGATGACGATGAATCTTATTCTTATTCATCTCCTCCCCCGATGAAACCTACAGAAAAAACAAAGGATTCAAAACCAAAACCAGAATTTAAGCCAAAGAGGTCATATGCAGGGGATGACGAAGAGAGTTCGACATCTACACCACCAATACCAAAGAAACCAAAGAAATCTGATGAAAAACCAAAAGATTCAAAACCAAAACCAGAAATTAAACCAAAAAGATCTTACGCAGGGGATGATGAAGAGAGTTCTTCTTCACCACAGCCTAAGAAGCCAAAGAAACCAGAAGAAAAACCGAAAGAGGAAGAAAAGAAGCCAAAATCCGAAGAACCAAAGAAACCAGAAGAAAAACCAAAAGAACCAAAGAAACCAGAAGAAAAACCGAAAGAACCAAAGCGAAGAATATCTTATTCTGAATCAGATGACAGCGGATCGTACTATTCTTATTAATCTTACTCATCAAAGTCAAAATCAGCTTCTGAGAAGAAGCCTAAGAAATAAGGCGCTTATAACCATCAATGTGATTGATTTTTTATATCGATCGTTTAATATTATGTTATTTTGTAAAAATTATTATTGTATTTTGCTGAAGATTGTAATGCATCTATCTTTTTCTTCGCCAGATTTCTGAAAAACCCAGTCGAATCCTTTAGAATAAGATTCGTGAGAACGAACTAAAAGATCGAAGCCATTAGTCTCAAGAAACTCGTTGCAGACATCAGGACCAAACAAATATCCTGAGCCATAGTTATATATTGATTGATATTAAAAAATGAATATGCGATAAAGCTAAGTATGATGCTTGCAATATGCATATTTTTGCAAAATTAAAACTTTACTCCCAAAATCAATAATTAATATATATAAAATAAGAAACAACAGGAAAACAATAGAAATCAAATTAGAATGAAAACGTAAAAATTACTGTTCAACTAATTGATCAGTGTCGATATCGAATGCTTCAATGACACCAGTTGCTTTAGATACCATGTTGTAAAATTCTTGAAAAGTGAGTTCCTTCTTGTCTCTCGAATATGTGTCAATAAGTTGTGAAACAAGTTCATCTATCTGAGACTCGGTGAAATCAAGATATTGGTTGTTTTTGAGTGAAATTTGTATAATATTTCGTATTTCATCAGCGGAAACGTTGCCACTGCCATCCGCATCGTAAGCCTGGAAACATAATTTAACTTTTTCATCAAACGGTGCGTCTGGATGGAATTTGTTTAATCCTTCAACGAATTCAGGAAACGTTATTTCGCCACTACCATCATCATCAATAATCTTGAACAAGATTTCTGCAATTTGATGATTTGGTATATTCATTGCAACTTCAAAATCATTTAAGTTAATTCTTGAATCTTTTGACATTTGGCGGTACTTCTGGGATAGAATATAAATTTGCTTCAATGTGAAATAAGATTTCTGAACGAACATCTGTGCCTCTTCTTCTCCAAGATAACCATGATAAACAGCACTAACGTTGATACCCATAATTGCTGTAAAAAAGTGACCGAACATATTTAAAATTTTAACTTTGAATTGTTAATTATTCAATTAAAAATTGAAAATAAGATTTTTAAATCTTGACTAAAAATAACAAGTATGTAATATATAGTTACAAATATCCCGATCAAGCCAAATAATTGAATGATAAGCTTTTGAATGAGAATCTAAAAATGCGATCGTTCAAAATGAGCCAGTATTATAAATGCATCAATTTTCATAAAAGAAAATTTCGTTGAGTAAACAATTCAATGAGAAATGAAAACTTAGAGCCGTTGTTCTGAATTTCAAGGAAGAAATGCGAACCTCTGATTATTAATTTTTATTATTTGACTAGTTTCCAAATTTTATTTCCATTTGAATTATCGCTTCATTTTATTCATTTTTTTTAATGCCATAAAGGCCTGCGGCATAATTCTCTCTATATTTATGCTCACTATGCACTGGAAACAATAAAAGCGTGCATATATCTATAAAAGACTCTAAATTTTATTCGCTAATAATTTATTCTTGAATTAAACTTATAATTTCATCGTGTCATTCATTTAAAATTAAAGCTTTATGGATTTTCACATTACTATAATTCCTTAATCTGAAAATATGAGCAAATTGATAACTCTTAATGCAAAAATGTCCAAATATTTGATCAATTTCAAATATAAATTTTAATCATTGAGAATTGTTAAATTCACAATTCTCTGCATATTTCAGCTGTGTCATTTTCATCTAAGTCTTCGAGTCTTGTATCAAGAAGTGGAGGATATTTCTTGTCAAATGTCATTTCTTCTGGTTCAATCTCAGTTCTTGTCTTACCAAGGCATGCAGCAACTGCATAAATACCCATTGCAAGAATGAAACACACCAAAGAAATGACAAATATGACCCATCCACCATCGCTAAATATATTAAAAGAATCATAGCAGCAATTTGCATTACTGCTGAAAAGATGTGGAGATATGGATAAAGGAAGGCCTTGGAAACCAAGTCTTTTTCAATGGAATATCCACGTCTCTTGAGCTTGAAGCGGAAAATAATTTGGGATATAATGATTCCTGCCCACATTAATGTTCCTGTGAAGCCACTAATTCCAAGTAATGATCCATAAAATGAATTGCCACCCTTTCCAAATAGGCCAAGAGCTTCTGTCATGAAACCGAAAATGAAAACGGCCCAAATGAAAACAAGGGTGAAAATAGTTGCGTTCAGAGGAATGGTGTTCTTGTTAAGCCTTGAGAGAAATTCTGGAGCTAATCCTTCTTTGCTTAAACCGTATACACATCTCACTGATGCGTAAAGACCTGAATTAGCGCATGAGAAGGCTGCAATCAAGGTGACAAAGGTGAACAATTGCCCAGCCCACTTCAATCCATATGATGTTAGTGCATATGCGAAGATGGATTCGTCGAGGTTGGCCTTTTCGTAAGGAACAATAAGGACTAAGGCAATAACAGGGATAATATAAATAAGTACAATCTGAATGGAAACGTTTGTGCACGCTTTCGGAATATTTTTGTCTGGATTCTCTGTTTCGGCTGCTTCGAGGCCAACAATCTCAGTTCCTTCGAAGTTAACCAGGATAAATATCATATAAGTGATAATAATCAACCAGCCCTGATGGAATAATCTCTTACCAAGAGAACCTTCTCCCTGAGCAATGATTTTACCACCAATGAATCCAACTTCTTCTTCTGTAAACGGATGGACTTTCTTTCCGATAACTCCAAACCAAATGAAGAAAGCAATAATTGCAAAAATAACAATAACTACAATTTTTGCGATTGACATTGCACTTTCAACATGGCCAAACCATTTGATCTTGAAAAGATTTAAAACAGTTAAAGCCATCAGACATATTGCACCCCAAACAAAAGAACTCCAAGCGGTGTTCTTGAATGGGATCGTATAGAAATGATTTAAGTAATATGAGAATGCAAGACATTCCGATGGGCAATAGACAACCCAATTAACCCAAAATGCCCAACCAATGCCTGTAGTAAGGATATTACCTAAAAACTTCTTGTTATATGTAATAAAGTTACCATGTCGTGGAAGATTAACAAGAAGTTCTGCAAAAGATTGCATTGTTCCAAAAACTGAAATTCCTGCAACAAGATATGCAATCAAAACAGGGAGGGCACCAATCTCACTGAACGTTAAACCTGTTCCAAGGAAGTAACATGAGCCAATAATACCACCGAGTGATATCAATGTGACATGCCATGACTGTATGCCTCTTGCAAGCGTTTTTGGTGCTTCTTTGGTAGATATTTCTGGAGTTGAATTGTTCTCAAGGTGTATCGATACATTTGAGCTAGAACTGTTATTTGAAGAGTCGGATTTTATAACATCAACATCGCTTGACGCTAACTGACAGTTATCCTGTACATCATTATTCCTATTCGCTATATTCTTTGAATCCATTTATCTCTCTTGCTATGACCTGCTAAATGAGTTTTTGTTTTCTGATGTCAATTCAAAGACAAATGATTATTGAAATAAGTTATGCATATTTGCATTAAACCAAGCAATTTTTAATGTCATGCCATCTTGACAGATCCATTTATGAACTTGTAAATTATTCAAAATAAATAGGAGAGTATTCAATTAATTGATTATTGAGAAATTTTGAAAATCACTTTTATCTAAGAATATTCTTGAATATTGGTCAGTGAATTAAACTATATGTACTTAAAAAATCGAAGCTTTCAATTTTGAATTGATCAATTTGCTTTGTAAAGTATCGAAGCAATCAAAAAATATCAAAGACTTCTGATCTTTGATATGAGACAAACACAATCCTAGATTTTTAATAAGAATTTTTATCCGCTTTTATTGCAAAAGTTAAAATCAACGTAAATTGATAGAATAATATTGTTCAACATGTTATAAGCATTATTCTTTATGTTTGGTCATTTGGAGATATAAAATAATTTCGGTTTGACAATCATCGAATCATTTCGATATCGGCTGTCTCTATATTATGGTTTTCAATTAACAGAGTCTTGTTGAATTTTTATAAAATTGAATGGTATCAGAAAGCGATAGCTGATTGGAGAGTATTTTATACTTGCCTTTGGCTTTCGGACAATAAAATAATTTTCCAGCCTATCTAAATAATGCATATGCAATTGAAATAACATAATTCTGATTCCTTTAAATAATATTTTTAAAATTTGGTCTCAACAAAGAATTTTCATGCTTGATTTAATATAGATCATTTTAGAAATCCTGCAAATAGCATCAGAACAGAAAAATACGGTGCTTTATAACCTTCATAAGATTCGAATTGGCAAAAAATAGAGCCAAATCCAAAACAGTTCTAACGTTGCTAAATTTTTATCAATTACTAAGATAATGCTCGTATTATTCTTTGACAATTTAATTTCAAATTTGCGACAATTTTTATCAGATGTATAAATAAACAAAATATTATCTGAAATAGATCCTTAGGGAGATAAAAATATGATTTGATTCTATATTTGTAAATGAAGAAGTTTTTTCTAATTTTGGATATTATTGTTGAAATACTAAATGATTAATAAACAATACAATTTTAAAATAAATATAACAAAACAATTATTAAAATAAAATATACTTTTTTTTTCTTAATTTCTGATTAATCTTTGAACAAGTGGTGCAAGTGATGCAGGAATAACACCTTCGATACCTCTCAAGAGAGCCCATGTGGCTTCCTTGAAATCGTTGTATTCCTCAGCAATCTGTCCTGCAGTACTGTATTTGTCAGTAATTTCTTGTAAAAGATCAACGAGTTGTTTCCTTGTCTTGATTTGCGGGTTCTCTCTTCCAATGATTCTTCCTGCCATGTTACCAACTTCTTCGATAGGAATGACACCATTCAACTGTTCTTCTAAGTCATGGATCTTTCCTTCGTAGTAGAAGAATCTTGACTTGTTGATTGGCATTGCTTTGAGCTCTGAAAGTGAAATATCTTTGTTGATATCGACATCTTCGTTTCTTTCACTTCCAATGATTCTTCTTATTGCGACGGCCATGAGATAAATGTGAGGCTTCTCTGGTGGCTGTATTCCTGGAATGAGCGGGAATAACGAGAACATCAAAGCCTGTAATTTATTGACAGCGCGAACAATGTCTTTGGATTTGGAAAGCGGATTCAAATTCATGGCTGGAGGGAACAAAGATTTGAGTGTATGTCTGTAAGTATCAATGATTGTGTTCATTGCGTGTCTTGCATCATTCATTTTACCTTCTTTTTCTTTGGTAGAGGAGATCAAGTTTCTGATGTAATTCGAGAGTTCTTCGATCTTCTTGTTGTGTAATTCAAGTTTTTCATTGATTTCCTTGAACTTCTTTTCTGCTGCACTCAAACAAGCTTTAGTTACATCGTTTGTAACTTTCTGAGTGAATACTTTGACAATTGCTGGCAAAGTTGATTTCGCAGATGCTGCTTGAAGTTGTGGACATGTGGCGAACATTGCTTCTTTGCTTTGTTTGACCCATTTGATCAATGTTGACTTTTGGTCATTTAATTCTCCCAATTTCTTCAATGCTTGAGAAATTATTTCATTCTGTGGAATTTCTGCTTTGGATCCAGAGATTTCTTGGAGTTTCTTCTTCAATTCGTTCAAACTTTCATCATCTTCATTTGCAATCTTTGTTTGTACTTAATTAAAGATTTCTTGTGTTGGCTTATTCGGATCATTTCCATTTGGTGACAATGATCTAATCATTTTGTCTAATTTAGCTGCTGCTTTCTTGTACATTTGGAGTTCTTCTGGTTTGACTAAATTGGAGTTTTCTTGTTTGAGAGCTTCGATTTGTTTCTTAAGATCTGAGATTTCTTCATCCTTCTTGTTCAAGATTAAGTTGAGTTTGGATGATGATGTCATGCTTGGTTGCTTTTCTTCTAATCTCTTATCCATTTCGTTGTTTACAGAAACTAAAGCGTTCTTTAACATCTTGATTCTGTCGTTCTTTTGGTTCAATGCTTGTTCTAAGTTCTTCTTTGCTTCATCTGCATTCTGTGATGGTGACAAACCTAATGATGATTCAATAGAATTGATTGTGTTGTTTGCATTTTGGAGATCGCTTTGAAGCTTTTGGTTTTCAGTTCTTTCTTCTTCAATTTCCTTCTTGAGATTTTCATTATTTGATTTCTCTTGTTGCAATTGCTTGGATAGATTTAGGTTTTCGGACTTTTGTTGTGCGAGATCCTTTGAAATATTTTCTTTCACGGATTTCTCTTGTTCTAATTGTTTGGAAAGATTGTCGTTGTTTGATTTGGCTGCTTCTAGTTCTTGTGAAATTTTCTTGCTGTTGTTTCTTTCTGCAATGAGTTCCTTGGCCAATTTAACACTGTCTTTAGTTAATTTGTCGTTATTGGCCTTGAGATCATTGTAATCTTTAGTTAATTGTTCGTTCTTTGCCTTCTCTTGTGAAAGATCTTCATTGGAATTCTCATTGTTTGTATTAGATTCACCCAAATCTTTAGATAACTTGTCATTATTTGCTTTAGTTATTGAGAGTTCTTGAGAAAGTTTGTCATTGTTTGCTTTAGATGTAGAAAGTTCTTGAGACAATTTGTTGTTTGTTTCTTTTTCTGCATCTAATTCTTTCTTCAATTTCTCGTTTTCTGACTTGACGTTTTGTAACTCGTCAACATTCTTTTGATCATTTTGTTTAACAGTTTCAATTTCTTGAACAATCTTCTTGTTTGCTGCTCTTTCTGTGATAAGTTCCTTAGCAAGTTTCTTCGTGTTATTCTTCTCGTTTTCAACATCTTTAGTCAATTTCTCATTTTCATTCTTTGATTGTTGAAGATCATTCGACAATTTCTCATTCTCATTGTTAAGCTTTTCATTGTTCATCTTCTCTGCTTGTAATTCAGATTTAGTTTGTTGAAGATCGTTGTTAAGCTTATCATTGTCTGATTTAACTGATTGCAATTCATTGTTGAGTTTCTCGTTATCAGATTTAGATGATTTGAGATCATTTTCTAATTTATCCTTATCTGATTTAGTTGTTTGCAATTCTTTAGCGAGATTTTCATTGTCAGATTTAGATTGCTGAAGTTCCTTAGACAAATTATCTTTATCAGCCTTTGTTGACTTCAATTCATTATTGAGTTTCTCATTTTCTGACTTGGAATTCTGTAAATCTTTGGTTAGTTTGTCGTTTTCAGATTTAGTTGTTTGAAGATCCTTAGAAAGTTTCTCATTTTCTTGTTGGTTGTTTTGTAAGATCTGTTGTAACTTAGTTGGGATTATGTTTTCTGGTGTAGATTGTTCGATGTTTGCAACAGATTTGATTGCATCAAGTTGTTGTTTGAGATTTGCAATTTCTGCATCATATTTGGCTTTAGAGTCTTGTGATGATTTCTCGGCTTGTTTCTTTTGTTCGATGTTTGCCTTTGCAAGAGCTGTCAATTTAGATTTCATTGCATTTTCTATTTGATCAGCAATTTGTTTCGGTGATTGTTCAGCGTTTTGTTCTGAAATTCCTGTTGCTTTCTGCAATTGTGACAAAGAGTTCTTTAACTCATTGATATTTTCTTTGTTCTTATCATTTTCTTGTTTGAGACCGTTGTTTTCACTTTGAAGTTTGTCCTTTTCTTGTTTAACATTATTGTATTCAGTCTGGAGTTTGCCATTTTCTTGTTTGAGATTGTTGTTTTCGTTTTGAAGTTTGTTGTTTTATTGTTTAACATTATTGTTTTCTGTCTGGAGTTTGCCATTTTCTTGTTTGAGATCGTTGTTTTCGTTGGATTTAGATTCATTTTCTGATTTGTGTTTGGAAATTTCTTCTGCCTTGGATTTGCCATCATTTTGGAGTTTAACGAGAGCTTGTTTGGCCTTGTCGAGTGTTTGACGAAGATCTGTTGTTTGATCTTTAATCTTTTGCAACTCATATTGGAGATTGTTAATTGTTTGCTTGTCATTTTGTGAAGAGGATTTAAGATTTGTAATTTCTTCCTTGAGTTTCTCATTGAGAGATTTGGATTCATCAATTGACTTCTGTTGCTCTGCAACTTTCTCATCCAATTGATTGATTTGTTCAGCTTGCTTTGATTTCTCATTGTTTAGGTTGTCAATTTGTTCATCTTTGGTTTGGTTGGAGATTGAACTTTCTTGATTAAGTTTTTGAAGAGACTGTATCATCTTTGACTTGTCGATTGAGTCTTGGAGAATAGATTGAATGTGAGAGAGGACTTCTTTGGTGTCGTTATTGAGTTCTGAGATTTGACTTTGTTTCTTAGGAGAAACATTAGAGAGTACTGAAGATTGTTCCGTATCAGGAGAAATTGGTTCAAGAGGTTTGGATAATGCCGATTTGATTTGTTCATAGGAGAGTTTAAGTTGGTCAATCTCTGCATCCTTGTCGGCAATCTTCTGCTTGGCATCCTCACTAAGTGCCGAAATAACTTCAGACTTCTCTTGTCCACTGACGCCTTCAAGATCAACTTTATCTTCACCACTGGCGGCAATAAGATCAAGAACTGCTTTCTCAAGGTTAGAAATAGTAGCATCCTTAGACTCGTTCCGCTTCTGTGCGTTGGCAATAAACTCGTTGATGCGTGAGCTAGAGTCTTCTGGAGCACTAGATGTGGCGGAGCATTCAGCGGCAGATGAGCTTTCTTCGAGAGCAGATGCTGGAAGATCACGACTGACAATGCCTAATGATGACTCAACTGTATCAATGGCATCGCGGTATGATGAAAGATCTTTGTCCTTGCTCTCAATAGCAGACTTGATGCTATCACGGTTCTCGTTGATCTGTTCTGGAGTGAGATGTGTTGGTTCTTGTGATTCACCGGATGGGAGAAGACCGAGTTGTTGACGAAGTTCGGCGATGAGAGATTCGTATGCGGAGAGTTGTGCATCTTTTTCCGCGATTTTTCCTTTTGCATCTTCACTCATTGCGACAATTAATTCAGCTTTTTCATTTTCATCCATGTCATTTACTTCGATATTTTCTTCCCCTGTTGATACAATTAAGTCCATTATTGCTCTTTCTATAACTGGACTTATTTCATTATCTTTTGGTGTCATTTCTTTCTTATTTGACTTAGATTCTTGAACGAAAATTTCATCATTGTCATCAACAGCTCCGTCGTCAATTAATTCATCACTAAATGCTATATCACGACTTTTTACATACATTGTTCCATCTTCATTATCTTTCTTTGATAGATTTCGTATGATATTTTTAAGTCTTTCGATTTCTTGATTTTTACTCTTAATAGCTTCGTTTATTTCGTCCATTGTATTTAATTCATTGGCATGGTTTGGTAGATCTTTGTTTGTTTCGTTAATTAAACCAATTTGATCTTTCAATAATTGAACTTTTTCTCGGTACATTATATTTTGCTTATGTGTATTCTCTAGTGCATGCTTAAGTGCTTGTATTTGTTGATCTAATGGTTGGCTCTCGTCAATTATTGAATCAGTTTCAAATTCATCATAAACTGTTGCTTTTTCAGCACTATTATTATCACGTATATTAATTGATTGGTATTGTTCCGATGGAGTTAATCTTTGTTCGCTTTGATTTTGTTGATTAATTTCATTAGTAGTTTGTTGATTGTCTGTATGTTTATTAGTTTGATTTTGTATATATGATTCTATTTCGGATGTTTTCTGCTCGATTTGAGATTGTTTTGTTTCAGAATTTTGTGACATATTTTCTAATGCTTGTTTAAGACGAGCAATTTCCTTATCTTTTTCTTCTACTGCATATTTTATGTATTTGAGTTGCTCTGTTTATTTTTCTTCACCATTTTGAGAAATTTTATCATTGACAGAATTCATTAAATCTTCTAATTGTTTATGAATCTCTGTAGACAATATCTCATTAGATGTGGACCTTATGAGTTCTTGTAATTTTTCTTCGTTAATATTTAAATTATTGTTAGTTATATTCGATTGATTATGATTGTCTGATGGGGTTCTATTCCTTAATATATCATCAATCTTGTTATGTATTTCATTTAGTCGATCAGTTGATAGAGACTCGAAATCAACCGCTCCGTTTGCTAATTGAGTCTTTGTCTGATCAAGCTCTGATTGTATAGCGCAAACTAACTGATTAGTTTTTTCTAGTTCGCTAATTATTTCTTCAAATTGTTGTTTACCTTCGTTTTTTTTTTGAATGATTTGCCATCCTAGCTTTTGTAGGGGAGTGAAACTTATATTTTTAACTGTTTCTTCCCACAACTCTTTTGACATTGTCTCATTCACAATATCTTCGAGTTGTTTGATTGGGTCCAAAAATTTTTTGCTTAAAAGGGTTTTCATATCATTACCTATATCAGGATTGACTGGTATCTTACTGATTTCCTTGACAAGGCGCCTTCCTTGCTCAAAAGAGGAAGGACTCCTGTCTGGTGTAGTCATTCAAATAGCCTCAAAAAATAATCGACTTTGGATTAGATGAAGATTTTTGTATTTTTAATACGCACAGAGTATCATTAGAAAGAAAAATTGTTTATTTTTCATTTTAATTGAATTATCTATTTTTGAGCAGAAAATTTAATATTGAAAATATTTTTGATATATTTCTATTGTATTGCTCAACCAAATTATCTGTCTTAAATTTGAATAGATTCTCAAATATTGAGAAGGTTGTATTTTACATTTATCATTCAAAATAAATTTTTTGAAATCTGAATCATTGAATTGATTTGTATTAAACTATATTAAAAAATCGAATTTTGATCATTGATCAAATTTGAATATAATTATATTCAATTTAGATTCATTGATTTTTTGAAAGGATGAAATTGCAATATATCACTCATACTTTCCACATCATAATGGTATCTCATAACAATCACAGACTACCTAAATAAATTGATTTTCCAAAGATCTTTTTTCTACTTCAAAGAAATAGGAATAGGCTATAATATTTACGCAGTACTAGGGCTGTACAAAATCCAATACCGCTTAAAATGTATCGACTTTATTTTTGGAAAAAAAATTAAAAATAGGGATGCGACGGTTTTACGCCATGACCGTTTAAAAATAGAATAATACGCCATTTTTGGGGCCGAATGGCGGCTACTTTGTACCCGCCATTCGGCCGAATAACAAAACAATACAAAATTATCGCCGTCCTTTTTTTTCTTTCTTTCTTTCTCTTTTTTTTCTCTCTCTCTTTCTTTTCTCTTTCCTCTTTTTACTCCTCTTTCTCTTTTCATCATTAAACGTAGAAAGATATATTAATATTATTTTAAAATTAAAAAAAAAATAAAGAAAGTATAATAAGTAATTATTTAGTTATCGATATATATATGTAAAGTGATAATCTGAGGATAATCTGAGGAGTTTGAGGATAATCTGAGCATAATCTGAGGAGGAGTCTGAGGATTAGACCGATGAGTAGTTTGAGGATAATCTGAGGAGGAGTCTGAGGATTAGACTGAGGAGTAGTTTTGAGGATAATCTGAGGAGTAAGTTTCAGGAGTAGTCTGAGGATCTAGTTCAGGACTAGTCTGATGAGGAGGACTCTAAGGATAGTCTGAAGAGTGGTCTCAGGAGGAAGATCTGGAGGAGGAGTCTTATGAGGAAGATCTGAGGAGTAGTCTGATGAGGAAGGGTCTAAGGAGTAGTCTGAGGATGATGAGTAATCTGATAAGGAGTAGTCTGAGGATGATCTGAGGATAACCTGATGACTAGTCTAGGAGTGGTCTAATAAAAATGTAAAATATTTTCAAAGAAAAATTCTATGAATTTTATATTTTAATTCTTAGCATTATACTGAATAAAATAAGCATAAATATCAAAATTTGAAATTGAACACGCCAAAAAATTGATAATCCACATTCAATATTTTGTAAGTGGCGTACTTTTTGAATACTCGCCATACGCCTTGGAGTTCTCAATTTTGAATTCACCTTTATTTGGGGACCTCAGAAAAATACGCCATTAAGAAAATATTGTATGAGATTTTAAATTTGAACACGCTCTACCTTAAGGAATTAAATTTATTAAGATATATTTATATATAATAAACGATTACTTAAAAAAAAGTATTTCATCGCTTATGTAAGTTTCAAAAAAATCACGAAAATAAAAAAATCAAGATTAAGATTTTATTTTTAATTTTTGAATTTCTCAAATGGCGAAATTTTTGGGCGAACAAAAAAAATGTACGCCCGGTCAAATGGCGTGTTTAACGCATCCCTAATTAAAAAAAAAATAAAAAACTCTAAAAAACAGAAGAAATTTAATATATTTTTCTTCTCCTCAAGAACATCATAAATTCCAAATATGAAAATATCTATTATAATTCCTAAAATTTCCAAATATCAAAGACTTTTAAAGGAAAATCCATTTATTTTTTGATCAATAATATTTCAATAACAATAAATCATGTTCTCAAGTCATCTTATATATTGAAACATTTCGTATTACTGATAAGGAACCCATATAATACATTTCAATAGATAATCACATAATGGTAAAGTATGTTTCAAATTATATGTTCTCAGTTGTATCATTTTTGGGAAAATGTAACTGCGTGCTCTTCACCAAATGTGTTTCATATTGTTCTGCAACTTATTTCTCTTACTCTATATATTATTTTGAAGTTTGAATTAAAAAACCTTTTGAATTTAAATAAAACATAACAATTATTTTTTAATTAAATTACTGCTTATTATTTTCATTTTCTTCTTCTCTTGTCTGAGCCCTTGTCTTTGGAAGTTCAGTGACTTCATCATCAGGACCAGAAGATTCGGTACTTTCTATATCGACGAAAACAGCCCTCTTATGACTCCTTTGTTTGTTTTTAGAGCCAGGTGGACGACCTCTTCCTCTTTTGACGGGAACATAAATAATACTTTGTCCTGGAAGTGGCTGAGGAACTGGAAGGAACCGAGGAGGAATTGGAACCTGCATGTTATTTGGAGCAATTTGAGGGAGAAAAGGAGGTGGAGGAAGTTGTGCAATTTGTGGTATCTTTGGTGGCTGGAAAATTGGTTCTGGAATTGTTGATCTCGTTGGATTTTCCATTGGAGGTGGAGGTAAAACAGTATAAGTTGGTTTTCTTGTTTCTGTTGCTTCTGGAGGTTTCTCTGGTTTTGGTTCTGGATGTTTAGTAGGAACAACAAATTGTTGACCTGGTAATTCAGGAGGTTTAACTGGAACAGCATTAGTTTCTGCTGCTTCAGCTTTCTGCTGTGCTTTCTTTTGCATTCTCTCGATGATTCTGTTTACTTCATAAACTGTTTGAGGATACATTTGTGTCAAATGAGTTACTTGTTCATGATTCAGCGGCAAGCTCGACAAAACAGTTGAAAGGACTTGTGGAAGAGCTGTTTGAGGAACAAGTAATTCTATTAACATCTGGAACAATGTTGGAGGTTGAATGTAGTTCTGTTCCAATAATTTGAAGAAATTCTTATCACTGACTTTGTGTTCTCTAAACAATTGGATCAAAATGTTCTGTGGGAATTTCGCTTCAATAATAATTCGACTGATGTCTTTTCCAGAAACTTCTCCTTCTCTTATGAACTGGAACAAGTTAAAGAATGAAATTTGGTTCCTTCTAAGCGCCAACAAAATATCAGAGTACCAATTATCTTCTTTAATTGCTGATTTGATTTTTGTCAAATCAGGAGGAGGCAAAACCCAAGAAGTTGGTGTTTTATTGTTCTGCAAGACAGGAATTGGATATTTAGGAGGTCTTCCACGTCCTCTTCCACTCCTCTTTAAGTATTGACTTAAAATTGGATGAGTAATTATATCAATATTTTGTTTTGGTGTTCGCTCTTTCTTTTCTTCTTCTTTGTTTTGTTCTTCTTTCTCTTCGTATTCTTCGGTATCTTCTTTGAATAAATGGATCTTTTTATGTCTTGTAGCCTTTTTATTCATCGATCTTGTTTGCATTTTCTCGTAAACAACTTTTTCTTTTGGAGATGTTTGTTTTGGTTTCGGTTTTGGTTTTTCTTTTGGAGGTGGAGGTGTTGGAGGACGAATAGAAACAGCAGACTTCTCTTCTTCAGATGTATCTGGTGGTGTAGGAATGTTATTCTCAGAAAGAGGTTCATCGGATTGGATGTCAATTTTAGAACTTTCACTTTCTTCTGTTTTATCTTCTTCTTTCGATGAATTCCTTTCTATTTCAACATTCGTCTTGTTTTCTTCTTCCTCTTCATTGTTATTGTTGTCTTCTTCTTCGGTTTCTTTCGATTTTTGTGTCACTTTTTTACTTTTTGTTGGTTTTTCTTTTTCTTTGTTTTTATCGTCTTTGAATGACGATAACGATCGACTTGACGGGCGTGCAGTGGTTGCAACTGTTTGAACGATGAACGCGATTCTTCTTGAGATAGAAGGTCTTGCAGGAAGAATTGCGTTGAGTTTATTGATGGTTGATTTCGAGCATTTAACATCCGCTCCTTTGTAATTTTCAGATGTTTTCGCATCGAAATAAATTCTCGCTTGATCTAAACCATATTGACAAGCGAATTGGAACATTGCAACATCAGTTTCATTCGTCCAGTTCGGACCAGCATTTGTCAAGTTGTAGTTGACTTGTTTTGGCTCATTTACACACCTTCTCGCCGCCATCATTGCGATGATTTTTGAGCGATGTTGTAAAATTTTTTCTGCCAAAATTTCAATGACTAATTCATTGTGAGTCAATTTCTTTGGAATGACCAAAGAGAACTGTCCGTGCTGGAACTTCAAGATCTCAAGAAGGAATCCTTCAACAAATGAAGTGATGTCATCTGGCAATTTGTCAAAAATTTCACAAAGAGCGATAACTTCCAACGGATCAGTTTTTCCGTCGTCATCTGTTGGAATTCCGTAGTTTTGTAACATCTGGAAAACTCTGTTTACTTGTGAATCCGTCCATTTTTCATCGTTTTCGAAATTATTGATTACGTCTCTGATGAAATCCAACGGAGGAGTGTGTTTTTCGTAGTGGCATGCCATTGACAAAACATCATTGATCACACAATTGTAAAGAGGCATCGTTTGCCTTGTTATTGGTCTTGATCCATTAATAATTTCATTGAATTCTTCAAGAGATGGGAAATCATTTTTACGTGTGGCATAACGTCTCGGGAATTGTCCATTGGAGAAGGATTTGTAGGCATCTGTGATGATCTTTTGGTTCGCGCCTTCAAGGAATTTCTCAAAGCTGCCAAATGTTCGATTTTCTTTCAAAACCTGATCGGCTAATTCTCTATGCAAATTTTTAATTTTCTTTGCATTCTTTCTCCATTCTGCTGGGTCTTTTGGAGTACAGTTAAGTTTTAGATTGCTTGCCAAGTAATAATTCAAATAAGTGTAATTTCCTGATGTTACTTTTCCTGACATTAAAGCCAACAAAGTAATTGCGAAAAGTTTTGCATCATCGACATGTTTTGAAACAGATCTTGCGATTTGTGTCCAATTAAACAGACCATATCTCATTACTGCATCAAGAAGTTCTCTTCCCTTTGTACTTGTCCACTGAGAAGTATCGATTTGCTCTTTGTTTTCTTGGCTCAATTTAAGGGATTTGTCTTCTTTTGTGAAACAAGTTGACCAGAAAGAAAATTCAATATTTATGTTCGATCTCGGAGTATTCAAAAAGTTTTCAATCAACTCTTTGTTGTCGTTTGGATATGTAACATATATTTTCGTGTAATCCATATCCTGTGATTTTCTCCAAGGAGCTGTTGACATAATTCCGTATCTTACATATGTTTCTGCAGTGTTTCTTTCGAGATTATGACATTCGAATTCACCCTTCTCGAGAAGATGTCCGAAATAAAGTAATTCGATGGAATCTTTCGTAAGCAATCTAATGATTGTTGCGTTGTACTTCATTCTCATGAAATCTCCGAGTATCAAATCTTTCCACAACTCGTCATTTATGTCATAGAAAATAACGGTTTTGATGTCAAGTTTTTCATATTCTCTAGAATTGAATTCTCTTGTCATAAACAAAACTCCTTTTGTGAAATCTTCGTGGTAGCATTCACTTGTCAAAGGAGAATTCAAGAATGCTGATGGAATGTCTTTCTCATCCAAATACTCTTTAAGCAATCTCATAATATTGAAACCGTTGCAAACAACAACTACAACTTTTCCTTCATTAAATGCTTCCAAAGCCAAATGTAAAACACAGATAAATTTCTCAGAAGCATCACCCATCAGTTCTATTTTATCTTCTTTTGACATTTCCTCTTCTTCGTCATCGTTTTCGAGTGAAATAATCAATTCACGTAATTCAGGAATCAAAAACGGATGTGAATAAGCAGTTTGTAACAAATAAGACAATGAGAAAAAGTCGTAATGACGATATGGTTTTCCTTTGAGTAATTTCTTGAGATATTTGAAAATTACATCGGCAGCGACATCAGGGATAACCCAAATTTCTTCTTTGTATGGATTCTCTGGAGGGTTCATTTCTAAGATACCGAACTTCTTCTGCGGAATTGTGATGGTGTCAAGTGAATAATCAAAGAAATAAATTTTGTGAGATGGCGTTTTTGTTAACCAATGTGGTAATTTGAATTCTTCGAGCTTATCCATGACAATGAACTCCCATTTAACACTTCCAATGGATTCTGTACTGGATACTAATACATCTGGGGTAATAATCAAAACATCAAATTTTGCATGATTATCACCAACCATTTCCTTGTTGATAATGATGTTTCTTGACATCTTATCACATGAATAGTCAACAACATACAGATCTGTGGCAATTGTAAAGGTTGTATACCATGAATTTACATGATCCGTAATAATAATCGCTGGCTTTTTATGATTTAGCTTGTTGACTGCTGTATTTAAGAAAGCTGCAACTGACATTGTTCGTCCTGCTGTTGGAGTAACACGAATGACGGCGGTTTCGTTTTTACTAAATTTCTCCATTATGAATTTGTAAGCGTTAAGTTGGGCTTCGGTAAGTTCAATGCCATGCATGAGCGGTAATGGTTCGATAGAGGGATCGAAGTTTTCAACGATTGTATTGGTTGGCATTTCGATTGTATTTTTCCAGTAAATTTTCGTCATCCTCTTGAAATCAGCCATGTTTGCTGCACAGAATAATGATGGTTCGAGTCCGTAAATCGTATTATAATTTTCCCATGTGGCATCTTCTTCTCCAAGGCCTTTCCATTTGACAAGAAAGTATGCATCTGCATCACCTGCTATCAAAAAGCCATCCTTTTCGGTTTCATCGCGAGATTTCGAATTATTTATATGAAAAACTCCATCCGAAGAAAGAAATGACGATTCGGTGTCTTCCATGTTCTGGAGAGGTGTCGTAAAAACTTTCATATGGTCAATAGGAGGAAGAGTATCCATCGGATATCCGCAAATTACATTTTTCTTATCGAGCATTTCGGATGTTAAAAGTGCGACGTTTTGATTAGACTTGTGAGAAATAATACGATAGATGAAGAGACAGTCGATTGTCAATGGAGACGAAAGTGGTTCTGTTAATTCGGGATTTAAATTGGAAATAAATAATCCTGAGTTGGTGGATTTCTTGAAATCATTCATTTTCTTCGTTTGCAATTCGCTTGTAAGTTGGTAGTCTTGATAAATTTTACTTCGAATTAAAGATTGATTAATTCTAAATGCCAGAAAGCCTGGACGTGGCTTATCATTGGTAAGACAAAGAATTTGATCAATGTCTTTCTCTTGCTGTTGATATGGATCGTCTTCCTGATCATCTGATAATGTTTCATCAGAATCGGCTTCGGGGTTAGATTCGCCATCCTCTCTTTTTTGTGGGATGAATTCACCATCCGAGCTTTGATCCGATTCTTGGATTTTTACAACACGATTATAATTCTGAACAGTGATTTCTTTTGAATCCATTTCGCTTCTTTTCCTCTCGGCGATAGATCCGTCAACAGTTCCTGCTGTATAATTCTTTGGCTTGAGTTTAGCTCGAGCCTTAGACATTTATCCTTTCAAAAAAATAATTGTATTTGAAATTTTTTATATAATTTTTCTTCGATCGCGAAATTATTTTAATATTGTTTTATTTGATGGATAGGTCTGCTTGTTCTCCAAATAAAACTCTTCACATTGAATATTTGTCCTCACAATTTATTGTTGAAAATATCCGCTAAAAGGTGATATTTCATTGGGATTTTTACATCGATATTAGAATTCAATTGAGTAAATTCTGCGTAGCATAAAACCGCCGTTTATTTAATAATAATGTATTGATTATCGTACTTCAAAATAAAATTCAGACATATGAATTTTTTTATGGAAAAAATCAATTTTAGCAATTTCAAAGGAAAAACAATCAAGATATCACTATTGTTAACAGAAACTTTCATAATATCTTGTGTATATTCCAATTTCAGTAAACTCGGCTTTCCGTGTAAGATTTCTTTTCTGACCATCAAATCCAATTTCAATTTGGATTTCTATCTGCGCTATACAAGTAATTTGAGTACTATATTTCAACTCATCATATAAAAGTATTGTAATTGAAGAAATAGGTGAATTTCAATTCGGATGTAACTTTATATGATGTACTGATAATATCAAAAAGTTCACAAATAAATGAGTATTGAATTTTTAAGAATATGAGTGAATATAAATGAATAAAAAAGTTATTCAGCGTCAGTAATTCCTCCTGCTGTAATTTGGAAAGTTGCTTCACTTTCTGGTAAAGATGGCGAATCATAAATCTTGCAAACTCTTGTCTCTCCTCTTCCTTTTCTTAAGGATAATCTTGTTTGTGAAGCATGAGCCATAATATTGCCACCAATTGGCTTTTTAGGATCGGAAACAAACATTGCTGCCCCATCTACTTGTGCAACTACTTGGTTTGTTATTACAACTGCAATTCCAAATTCATCAGCTAGTCTTTGCAAATTTCTGAGGAATTGGCCGAGATGCATCTGTCTAGCGCTAAGTTCTCCGCGTCCACTATAATCTGTTCTATATAAATTTGTGGATGAATCAACAATTAAAAGTGCATAATGTGCCTCTGCCATCATAGCTGATGCATGCACTAGCAATTGTGATTGATGGTCACTATTATATGCCCTTGCATATGCAATATTGTCCATAACATCATCTGGGTTCAATCCAAATCTTTCTGCTATCGGGATAATTCTTTCTGTTCTGAAAGTTCCTTCTGTATCTATCCAAAGGCATTTACCTTGTCCTCCACCATTTTCTATTGGCAGTTGGCAGGTAACTGCTAAGGTATGGCAGTTTTGAGTTTTTCCGGTTCTAAATTCTCCAAATATTTATGTAACTGAGCCTGTTTTGATACCTCCTCCGAGTAATTTATCTAATTCGGAGGATCCTGTAGAAAGATAAACCATTTCTTTTCTGATTTGATTATAATCTGTGGCAGAAGCAAATCCCATTGGAACAAGTGCTGCTGCAGCTGCCATAATCTTATCTGCTTTAGCTTCTGATATGCCTTTAACTGCAACTAGTAGTTTTTTGGTTGTAAAAGCTATGGATTCAACTGTATTGTATCCGCCTTCTTGAAGTTTTTTGATATCTCCCGCAGCAATACCTTGCTGCTCCAGCGGAAAGAAGGGTTGGACCACTCTGAGTCTGCTGTGTCTGAAGTTGTGACTTCCCATCCATTTGGCAATGATATAAAATGAATTTCCTTTGTTGAGGAAATTCCTCGAAATTTACTTCCTCGAGGAAACCGCTTTTTGCTTTCAATTTACTTCCTCATTCTTTGGTAAACCAAGTTCCCTTTTTCAAGGTCTTTGAATTAATGAAAAATTATCATTGTTCATAGCAAAATGAAAATGGATTAGAATCACAACCCATTGGTCTTGAATTTGAAAAATAATTTCGATTTCAAAGATCATTTCACTCTTTTAATGAAATATTTGATTCATATGCATAAATACACGTAACCTTTGTAATAAACAGAAATTCATCAAAAGTGACAGCTCTCAATTTTTTGACATTTGTAAATTCTAAATTGAATGAGAAAAATGAAATAATACTAAGCATAATACAATATTCTAGATTTAATTATAATTAGGAAAAGTTGGTTTTGAGAGTACTTTTCATAGGCATATAGAATGAAATCTTCTGAAAAATAATATCACATAAACTCATATTATTTTCTAATATATAACTATTTTATATAAAAATCAAATTCAATGATCTTAAAAGCGAATGATAAACCTCAAAATTTACGAATATAATGAGTGGGAATATAATGCTTATCTATCATAAAACCATATGAAATATCAATTTTTGCTTTACGCCTAATTTTTGACGACAATTAGCAAAAAATGTTAAATGTTAACACTCAGTCCATTTGAATATGAAAAATAAAATTGACTTTGATTAAATGTTTTTATTTATCATGCAATTCTTCTTGCGACCAAAGATTTGAATAAAATTTCAAAAAATAAGATAGCTTAAAAAATAATATACGGTAGTGTTTACTAATAGATGAATAGTATATAAATTCTATTAAAATGGATTTGATCCAAAAAAATATATAAAATTTGATCATAAATAAAATTGTTTAGTAGTCATTTAAAATGATGTAATTATTCAAATTTTGCTAAGACCCATTCGTCTTTGATATATAACTCCCATTTTTGCATTTCTGGCTCGTACCAAAATTTTGAAACTTCGAATAATTCGTTAGGAGTGTAATTACAATTCGTTTTTGGATTAATATCGAGAGATAAATGTGGTGTATTGTTGTATTTTTCAATGAACTGCTGAACTGAGTCCTTGATTTGTTGAATATCATCCAACTCGTCTGGCAAAAACTTTTCTAAGCTTGGCCACAGGCGCTCCACCTTGCCGTTCTGTCTTGGCATATACGGCAAGGTGTGCTTCCAAACTATTCCGTTTTCCTGCATAACCTGGCCGAATTCACCGCGGTTTTCACCGCCGTTATCGGTTCAGATGCAGTAAGGAATAAACTCTTCTAAAAGTTTTCTTAAAACCTTCGCTGTTGAGTTGGAAGACTTGTTTTTCAATAATTTAGTTTTGAGAACTTTACGTGTCATATCATCCAATATGGCAAAAAATGGACAAGAAACATTACCGTGAAGGTAATGAATATCGCAGTGCCATATCAAATTCTTTGATATGACACGATATTTGGTAGGTGGATCTGCTGGTTTGTAATCTCTTTTTGAAGATAAACCTGATTCCATCATAAATTTTTCCACTTGATGATGCTTTATTTTTTGTAAATTGTCAAAAATTTGATCTTTTGTCAAATCTTCTATATTTTCAAATTCTTTTGCAATTTCTTCTTTTTCTTTCTCACAATCGGGATTTTGAGCAATATTTTGAAACCTTTTAATCAATAAATAAGTTTTTGAAATTCCTCCTTTATATTGTGAAACACAAGAATTAATTAATTGTTTTTGCTCAAATGTTGGTGGATTTGATTTTCTGCCGCGACTAACTTTTGGTAATTCGATTTCTTGAAGTTGAAATGCTCTTCTTATTGTATTTTCGGCAACATTCAATTTAATTTTACCATTTTCCAATTCAACTTCCTTTCCCACACTTTTGTAAGATTCACCTTCTTCTATTCTTCTTTTAGCTTCAAATAGCCATTCTCTGCTTATAGATTTGGCAGTAGTCATAAAAGTGGTCCTTCTTTTGTGATAAGATTCAAATTTGAATGTGGATGATAAATAAAAATCAAAAATAATTGTTATAATTTAAATGAAGAAGTAATTTAAAACGATTTTATTTATGATCAAATTTTATATATTTTTTGGATCAAATCCATTTTAATAGAATTTATATACTATTCATCTATTAGTAAACACTACCGTATATTATTTTTTAAGCTATCTTATTTTTTGAAATTTTATTCAAATCTTTGGTCGCAAGAAGAATTGCATGATAAATAAAAACATTTAATCAAAGTCAATTTTATTTTTCATATTCAAATGGACTGAGTGTTAACATTTAACATTTTTTGCTAATTGTCGTCAAAAATTAGGCGTAAAGCAAAAATTGATATTTCATATGGTTTTATGATAGATAAGCATTATATTCCCACTCATTATATTCGTAAATTTTGAGGTTTATCATTCGCTTTTAAGATCATTGAATTTGATTTTTATATAAAATAGTTATATATTAGAAAATAATATGAGTTTATGTGATATTATTTTTCAGAAGATTTTGTGTTCTTCTTCAAAATTTTATTTTTTTTATTAAAAAGAATCTTTACAAAATATACATTTACTTTAATTAATATTTAAAAACGTGCTCTATCAAAAGTTCCAAAAATTCAATATTTTAGCTTTTCTGAGGTGTCACTTTTGATGAATTTCTGTTTACAACACCTTTAACTGTCAAAAATTTGATTGAATTTGATTATTGACAAAAATTTTCGTTTACGTTAGTAATTTTATCTCACAATGAATCGATCGAAATTTCCATCACCGAGAATAAGTTATCCAAGTGTATATAGCCAAAGAACCCGATTTAAAACCAAAAAGTTTCCGAAATCTGCAAGAGAAAAGTACCTTCCTCCATTAGAAGAACCTATCGACGAATTTCATGATCCTCTTACATTAGAGAACGATAAAAGGTTGTTGTTAGAAGAAATAGAACAAATTAAATCAGAAATCAAACCATTAAATGCACAAATTGATGAGTTTCAAAAACAATATTTTGGAACTAGTGAAGAAGGTCCTCAATCACCACGCTCTATGGCATTAAATACGCAAAAATACATTTCAGCTCAAGTTGCAAACCTTCACACTGAACAAGACGAGCTCTGTATTGAGTTAGCTCGCGTTCGTAGACTTTATTCAGAAAAAACGCAAAATAAATTGAATTTTGATATTAATTACCAACGATCTCAGTTAAATGATCTTACTGCAGAGTATAATCAGCTTACAGCTCAAATAAATATTTCGAAGAACGAATTAGATCAGTTAATGGCATCAGATAGTACATATTTAATTCAGAACCAAGCTAAACAAATACAGCTACTTCAAAATACACTTAGTCAACTTCAAGCAGATGAATCGGAAATGATCCAGAAATATATGAGCTTAGTTAACGATGTTCCACAAGTTGCTCAAACAGAAAACATTTTAGCGCAAAAGAAGAGACAACTCATTACAGCAGAACACACAAAAATAAGATTTTCTGTAGAATTAAGAAAACTTAGGAAAGAATATGATGATCAGATTAGTTATCTAGAACGAGAAATTGCTGATAGGGAAAATCAAGCACAAATTAAGCAAAATAGAGATAATTGGAGAAAAATTTTATTTGAACCCTCAAGAAGTCGTCAAACTAATACTAGTTCAGTACCTGCAGAAAATACAACTAAGTCAATAGAAAATAATAATCAAAATCAAGCAAATTTGGCTGAAACCAACAATGAAGAAGAAGAAATGCTTGATATTAAAGAATTTATTCATTCTGATACATTCTTTGCAGATCAGTTTAATGAAATTAGTCATTCATTGATTATTCCTTCGGAAAAATAACTAATTTAGCAAAATTGTTTTTGTTTTATTGTTTTTTGTTTATAAACTTTACTATGTTATCTTGTATTGATAGAACTTGTAAGTTTCAATAATTTACCTTGCTTTTATTTTTCATTTTTGTTGATATATTTTGATTAACTTCTATTCAGTAAGATAAGCACAAGCAATGTTCCTATAATGATAATGCAATTCTAAGTGTTATATAATTCGATGATAGACCTCTTCAGATTTGGTCTTTTTGAATAATAAAATGAGAATTCAGTATAATAATATTCGATCTTGAAGATCCTTTCACCTTGGCTTAAAGGTGAAAATAATGCCCTTCTTGGGTTATTAATAGAATTTTGAATGAAGAATAAATTAAATAGTTTGTTTTATATTGATTTACTGAAGTAATAATGCTGAATTTGGATGAAATATCGAAATTCGTAATAAATTGATATACCTGGAAGAGTAAAATTAATTATTTCCTCATAATTTTTTTTCTTGCTTTTAATATTGATTTTAACTCACCTATAGGCAAGGTAACCAGATGCAGCTAAAATAATTTAAATACGAGCAATTTCATAAAGAATTATCAATAATTTTTTTCCAAATTATTTTATCATTTAAAGCTATAACATAGGAAAGAAGTTTATGTAATACTATCAATTTGAAGATTATGACATCTTTTGAAAAATCATATCTTGAAAAAGTTCAAATACGGTTTTCTATGAAATAGGGAGTCTCATAATATTGGAATTAATTTATCTCTGACATTATTATCATAAACATGATTTTATTTTCAGTTTTATGAAGTTGACTGTTGCATTAATTTGTGAATCAATTATTTCTATTAATGAAATTTTGTATAAAAATTCTTACTAAGAGGTAGGGCAACGATAGGTCAAAAAGGCTTCTCTGATAGATTTCCTTGCCTTTTGGATATGCTATAATATATAGCCTAGCATGATAGGATATGATGTCAAAAGTTAGAACATAACTTAGGATCTTGAGAAAAATGAAAAACAAAAATTACATAAAAAAAGAAAAATTTTATCTAATTTGTTTTTTTGGACCGAATAAGTAATTTTATTGAATTTCAATACGACACATAGATTTTATTATTAGTAATAAATATAATGGTTTACTATTAACAAGGAACCTAAACTAATGAAAATTTGATTTCAAATATTGTATATGATTATCATAGATTACCAAAATATATTGCTATTTATGAGGATATAATATTGATTATTAGTAAATCGTATAAATTTAATAAATATACCATGAATATTGAATGAATTTCTTGATTCATAGGGGTAAAACGCGCTTTTATATGATTTAGACAGAGAATTTATGAGATGTAAATAACACAATAAAGGTTTATATTGAATATTTTCTAAAAATAAATCGAAATTATAAAAAACAATACATTTATTCATTGAAACTACTTGGACAAATATGAAACAAGCATTCAGGCAATACTTTTGAGACTTCAACGCATCTGATAATTTTTATATAACTTCACCTCTTATGCTTAGAGTGGAGGTATTGAGATCGTATAAGTATAGATGAGCTCACATTCAGATATGATGTGTGAACTTCTGTTTTCACTGCAATTTTGAATCAGAATAAACTCAAAACAAGAATAAAATGATATACTCACTCTCTAAATGTGTTCGAGATTTAAAGTTGTATGAATAAAACGATTCATCTTTCGAAGCCTCCCATTTAATGAGAGACTTCGAAAGATGAATGTATTCATGTAGATGAAATACTATATATGACCATGTGTGATACTAAAGATATCAAAATGTTCATTTTTAAGTGCAATAGAAGGGTTATCTCTCGTAAAATCTCAATTTAAGGAAGATTTAGAAAGAACTCCTTTCCTAAGTAGATAGTGTGTGGTTTCTGTCTTTTGGTTGATCAGGAACTATGAAATTAAGTCGGACAGAAAGAAGTTCTTTCCAAAACAGACTCCAAATGAGTTGTTCGAAAAGAACTTCCTTCTGTATATGGATAATTGTAGTTACCGCACTGAAGTATGTGATTGTGATGATGGAGTTCTCGATAAATCTAAAATCGGATTAAGATTAATTGAAAACTCAAGTAATTCTTTGAAATCTTGTGTTGTCTGGCACTATAATAACCAAAGAATGAGAATATTATGTTGAATGATGAGTACGTGTGCTCGGCATTCGCCGAGCGAATTGAGTTTAACGTACTATGAAAAGTGACAAATTTGGGCTTTTTTTCCTAGGGTTATGATCTCTTCCTTTCTGCTCAATACGACAGAAATGAAAGAATGAATTTGTACTCCCTAATTGATTACTACAATCTGTATCTATCTTTAACATAGAATTAGCTGCATTGTGATTTATACTCCAGAATTATTCAATTTAAGATCAACCTCGTAAATTTTAATCATATTGCACCAATACTCCTACGTTGAGATAAGAACATGATTATACATACCAAAGCCCCATATTAAAAATCAAAATTTAGCACCTCCATTATGCAACCACATTATTCGTCGCAAATAAGTATATTTACGCATATTATGATGCATATTCACACAACTCGTATACATGAAAAGTTATTAAAATCAGACAAAATTATTGCAATAAGGAAAAAAAACAACTTTATTATATATGTTAGTAATGAATTACAAATATTTCTACAAAGAATGCTCAATACTTCATATAATCTTCGAATATTTCTTATTACAAGTTAATACATTTTGACTCGAACATGATAAACAAAAGCTGACACGCTGATTACTACATTTATGAAAATATAGTACGTTTCCATTCATCTGTTTACTTGTTTTTGTTGGAATAAAATCATTTTTTTTTCTTTCATGAAATAAGAATTTTGCTGCGAAAGCAATATCTCTAACAATAATTAATACATTACGTCAACTCTGGAATGAGTATTTATCAAATATGATATCAAAATCAAAAATTAGTTGTTTTTTATGAGTAAAAACGATGTAAATTGATTATTTGACTAATTATCAAATACTTTGATTTTCCAAATTTTTTTCGAAATTGATTTTTTCATGTGAAAATTAAATTGTTTAATTTCATTTTTGAAATTTTGAATTTTTTTTGGAATTTTGAGTTGATCAATTCAGCAGAATTGATAATGCTATTGCTTTAGGGCATACCACAAGGTGATGAATAAAAGGTGAACATTAACAAATTATTTTAAATCACAAATATCATCCTCATCAACTTTAATTCTAAAAAGAACTGTACTGAATTATGAAAATGCATGATTTACATTATTAAAATCTTTGAATGAAAATAGTACAAGATAAGTTTTTATTCATTTTTAATTAGATTTAAACGAAAAACTACTCCATATTAAAATTTAAGTCGAGAAATCGTATTTTGTTCTTATTTTAGCATTTTGTAGACATTCTAATCTTGAATTAATTTGTTACATGATATTATTAACAAATTTAACTGAAAAAATATGTTAATATGGAATAAACCATGATTATATAAGCTATCAATGCTATATATACATATGTAAAAGATTCATATTAACTCAATTAACAAAAATGATAGATTTTCATAAAGGTTCAATCTAGGTTCGTCCGAAAATTTTGATTTTTATATAGAAGACATAGTTTCATATACATAATTAAATTTTCAAACAAATTTGATCATACCATTTATTAAGCAGGATAGTATATTAATTACTATCAGTATAAAAATATAAAAATGATTATATTTAATTATTGCATAATTTAGTCAAAGAGTTATAAGCCTCAAGTGATCGTTATCACCTTCAATGCACGTATACTTTATTGATTCATAGATATTTAATCTATGTTTGACATGTTGTTGTCGTCATTCGTTTTGTTCCCATTCTTCCTAAGTTAGAATTAGAGAATACACCATCCACATCATCTAATTTGGTCCTCAGCGATAGATTGGTTCATTTTGGAGGAGTCCCATCAGACAGTTTTCGAGCACCAAATATCAAATTTTAATGTATACAAATCTTTAGTGATTTATCTCTTTTATGATGAGTAAAAGGTTTCTGCTCATCAACATTTGATTTCCGACATATATGATTTCTAATTGCAATTATTTACTTTCTTTTTATAATCTAACTCTGTGACTCATACCATAAATTAATTATTGGAAAGTGTCAATATGTTTGGCACAACGCATGGCGGAAGATACCAAACCATGCAGGGAATATGATACGTTTAAGATCTCCGAACTTTTTTTCCAAAAATTTTCTATCGTTGCCCTACCTCTTCTTACTATAATTTTCTTTTCAATTTTTGAACTTTCAAAACTTTTCTGAATAATATTGAGGGAGGGGCTTTTTGCATTTACGGGCGTGTCAAAAATGGTTTTTGCAGAAAAAAGTGCCAAAATGTGCGAAAAAGTGACATTTTTAGCAAGATTTGATTAGAGTTAGTGGAGCTACTATTCCATCTACAAAATCTGACTATAGGGCATGAAACTTTGAACCTAATTGCGTGACTTCATCGTTGAAAATCAAGTTTTTAAAAAGCGACAAGAGATTTACTTAAATTTACAAATAAATACTCGAGTTATTTCCATTTATCCCTTGGAACATATAAATTTGGCGTATTACAAATAATGCTGTTATTATAAAAATGTATTTGGTTAAGTTCCAAATCATCAAAAAAAATACGACAAAAATTTTAAGCAGCGACGCCCTTACACTAAGGTGTATCGAAAACTATTAGTTTTTGTCGTCATATTTACATTACTATTATGAAGAAAATGCAATCTAAATACGAAAAATATTTGATTCGAAGTTTTTATGAAGATTAATTCGGATCTGGTATAGAGCATGATGCTTTTTCGTTTTGTATAGATCATTACATATGAAATTAAAATAAAAAATCAATTTATTAAATTATTAATTTTTTTTATTCTCAGTTTTGACGGACGTAATATATAAGCTTAAAATTTTGTTAGAATGACATTTATTTTTCATATTCAACAATAAAACACTGCATTTATTTAATACAAAATTGTTTAATAATGAACTTTGTTAATAATTTATATATTGTAAATAGTGTAAAAGCTTGTGTTGATTGTGATGATTGTGATATCAATTGATATTTTAGAATATATAACCTGAAATTTGAAATTGTAATAAAAATTTATCAATTAGCTCCGAAATATGACTCGTCTAGAAAAGACTATTGATATATTGAATTGTGTTAAATGCTATATCAGTCCTAGTAAAGATTTAATTATAAAATTGTTAAATAAGATGTTCATTGTTTAATATCTATATTGGAAGTTGATATTTTTCAATGTATAGTCATATTCTATGAGATTTTGTCTAAAAACTCGTATTTTCGAATAGATTTATATCATATAAGCATTATAATTTCAAATTTCCATAGGAAAATATATTTATTATCTAAAAATAAATATAATTAACCTCTTAAAATATTCTAAATATTTCATAAAATCATGATTTTCATAGTTTTTCTAACAAATTTTAACTTAATTTTTTTTATTTTGAAAAAAATTTGGAATTTGAATTGGCTCAATTCTAGCTAATTTTACCATCAATGCATTTTTTTGCTAATGCAACTCATATTAAACGTATAAATTACTATTTTTTTGGAACAGCGTTAATATCTTAACATAACACTGACTATTTGCACTAATAATGATATAAAAATAAATGAATTAGAAAAAAGAGAGGTATTTTAATCATTTTTGCTCAATGAATCTATACTGATTCATATACCGCATTCATTGATACAGTAAAATTAGGATTTTAGTTACCGAATTCTACTTTTTACTGCATAACTACTTTATTGCATCAGTAATCAGTCTATTCAAAGACACAATTCTCGTTAACGTTTTAAATTGAATTAATCTAAAAGTTATCCATCGACAAAGATATTAAAATAGTTAATAAAAAAGAATGCAAAGCAAACTTACTTATTTTCTCAGCTTTCCAATCAAAATTCCAACTTTATATATTCAAAAGTTCGATTTTGATTCAAATTCATTTTCTCACAAGAAAGAATTCATACTTTTAGAAAGGTTTTCTAGTAAGTTTGGAGATATTCTATAATTATTTTATCAAAATAAAAAAAAACAGTCTTACAAACAATTCATTTACTGATTTATTCATTAAAATTGCTAAGAATTATTAACTTCTTCATTTACGTGAAACAATTCAACTTTACCAAATTTCAATATCATATTGAACACTGATCAACATTTTCACATTCAGCCCATTCAGTACTTTTCTTCTAGACGATGAATATTAAACTACAAAGAATACTTAGAATAAAATCTTTTTTATAATAATATAACTAACTTTTTTTCTTTTTATCAATGATATGAATAATATAACCATACACATTGTTATTGTGATAAATTTTACAAGTTGAAAATAATATCAGTCTAAATTTATAATCTCATCCAATTTTCAACTTATGTTACAAACATCTCATATATGAAATCTTTGACTATACAACAAGTATACTAAGGTCCATTATAGAAATTAGTAATTTACATATATTGTGAATATATAATTTTATTAAATACTCATATCATGATCAAACTCAAATATGTTCACACTCTATCCTAATTCTGATTATTTATATCAATAAATAGTTTATATCCTTATTTTTTAAGTGTTCATCATGTAAAGTACCCTATTTTGGCACTTTTTTGCAAAAACCATTTTTGACACGCCCGTAAATACAAAAAGCCTCTCCCTCGAATAATATTTTTCTTTTGAATACTAACGAACATTTCCATATTTTGCTATAAGAGATGCAAATATATTTAACATTATATTACAAAATTACGGATTGAATTTTTATCAACTTTTCAAAATTAATTTGAATTGGCCTTTCATTCAATAAGTTTTGTGAATAAAATTTGAGGTTCAATATATATTAGATTGTTTTAATATTCTAGACATTTGTTTTATAAATGAAAGCTTTTATCAAAAAATAATTATTCTCAATTTTTCTCTGAAATATCTATTATTTTAAATGGCTGAAGCTGTTTCAACTTCAAGTCATGAAGAAAACTTTCAATTCAAGACTTCACAGACCCGCTATCATGGGCTTATTGATGTTCCATTTACAACTACATTGAAAGAGAATTTAACATCTTTATTCAACTTTCTTGATATTTATGGACCAAAAATCTCTGAAGTTCATCGGATTGTTGCTATTTTCAGGATGTTTCAACTAATCGGATGCTCATTTATGTATTCCAATGTGAATATCATCGAAAGAAAAACCGTTACTTTCTCAATTCTTAACTACATTGCAATGCTGTTTCATATTCTTCCCATAAATTCAAGAGAAGGGAATGAATACATTGTTCTTTATATTTTAAATGCATTACTGTTCTTTGGAGTATGTTATTTGATATTTATAGCATTTCGTTACAAAAAAACAGCAATTGTATCAAAATTTTCAATTAATACTCTTACGATATTCACTTCATTCTTCCCCTTTTTAATAATTCCAATTTCTATTCAATTTGCAGGTCAAATTATATCTGGTTTAATATCAAAAAAGTTTCAAGTCGAAGTTAATACAATTGTATTAAACTTTTCATATAACATTGTATTTAATTGCACAAGTTCCAAAAGTTGTTGAGAAAGTAACAAATCTTAGAAATTTCAAAGTTGGAAATAAATATATTGAAGGTGCTCGAGATATTGTTTTTGCACAAACTTTAGATTTCAAGGTTTTTGTAGATGGAAAAGGCTATATTCTGACAAAAACGAGTTTAATTGATTTGGTTGTTCAACTTGCAACCCATTCAACAAAAGTTATTGACTTAGCATATTCTTTAACATATGATGGTCTACCAGTTGATATTGCAGGTGGTTTGGATGCAATAACAAGTAGAGCAAACAATATTGAAACCACAGTCAAAGCAGGTGAAGCAATGGATTTAATTATTGAGTATATTAGATCAGTTCATAAATTACATCGCCATATTTTTGATGGAATTATGATTGGCATGATTTTATTTACAATCATATGGTTAACGATTATGTATAAACTACAGATATCAAAAATGAAGAGAAATAAGGATGCACTGTATGGAATTTTCGCGTGTTTGCCTAAAAACGTTTTATCGAACATTTCTCTTAGTTTGTCACACAGAAAAAAGAGTGATTCAAGCACTGCAGTCGATGCCGAATATGAAGTGAATAGACAAGAAGACTCAATCATAAAATTGTTTGCAAGCATTTCTGATGGTACACACGGTTCTATTGAAGTATATAATATTTTTATAATATTGACATTAGGAATATGCTCGTGCATCGGTTACTTTTTATTAATATCTTATTATGAAAGAGGTTCAGATATTTTGGTCAAAAACTGTCATCATATTAATTATTTGTATGGTAGCTGTTGTTCTTTATTTTCAATATTATCAAGTATTCTAACATTAGTACCAGTGGTATATGATGAATCATTTGTAAGTTTGGCGCCAAATCCTGAAATTGAAATGAATGTAATTTCAACATTTACATCCTTAATCAGTGATCAATGGCAACTATTGAGATTTGGTGGTTCATCAAGCCAAGATGTTCCTTATAAGGGAATGCAAAGAATTCTCAATAATGCCACAAATCATACTCCTTTCTATGATCCTTTAACTCCACCAATCTATCTTGATGAAAGCGCTCATAGTTTTTCATTTGAACAACAAATATATTTAGCAATTGCTCTCTTACGAAGAATGACACGAATGATGGAACTTGGTATATGGCCAACATTAAAAGATGGCATTAACGAATTATGGCAGATTGGTCCATTCGAAGCATATGAATTTTTCTATCATCCAGCTGGTCAATATATAATTCCTGATATTCAAGCACAAATTTTTGTTATAGAATCGCCAATAATGTTTGTTGCAATAATATTAATAATTGTTGCTTTTCTTTTCACAATCATTTCTTTGGTTATGGTTCAGGGCGAAGAAAGAATAATGAGATTTGCATTAATAAATTTACTAAGATGCAATCCAATTCAACTTTTCCAGAATAAGAGGATTATGGATGTGTTGTCGGGAAATTATAGAAAGAAGAAAGATGATGAAAATGAAAAGGATATGATATTTAACAACAAGGTTGTTAATAAACTCAATGATATAGTTATTGTTGTCAATGAAGAAAGCAATAAAATAATCGGCGTAAATAAAGCTTTCGAAGGTATGTTCAATATCAAAGAAGAGGATATTGTTTCTACAATCATTGATGAATTCTTTACAGAAGAAAGATTTAAATGTGAGGGCAAAGTTGAGAAAGTTTTAACAGCACAAACTTTATTGATATATAAGGATTCAAAAGGTAATAAAGTCTATTTGGATTTCACAAATCAAAGTGTTGCAGGAAGAACAATTTTCAGTGGAAGAAATCAAACTGAAACCCTGATGCATGAAAAGATGATTGCTGATGAAAAGAAGAGGTCGGATTCCATGTTAGCTTCAATATTACCCCCAAGTTTGGTACCAAGAGTTCAAGCAGAGGAAAAGAATATATCGTTCGCTATCAAGTCTGTTACAGTTTTGTTCTTGGATGTTGTCGAGTTTACACCATGGTGTGGAAGCCATGATGCACAATATGTGATGCGAATGCTGAACATTATGTTCAAAGAGTATGATATGATCACTAATGCTCATAAGACAATGACTAAGATCAAATGTATAGGTGACTGTTACATGGCAGCCGGAGGTATCTTCGATGAAGTCAATCAACCTTCCGTTCATGCTAAAGAAGTTGTAGATTTTGGATGTTGTGTCATCAAAAAACTTCTTGAAATCGACGAAATAGAAAATGAAAAACTTCGAATCCGAGTTGGTATCAATACAGGAGGTCCAATCATTGCAGGTGTTATTGGAACAGAAAAACCTACATTTGAAATACTTGGCCCTGCCATCAACATCGCCCATGAGATGGAGAGCAAAGGTGTTCCAATGAAAGTTCATATCAGCAGACCTGTTTATGAACTTATTTATGGTCAAAACTTCGTCATCAAAGAACGAGGAGAGATCGAAATCAAAGGTGAAAAAATGTTTACATATATTGTTGATCCATAATATAATATATATTCATTATAGAATTAACACTAAAACATTTCTTTTTATATCTGATCAAGACTATGTTTCATTGTGTAAATATTATACGCAGAATGTAATATCTGATAAATAGTGAAGCATGATGCATTAGGTATTCTGTTTAATTTAAAAAATAATTCGAAATTTTGAAGTATGAGCTTAGTTCTCCAATATAGGAACCTTAGAGAACCCATATTTCACTGATTTTATGATGAAAGCAATACTGCAATTGTCTGACCATCAAAATTATGAAAGAAATTCTGCCAAAAGTGGTAAAAAAAATTTCAATGTCTTCTTTTGGTGAATGTATTATCTGCGGAAATCCAATTACTACAAGAGTACTTCTCCCTTGCAACCACTCGAATTTCTGTCTTAAATGTTATGAAACATTAGTTTATTGTTACAATGAAGCAAAATGTCCATTCTGCCAAAAAGAAATAGAGTCGGATCCAGTATGCACTGCTAATCCTCACTTAGATGGATATGAAATAGAAAGACTAAAACCATATCAACACGATCAAAATTTTCATATATTTTTCGATGATCCAGAAATTATTTGTGAACTAGATTCATATACTAGAATTACATGTCCTGATTGTCATGCCTTATTCAATAATTTCTCAACTTTAAGATCTCACGTAAATGAAAAGCATAATAAAATGGTTTGCAAGATTTGCTTTGATTCCAATCGATTTTTACCATCGGACATTTCATTATATACAAGAGAAGAGTTCGAAATACATAAGAAACAGCATCCAAAATGCAGTTGCTGCGATCATATTGCGTTTGATCAAGATTCCCTCTCAAAACATATGCGTGAAGCACATTTCAGATGCGAAATATGTGCTAATGCAGGAAAAATCCTCTGGTTCCCAACAATTGAACTAATTCAAGTTCATTTTCATGAAAAACACTACGCCTGCGAAGATCCTCTCTGCGTTATGCAAGGATTTATCGTTTTTAGCACAAAAGTCGAGTATTTACTTCACCAAATCAACGTTCACAACGCAGATCCATCGATATTGAACGATCAGATCGAAAACAAGTCACAAGTCGAAGATCAAAGTGATTATCCAAGTTTCCGTGCTCGACATACAGAAAATATGAATAGATTGCTTAATAAATTAAATTCAGAGCAAAATGTCAATGCAAAACAGTTATTGTCGCTTATTGAAGATGTAGACAAGCATAATATTACAGCAGATACGTTCTGCTCTGAAATTAGGAAACTTTTGACGAATCAAATTTCAGATAAATTATTCCCTGACATTGTTTCAGTAATTTTAGCTCCAAAAGTCAGAAATGAAGTGGTCAGATCATACCAAGGTATCAAAGAAGTTAAGAAACAATTAGATCATAATGAATACCTACATTCGAAGAAACAAAGGCTCCTGAACCTCCCAAACCTGTTCACCAAAGAAATCAAACTGGTTCAAAGAAGAAACCAAAGAAAATTGTTTTGATGTATTAAAATTATTTTTTTGTTTAATAAATATATTATTTACACTGAAACATTTTTACTTTCCTAATGATGTCTGTTCAGTCTTAACTTGTTTTTCTTCATGTACTTCTGAAATCTTTAATCAATTTAGAATATTAGATCAAAATTGTTTAAATGTAGCCCCATGAATGATCTGCTCGATGGACTTCCAAATAAATAAGATAAATGGAATCAGTAGGCTTCCAAAAATGAATGAAATGAATTTATTTTGAAAAAATAAAAGGGTTGGCTCAAATATTCGTATTATTACAATGATGACAATGGTTCCTAAGAATCACAAATACATAGAATTATTAATAAAATTTTTGTGAGTAAAAATTCACTAGTTTACATGTATCTGTTTTATTTATGATATTTTCAAATATCAATTAACGATTTATCTTCAAATTTCTTTGATTTATTTATCAATTTTTTCAATGGATTGAAAAGAGCAAATAACTTATCAAAATGAGGACAGGAAACTTTACCAAGTTAGTGGTGCTGTTGATTTTGTCCTTAAAGTTGAATGCGAAGAGATCTTTGGAACACTTCAAGATGGTTCTTGTACTAATTATGCTTTTGCTGAGAGCACATCAACACTCACATCAGTCACATTCCCAGATGGATCTCATCTTAAAACGATTGGTGATTGTTCTTTCTTTCAATGTTCTAAATTGTCTTCAATTGACTTTTCAAAATGCGAGTTTCTTACAACGATTGGTCAATCTGCATTTAACTCGTGCAATTCTCTTTCATCAATTATACTTCCGAAAAGTTTAACACAAATATCCCGAAATTGTTTTAAACAATGTCCTATTTCATCAATTTCTATTCCCGATAATGTTACAGCATTATTAGATGGTTGTTTTAGATCTTGCTATAAACTTCAAATAGTTAATATTAATCGAGAATCTAAATTAAAAACATTTGAACAATTTGTTTTTTATGCAACACGTATTAAAACATTATTTGTTCCAAAATATGTAAATAGTTTTTCATCAAGCATTCTTGAAGGATCAGAAACACTTGAATCAATAACATGTGATGAATCAAATCAAATTTATTGTTCTGAAGGTGGGATTCTATACTTAAAAGATAAAAGTAAAATTATTTTATATCCATCAAATTATGGAAGAAGTTTCACACTTCCAGATACAATTGTAGAAATTGTTGGATCTTCATTCAACACTGCGCAAATTGACACAATTAATTTCAACTCCAAACTCAAGACTATTGGTGGATGGACATTTGTTCACAGTACACTTAGATCAGTTACAATTCCAAGTTCAGTAAATAGTATTGGAGAAGGCGCATTTCAAGATTGTCCTTTATTAAATTCAATAATAATTGAACCAGGGATCACATATATTCCAAAATCATGCTTTATAGGAGCAAATATTTCAAGCATCCAATTTCCAGATACAATAAAATCGATTGGAGCCAATGCATTTGCTGGTTGTCAAAATTTGAAGAGCGTAATATTGCCACCAAATATAACATCGTTAGGAGGAAATTGTTTCCCAAGAGAGTCAACAAAGATAGAATTCGCAGAAGGATCGCAGCTTTCTTTTGATGAACAAATGATCATGTATAATCCTGATAAATCTGTCTTGATTTTGTGTCTAAAGAATAGTGAAAGTTATATCATCAAATCATCTGTTGCCAAAATAAGTTCAAAAGCATTCCAGTCTATCTCAGATCTTAAAAGTATCAATTTCGAGTCTACGAGTAAATTAGTAACGATTGAATCTGAAGCATTCAGAGATGATGCATTGTTGTCGGCTTTTGAACTTCCTTCTTCTGTCAAAACAATCGGTTCTTCGGCATTTTTTGGTTGTAAATCACTTCAATCCATTTCATTCGGAAACTCTATATCAACTATTGATTCTTTAAGTTTCCAAGATTGTGAATCATTAAGAAGAGTTATCTTTGTTAGTTGTTTTAGTACAACAATTGGAGAGAGTGCATTCAGTGGATGCACTAAACTTAATTTCTTGTCACTGAGTAATAATGTTACTCGTATTGAAAAGAATTGTTTCAGTGGATGCACAAGTCTTACTGAAGTTGTATTTCCAACATCACTAGAGTTTATCGGAGTCTATGCATTTTCAAACTCTGGTCTTGTTACAATTACTGTCCCAGATGGAACACATATGATATCATTTTGTCCTAGTTCATTCCGAAATTGTCAGATGTTGCAAACGCTGAACATTCCATCAACAATCTTAGAATTTGAAGAAAATTGTTTGGAATCAACATCGATAACCTCATTCACTGTTCCACTATCAACTACTTCGATTGCAGACTATGCATTCAAAAATTGTTCATCGATGACCAAATTCACAATTCCAGAAGGTTGTTCTCTTTCATCACTAGGTAGCTTGATATTTGATGGATGTGATTCCCTTAGTGTTATTGAGTGTATCTCTAATAATTACTTCGAAGTTGATAATGGTGCTCTTTACAAGAAAGGTCGAGAAACACTCTATTTCTTCCCTCCTGCATCACCAATCAAATTCTTCAACCTTCCTCAAAACTTGCGAAAAATATCAGCAAATGCATTCATTAACTGCAAGAATATTGTAAGTATTAGTATTCCAGACCAATCTGTCGAAACCATCGGGTCTTATGCATTCTTGAACTGCGTTTCATTGAGTTACATCAATATTCCACTTTGTGTCAAAAATATTGAACCTCATGCATTCTTAGGTTGTGATAATCTTCGATGTGGAATCAAAATTGAGAATAAAAATAAAACATTTATCAGATCTCTTGTTGACACATCTGATCTCTTATCAAGCTCACTAAAAGACTGTGCATTCATATCTTGTAATCAGATCTTCTATCAAAATGGATTTTCTCACTTTTCTTATATTTATGTTTTTATTCTTATGTAAAAAATGGAAATAAACATTGATTTCTTTTATTTTCTTACTAACCCTATAAAAGAATATGATTTTTCCACTTTGTTTATAATTTGTATGGTCGTCCTTCTATTTGTGGTAACACAAAACTATTTTGAAATCACAAGTATATAAGAGAAATAATTATGAATAAACAGTTAATTTAAATAAATCCTTTAAATTTAATATAAAATAATAACAGTTTTTGTTTTTAGATTGATTCGTCAGATGAACTTGATTTGTTGAATCCAACATTTGAGAAATTATCTTTTTGCTTCGAAGATTTCTTAGCTTTGTGTTGACTTCTGAGAGGTTCAGGGAAGTCATGGCTACTAATAGAACTTGATGAAGATGACTTTTTGATGTGTTCAGGAACTTTAGGAAGCTTAACTTCTTGTTTATTATGAGAATCACCTTTATGTTTCTTGATCCTAAGTTTAATTCGGTGTCGTTCTTCTTTCGGCTTCTCGTCAACTTTATTTTCTTTGACTTCTTCAACTTTTGGTTTTTCTTCAAACTTTTCTTCTATTTTCTGTTTTTCTTCCACAGTTTCCTGTGTCTTATCTTCTGTTTGTGTCTGTGGTTGTCCTCTTTGTGGTCTGTGTTTATGAGGAGTCTTAACTTCAATTTCGATTTTTTCTTCTATTGTTTTTTCTTCAACTTTTTCTGGTTTTGGTTTTTCTTCAATTTTCTCTTCTTTATGTTTTTCTTCATGGTTTTCTTCGACTTCAATGTGTTTCTTTGGTGAAATTATGTATTCAATATCTTCTTTTATGTCATCTCTCCAGATTTTAGTTTTTTCATGCGGTTTTTCTTCTTCTTTTGGTTTTTGTTCCTCTGGTTTTTCTTTCTTCCTCCTTCTCCTCTTCTGTTGTTTCTCTTCATTTTTGTTTTCTTCTTTACGTTCGGTTTCTTTCTTTTCAGTCTGTTCATTGTCAATAACCAAGAATGAAACTCGTTTCTGTTCTTCTTTTTGTGTTCTAACTGGGAAAACGTTGATTCCTAATGGAGTGTTTGCCAACTTTTCTTGTCTGTATTTCTGTGTTTCTATCTCTTGTTCTATAGCCAATTCACGTCTAATTTTATCTTGGATCGCTTTCAATCTGTCTTTATCTTCTTGTGACATCTCATCTTGATCGTCGTCTCCACGTCCAAGCTTCAAAGGAGCGAAACTTGATTTAGAATTTTGTGGTGAAATTCCTGCATTAGAACCTCGTCCTCTTCTTGATGATCTTGTGATACTTGCTTTGTCATCTGTTGGCTCTTGGATTAATACTCTTGTATTTAACTGTTTCTGGTCTGGTTCCTTGTTGATAGAAGGTCTTGATTTGAATAACAAAACAGAACCTTTGTCATCATTTGAATCTGAACTTGTAACATTTTCTTTGATTTTAATTGATGACAAATCAACGTTGTTATTAGATTCTGATGTTTCTGTTGCTGAAGAGTCTTGTGTTATTGTGATGTCTCTTTGTTTCATTCTTTCTTTCCTCATCCTTCTTCTCTTTTGTCTCTCAATTGATTTCTCAAGTGGAATCTTTTTACCTTTGTAAATGAAAATTCGTATTTTAGCATCTGAATTTTCACTAGATTCATCTGTTGTCATTGTTGTATCAATTGTGGAACTCTCTTGTTCAATAAATTGCTTCTTGTTGTTGTCTTCTTCTTTGTTGTCGATTGTTGATGATGATGTGACTTCGATGAAATGTAATTTCTTTTGTGTGATGTCTTCGCTTTCTTCTTCATCATAATCTTCTTCCTCTTCTTCTTCATCATAATCTTCTTCCTCTTCTTCTTCATCATAATCATAATATTCATATTCATCATCATTTTCATCACTACTCTCTTGTATCTGACTGACGTATCTGATAACTTTTTCAACAGGAGTTTGTTTTGGTTCTTTTTCTTTTTTGTTACTTTTTTCTGAATCTGATGAAGAAGATGATGAATTTGAAATTTCTCTCTTTTTAACTTCTTCTTCTGCATTACTTGATGATTCTGCGTTAGCACTACTTAATATACTTGCTTCCTCTTCCTCCTCATCTTCTTCTTCCTCGTCCTCTTCTTCAAAATCTTCTGAATTTGTTTCTGTTTTTTCAACAACTTTTTCTTCAGTTTTTTCTTCTTTCTTTTCGACTTCTTTTGTTTCTTCTTCTTCTTCGTTTGTTTTATCGAATGTGCTTGTTGTTTCATTGTTATCTTCGACTGTAACCATTGCGGGAAGCTGGATTCTGTCTGGATTCCTGATTGGTCTCTTTCTTTTAGCAATAACTCCGAATGCTCCAACTGATGGTTTGACGTATCCATCGTCTTCTTCTTCCGATGAAGATGATGAAGAAGACTGAGGAGCTTCGATGATTTCGACTCTCTTTCGAGGTTCTTTAGGAAGTGGAGAGTTTTCGATTGGTTTCTGTTCTTCTTGTTTTGTTTTTTCTGGCGAATATGTTTCTGTTGAAATTGTTGTTGGAGGTGTTGGATAATCTTTGCCTCTGAGACTTCTCTTCTTCACTGATTTAGGTAGTATCGGTGTGTATTCTTTAGATTTCTCATGTTCATCATCAGAACTTTCACTTGAACTTGAAGATTCATCTGAAATTTGTTTTTTAGCTGGTTTTTCTTTTTGAATTTGTTGTTTTGGTTCTTCTTTCTTGACTTCTTTTGGCTTTTTGTTGTCTGATTCTGATGAACTTTCTGCTTTGAGGAAATCTTTCATAATTTCATCGCCAGAAAATGTATTTGAGATTGTATTGCTATCTCTTTGTGGCATTGGTGATGGAATAAGTGCTTTTAATGCATCGGGAGTCTGTGAAATTACGTGTTCTTGACTTTCATCTTGTGATTCGCTTTTTGTTGTTTGTATTGTTGCTGGCTCTGAATAATCTTCTTCCTCCTCGTCCTCCTCTTCTTCTTCGAAATCTTCCTCTTCGTATTCACTGCTTTCGCTCTTAGTTTTTTCTTCAACTTTATTTGATTCTTGCTTCTGTTCAATTTTGACAATTTCTTTCACTGCATCTTTAATTTCTTCGACTTTCTCCTTCTGTTCCTCCTTAACATGTTCAGAAGAAGACTCTGATTTTTCTGATGAAATATCTTCTTCTTCCTCCTCTTCTTCTTCATTGTATAAGTCTGTATCTTCACTTGATTCTGATGTATCTTCTTTCTTCTCTTCGTGTGAATTCGATGCTGAATGAGTAGAACTTTCGATTTCAATTGAATTTAAATTTCTATTGAATCTACCTGATAGTTCTTTGAGAGAAATGCGCTGTTCTTCTGTATCTTTCTTCATTTTATTCGGTTTATTGTTGTTTTCTGTTTGAATTTGTTCGTTTCCACTTTTATGTTCTTTACTTTCGATTTCTTTGTTCGAATTAGTATTTTTATGATGAGAAGAACTGCTGTTTGACTCTGAATCTGAAGAATAACTATGTGAAGAATTAGATTTATTATTTTCTTGCTTCTCGTCTAGTTTATTTTGATTTGGTGCATTTTTATGATCAGATGAAGTATCTTTGGAGATATTTTCATTGTTTTGTTGCGCTGATTTTTTAGAAGGAATAACAATTTCTTCTCTTCCATCGCGATGGATGATTTTCTTGACTTTTTTATACTTCTTGGTTACAATTGGATGAGTTCCGGCTTCTGGTGATGCTTTTACCGGTTCCATCCTTGAAAAAATGTAGAACTTATAAAAAGCTAAACGCTTAAAGTTTGACTCCCCCTCAAAAAAAGTTATAATTGTGATTTTATAATTACACTATTATACATTAAATATTTATAATTCTTGTATTTTCAAAGGGTTCAAAATAGCCTTAAACTGCTGCAACCTCTCAATTTCAATTTTTGACTAAGGCTGAATCATTTTTAGGTCAAATAATACGCATTGCCGTTGCTTTATCGCAACACAGATGGTAATATGCAGGTATCTTATGATTGGATTCTTGTAACACTAAAAAATTACTTATCATAAAAATTTAAAAATCTATTCCAAATGTTCAGAGAACAATAAATGAAGAAATGAATTTATTCATCTCTTTTCTATCCAAATACTTGATTTTTAATTTCTAAATGTTATCTGAAAAAATGATTTTGAAAGAAAGAAAAAATACAACTGAAAAATATGATGAGTCGGGAATTGAAGCCGAGACTGCAAAATTTGAAAACTTGTTGACGTTCTGTGAAGTAAGAGCGTTCATAAGGATAATATACAAACAATGTAATTCAAACATAATTATTTAATTTATATACAAATAAAGTATTCAAACAAAATAACATAATAATTAAATTATTTTACTGAAAGAGGAATTGCAACAACTCCAGCTTTCAGTATATTCTTGGATCCTGGTGCAGTAGATCTTCTAGGTTGACTTGGTGTATTCTTTGTTGTTGATGGTCTAGTTTGTGCATGAGATGTTCTTACAGCACTTGACATGTTTCTAACTTTCATTGGAGCTTTATCTTGATTTGATTGAGGATTTTCATCATCTGTTTGTATTGATATCAATCCCATTGCAGCCAATACAGACATTGTGTGCCTTCTTTCGTTTTCAATCATCTCCTTTCTTTGAGCTTCCCATCTTGCAATTGCCAAAATTTGTCTCTGTGCAAATCTTCTTAAAGCAGCTGTTCCTTTATATGCTTCTTGTAATTCAGCAACAGCTCTTCTTGCTCTTTCAGCTCTGTCTTCTGCTCTTGTAACAGCTGATTGATTTGCATCTGCCTTCTGTGTTTCCTTTACTATTGTATTTGTTGATTTCTGTAATTCTGCAATGATTCTTCTTAATCTCTTTATTTCTTCTTCTTTTTCTTCAATTACATTCAATGCATTTCCTAATCTTGTTCTTGTCGAGTCGTGTATTGAGTTCAATTTCCTCAAATCTCTTGATAACTGAAGATTTTCTTGTGTCATCTTTTGTATCTGTAACAATAATCTCTGTTTTGCATCAAGTGCTTCATTGACTTCATTTGCTTTTTGTTGCAACAAAATATCTAAGTTATCTAATCTAACTTTCATATTATTGATGACTCTTTCATGAACTGGTTTATATTCAACGCCATTTCGCTCGTAATATCCTGTTGATCCTTTGTTAACTGATGTGTATTGCAATGTTCCTTGTTGTGTCTTCATTGGAACTAAAGTTGAAAAGTTTGGAAGTTTAGGAGATCTCAAAGCAAAATTTCTAGACTTTGGTTGGATTAATTTAGCTTGTGTATCTTTTGGCTTAGTTAATGTGACACTTGTTTGGATGATTGTTGCTGCCTTTCTAAGTAAATCTGGTGTCTTAGGTGTCTTTGGTTTTTCTTGTGGTTTTTCAGGAACTGAAGAAGTTGTAGCTGTTGATTCACTAGAAGTATCAAGATATTGGTTCGATGGAGACAAACCAAATCCTTTATGTGGTAATTCATGGATTTGTTCTGTGCTAAATATTAAGAAAGGAGAAACAACAGCTAAATCAACTGCTTTTTCTGATTCATAGTATTGCAATTTCGCTAATAATCTTTCAATCTCAATTTTAGCTTTATTGAGTTCTTTCTGGAATTCTGATTTCTGTAAAGTTTCATTTTCCATTGCTTTGGTTAGACTGTCTAAGTGTTCTCTTTGTTCTTTATCGGCAGCATTGTAAATCTCAATATTTCTGTTTTTATCATCTGTTTCAGCTGTTACTTTTTCAACTGCAGCTTTGAGATTTGAGTTATCATTCATTATATCAATGATTTGAGCATCTTTGTCTGTTAACTTGGAGTTCAAATCTTGTGCTTCTTGTGTCTTCTTTTGTAGTTGTGTATTCAAACTTTGTGCTTCTTGCAAAGCCATTTCTCTTTCCTTGATTGCAATCGCTAATTGAGCTGCGAATTCATCATTCTTCTTTCCACCTTCTTGTGATGATTTCGTGAATGATCCAACTAAATATTCAACAATTTCTTGATGTCTTGCAACTAAATCTTGAACGAAATTAGAAATCTCTGTGTGCATTGTCTTTAAGCTCTCATTATCATCTTTCATCTTAATTAAATCATCTTTCTTAATGATAACAGAATCCTCAGGAAGAACAAATTCTTTAGTTTCAACTTCAGTTTCATCATTAACTTTTTCTTCTTCCTTAGGTTTCTCAGGTTCTTTTTCTTCTTCCTTTGGCTTTTCTACAACTTTTTCTTCCTCATTAACTTTAGGTAATGTTGAAGCGGCGACAGATCCAGAAAATTCATGTTGTGTTGTATTTTCATTAATTATAGATAAACCGGTTGAGAACTTTGTCAAACTTGATTGTTGCTCAACTTTATCTAATGAAAAGTTTTCTGTTGACAAAGCTAATTTTGGTTCTTCTTTGATTGACATATTTGAAAATGACTCACTAGAAATTGATAATGATGCTTTAACAAGAGGTAATTCTTGTGGGCCGTAAACTGACTTTGATTTAGGAAGTTTGATCTTTTCAACACTTTGTTCTGTATTATAAATCAAAGCCAATTTATTAGGTTTCATGAAGATTTCATATGATATTCCTTGTTTGGTAATATCAAGTTTAGCTTTCTTAATTGGATTTGGTTTAAGATAAATGGAATCGCAATCATAATAGCTGAGCATTATCTCTCTTTCCTCTTCATGTTTTTCTTCTTCTTTTGGTTCAATAATTGATGATCTTCTTGGTTCTAATTTGATCTCAACTTTTGATGGTTTTGGTGATAATTTAACTGGAGAAGCAATGGGAACTGTGTTTGTTGATTGATCAGTTAATTCTATAGTTGTTGATGTTGATATATCGCATGTTTGTATTCTTGGAGATTCATAACGAGACTTAAGATCAATGAGTTCATCAATTTTCTGGTTAATTTCTTTCTCTTTGTCTGAGATTTCTTTGACTTGTTCTGGAGTGAAATCGCTTTCTGTTGGAGGAACAGTGAAAGCGTGAACGAAATTCATTTCGAAACTTGTTGTTTCTGATAATGCAAGAGAAGGAACTTCAGGAAGAACAATCTTAACTTTAGGTGTTGAAGGTCTAGAAGATGTAATTGTAATTGCAGGATCGATTTCTTGACTTGAAGCTGATCTTGCAGAATTATTTGTTGACTTCATTGAATTCGTTCTTTCTAATTTACTTCTTGCTGAATTGTTGTTTTGGTTCATTGCTGATATTGGTAATGTTGGAGTGTTCTTTGTTGAATTGGCTCTCATCAACTTCTTCATGTCAATCAGCTCTTTGACGCCTGCAACAATTTCTTTTTCTCTTGAAAAAATATCCTTTGGAGTGTTCACTGTTCGTGATGTTGATTTAGATGAAATAGTGTGACTTGAATGGCAATGTGGACATTCTACAACTGGATCTACTGATGATGCTAAATCGAAAACAACTGGATCGATTTCGAATTTCTGATGGCATGTTTCGCAAACTGTTTCTAATTCAACCTTTGGTTTCTGAACTGGTTGGAATTCACAAATCATGAAGTTTGGTGATATGGCAATAACACTCTTTCTCGGTCTATATTTAGTTGCTCCGTGAACTAAAGGAGTAACATTTTTATCTTTCTGTGTTTCTGCATCCTTATATTCCTTTGGTTTAACAGTTGTCATCATATCAAATGAGATCAAATCAATTACACATTGAGTTGTTGCATCCAATTTTTCAACAGTATTATCAATTTCAACATCAACTTTTTCATTTGTTTTCTGTAAGTTTTCAATGATCTTTTGTAATTTTTCGTTTTCTTTGAGACTTTGTTTGTGTTTTTCTTCTATTTCTGAAGCAGATTTAACCAATTTATCAATAACATCTTTAGTTGACATTGCATCATCACCATTTCCAAATTTAGATAACATCATTGTCAACACTTTGTTTTCATTTGTTAAACTAATTACTTGGTTATTAACTTGAGCAAATCTGTAGTCAACTTCACTTACTGGTAAAACAGTTCCTTTATTATCATTCTTATTGACTTCTTCCTCAGATCCTTTAACTAATTCTATGATTTTGAGCATAAGTTTCTCTGTATTTTCTGGTGTAACAATACCTTTGTCAACATCTGTCTTGTAATCACTCAAAGCAATCATCAAATTAGCTCTTAAATTATTAATTTCACCTCTGCAATTCTTGTATCCTTCTGCAACAGCACTTTCTTCTTGCCATTTCCTGTATTGGTCAATTTCATTTCTTTGGCTTTCTAATAAAATATTCAATCTCTCTGTAATGCCTTTCTCTATTTCATTGGCTCTCATTGCTTTCATAGAAGCATCAATAACACTATCAATTTTATTCATGTCAAGTGATATCTTTTCGTCAGTGTTTTGACCTTGTAATTCATCATCTAATTCATTTTCTTTGATGATTTGGAAGTATTTATCATTTAACTGCTGAAGTTCATGAAGTCTTGCATCATAAGAAGCTCTTATTTCTTGTGTTTGCTTCTTGAAATTCGTAAGATTTTCTTCGAAATCTGTTTGCATTTGTAATTTTGTTTTTGTATTTTCTTCTTCAATTTGCCATTTCTGTTGATTTAAAATGTTTTCTTTTTCTCTTTCGAATTTTCTCTCTTGAGCTTTAGTATTCTCTTGTTCTTTCTTTATTGAATTCTCATAGTATTTAGTCAATGAAGAAATCTGTGAATTATGAGTTTCTTTTAACTGTTGAACATATGAATCAAAATCTGCTTTTAATTGCTGAATCTTTTGTTCATTTACATCATTAATGATTTTTGCAGCTCCTTGTTTCTCCCCTGAATCAATTGCTTTAACTAATTGGTTCATTTGTGTTCTGTATTTCAATTCAATCTTTTCAGCGCTTTGATCAAATTGTTTCTTCAATTGTTCTCTCATTTGAGCGATTTCACTTTGGTGTTTGATGCTCAATTCACGTAATTGTTGTTCTGGAGAGATTTCTTTGATGATTTGATCTCTTAAATTAGCCATTTCTTTCTTGTAATAATCATCAACGCTTGCACTATTTTCGGACATCGATTTAAGTTGTGCATCCAAAGCATTTCTTTGTCTTTCTAATGAAGCAATTTTAGATTCACTTGTGATCTCATTTGATCGCAATTTATAAAGTTGTTGAGAAAGATTTTGATTATCCGTTTGAGCTTGTTTGATTTGTGCATTTAACTCTTTGACATTTTGTTCTAAGACAAGAATCCTTTCACTTTTTTCATCAATTATTTTTTCTTCCTCTTCGTTATCTGACAAATTCTTTGTTGGAGTGTTTGAATTAGATTTAATGGCCCCAAGTTTAGCATTTGAAATGCTTTCTTTTAACGTATTAATTTTGTATTCTTGCTCTGCAATCTTTTTAAGTAAACGTGAATTTGATCTTGAAGAATCTTTCTTCTTAGAGCGAGAACTTTTCATCATAGCTTCTTTAAGTTGATCAATTTCTTCTTTTTGTATGTTAACTGTTTTAGTTAATTCTCTTATATCTGAAGATAATTGATCAACAATATTTCTGTGGTAAATCATAGCTTTCTCGGCTTGTTTTTCTTGATTTTCAAATGAATCGTTGACAATTTGTATTAAAACTGAGGCATCAAAGATTTGTTCTTTAGCATCAGTATCCTCGAGTACAATAAGATCTTGTTTTACCATTTTGAACCAATTATGTAATGATGTAAGTAAATTGCTCTGATCAGTTCCGTTCAATTGATGAGAGTTAAGTAATTCCGATAATTTTACCTTTGCATCAAGAAGAAATTCTTGTTCACTAACATCACTATATTCTACTTCAGAATCTATAATTTCCATAATGTGAGTAATGAATTCAGCATCGCTCATTTCGAAGTTTTCAATTATATTTCGAATTAATTCTGATTGTCTTTCGATTTTAGCGAAGTTATTGTGTTGGTCATTCTTTTCTTCACGTGGTTGTGGTACGTAATGCTCTAAATCTTCCCAATTTTTGGCAGCTTGTTGTTCGTTATAAAACCAATCATTCGGTATATTCGAAATTTTGTTAGGTGAATTTGTTGAAGACCCGTATTCAAGAAGTTTTCTGTGTTTTTCGAGTCCAGACTTGGCTTCCCTCTCTCGATTCGGGTTGAAGAGGGGATTCATTTGATGTACGTTTTTTTATTTTTTTATGAAAATTTTTAAGAGTTTTGAGTGTGTAAGGACTTGTTAACATTTCATTCGAACAAATTTTTGTTTTCTCCTGAAAAACAATCGAAATATCCTTATTGTCACTTTTCTCAAAATCTTGATATTCATTCTTCACATGTCTTTCAGCCAGTCAAATATCTGTTATTGCTATATCAGGGTGAAACTATTTATGTGTATTATCCAATGTTATTATATATCTTCGAAAGATATTTACTATATTTTTGATTTGTGAATGTTACATTTAAAATTGCAAGAATGAAGCTGCTGTCCAACCATTTGTAATGAGTTCTGTATACCTACTCAATCTTTATTTATCATTAATTAAGATTTTAAAAGAGATTATCAAAACTACATGATAACAATATGGCATTCATAATTATTTCTTATGTGTGAATCATGTTGATTCTAATTGATGTTATGTGATTCATATTTCAAATTGATTGATATCTCCATCAGTTTTTAAGCACTATTTTCCAGTAAGTTCAAATTGGAATGATCGATACCTATTTTTGTTAGCGAGTGAAATCCATATAGTCACTAATTATTTCAACAATCTTTACACTTTTATTATGATTTTATTTGATTTAAGGTGAAGAAATGTATCAGAATATAAATTGATGCTACTTCTTTAATATTGGTTTTTAAAAGTGACACCCTGATCGTCCTGTGGAATTGAATGGGAACGGTTATTGTGATGACGATGGCCATTTTTAATATATAATGTCAGCACCAATCCCCGCTGCTCAACGTGTTGAGCAAATGCGCTCCATGTTCCATGAGCAAGCTAAAGCTCTTGCTCAGGAAAAACAAGCTGAAGCAGAAAATATCGCCGAACAATATTATCAACAACAAATTACAAATACAACTAAAAACCTTGAAACAGAAGCTGAACGTCAAGAAAAAGAAATCGAAGTTAACAGACAAATTCAGAACGCTAAAATTACAAACAACGCAAAACTCGAAATTCTTAAGGCACAGAAGAAGGCTTTGAATGAAGCACTTGAGGATGCAAAGAACAAGCTTAACGAATTTAGCAAAGGACCAGATTATCCACCAGTTTTAGCTAAACTCATCGCTGAAGGTCTTGTAATATTAAAGGAACCACGTGTCCGTCTTACTGTTCGTAAAGCTGATGTCCAGATTTGCCAGCAGGTCATTCCACAAGCCTTAGATTTAGCTAAACAAGCCGATCCAAACCTTGATGTTAAGATTGTTATAGATGAAGAACGTTATCTCCCAGCTGATCCACACTGCGCTGGTGGTGTCGTATTCACATGCCATAAAGGAAAGATTCGCCTTTCAAATATCTTAAATGAACGTCTTAAACTCGCTTACGATGGTATTCTCCCACAAATCAGAGAAATCGTTTTACATTAAATTATCCCTATTTTGCTTTTCCTTTTAAACATTCTTTTCTTTCTAAAATTTAATAAAAATTTGCTCAGCTATTTGTAAATCTTCCATTTTTAATTTATATACAATACTATGTAACTAAATATCTTTATGATTCAATCTCTGCTTCAGATTTTTCGGTCATATAATAAAAATATTTTTATTATCACTATATTGGCTGACCATAATCTAATAAACTTGGCTTACCTTGTTGCAATATCTAATGTTATGTGATTAATTTTTCAAAACAAACAAAAATTTTTATTCCTTTTTACAATTACACTGGTTCATTGGAGCAAATACCTCTTCAGCAGCTTCTCTCTTGCATTCTTTAACCTTTTGAGCAAATTTGGCAATAGTTTCCCACTTGTTTTTCTCTTGCTCGGCCTTCTTTGCAAGTTCACGGTATTCAACTATCTGCTTCTTGTACTTTTCATTTTTGTCCATTAGATTCTTCTGAGAGTCTAATAATTTCTTATTTTGAGCTTCAATTTTAGAGATATCATCACTTAGTGAATTTGCTCTCTTTTCTGCGTTCATCATATCTTCTCTGATTTTTTCTGCGGCTCTACATAACTTTTTATTTGTATCCTTTTGTTCTTTAAGTTTTTGTTCCAGAATTAAATATTTACTTTCTGCTGAAGATGCTCTGTTCTGGGCAATACTAAGTTCAGCATCCTTCTTTTGAATGTTTATTGTAACCTTCGTGAACTCTTCTGATCTAGCTTTGAGTTCTTCAGTTAATTCTTCAATTCTTTTCTGTTTCGACCGCTCAGTTGTTTGATATAACTGTATCTGCTGATAAAGATCTTTGTTGTCATGGAGAATCCGCTTTGTAGCTAAACCATTATTATTGACAACTTCAGATAAATCTTCATTTTCTTTTTGAAGTCTCTTATTCTCGTCTTGAAGTGATTGGAATTTCTTTGTTAAATCACTCAGTTTCTCTTGAGCAATGTCATTGTTCTTCTTTGTAAATGCTAATTCATCACTTGAATTTATGGAATCAAGCTTCAACTTTGAGTTCTCCGCTTTAACCTTCTCTAATTCATTCTTTAATCTTGTATTTTCTTCTGATAAAGCCGAAATTTTGAATGTATTTTGAGTAATTTCGGAATTTAGCTTTGATATTGATTTATATTTATCTTCATATGCAGATATATTAGAAGTTGTAGTGATTTTAATCATTGACTCATAAAAATGAGAACTTTGTGAAAACAGATCTGAAATTGCGTAATATGCAAACTCAATAGCATATTTATTTCTTGATGTCTGAAGGATATTGTTAATTAATGGCAAGAGCTGAGTTTCAATTGCAATTCTATTTGATCTGGATTTCCAATTTGGAAAATATGTTACGCATTCATCTATAAACCTGAAAATGAGGAGTGAAAGGTATGCATTATTGAGTTCAATATGGCGAACAAAGCAAGTAAATAAATAATTTTCTTCTGTTTGTAACAGGTCAACATCATCTTCAGAAAGCGAATTGTTTTGTACAAGCAATATCAAAATAATAAATATTGATTCCAGCTTCTCAACAGATGTTTTCTCAGGAAGAGTTGCAAATCGATTAAAAATTTTTGCAAAAATTTTATTGCATGGAATTTCTTGAAATAGAGTTGGGTCAATTTCAACTAAAATCTGTAGTAAATGGCAAGCTGATATGGATACGAAGTCATACTCACATTTTGAAATATAATCTACCAATGAAACAAGATAATCTGTTGTTTTGATACCATTTGCAAACTGTGTATGATATATATTTAATTGACGGATACAATCTATAACAAAATATGCATCAGCGCCATTTGAATTCAAGATTGAAGTTAACAAAACCAAAAGTTCGCGAGGAGCCAATGGAGCTTTATCTTTAAGAGATAAGATTGTATCTCTAGCTAGCTGTTTCATAAGAACAAATTTTCCATTTTGAGTGATAAAATTAATCGCTGCATGTATACTTGTAGCTGATTCATTTCCAACTGGAAATATTGCAGTATGTGCAGCAAGAGCTGAATTCACGACCATAATATCTTGAGAAGATAGTAATCTTGTCAATTCTTTTTTAACTTGAAGGATAGAAGGTTGTGATTTTAAGTATGATTCGACAGATTTAGAGGCACGTGCAAGTAAAGCAATGATCGCGCATGCCCAAGCCCCAAGCTGTGGCGATCCTAGTAAAGGGATTATGACCTTAAAAAGCGTTGCTATAGAATTCACGCATGTAAGATTCGTATTGATTGATGATGATAAAAGGGCTACTAATTTTAGATAAATTACTGCTTTTGTTGGTTCGATTTTTCTAATATCACCTTCATCTGCTATTTTTGAAAATACTATATGGATAAGTTCGTCGAAATTGATGTTTATGACAATTTGGTCCCTCAAATATGGGGAAATTGAAAGTAGATTTGTGAGGAAAATTGAAATTGAATCTGCCAAATCAATAAATGAAGAATCTAAGTTGCAATCGAATTGAATTGTAGTTAATATGCAAAATATTTGCTGAATAAAATCTGATAATAATGGATCATTTGTTAATTGATTAGAATATGCAAGATCAACATCTGTTGTTTTAATATATTGCAATAAAATGTTTCCATTTTCATCATTTGTATGACCTTCTGTTGATAATGATTGTACGATTGTTTCTAAGTGAGATTTCATTTGAAGATTTTATAAGTGTACGTTTAGTAAAGAAAAAAAATGAACGCTTTTTCAAAAATTGCTGCATGAAAATGAATATTTCAGCTTAACAACACTAAACTGAAAGATATATGAAACTGTTTCCGGATTTTTCAACAAAAATACTAATTTAAATTTTTACTAAAAAAAAGTTTATTTTTGATAATTTAAAATTTTTTGAGAAAATTATATGCATAAAATTCAACAAAAAATGAGCCAGATGATGTAATTTTAAAATAATAAGGTTTTAAAACTCTTAGATTGCTTAGTACTCAATAATTTCATAGATTTAGTATTAAGAATTCGTATATCAAGTCATATTTAAATATTTAGCACAACTCAATTTGCTTTATTATCTGACATATAACATAAAAATCTATAAAATAAATGATGAATAGTGATTTTTTTTACTAAATTTCTGTGCAAAGGGCTTGCAAAGCCTGACACCATTGATTACAAATTTTCTCATTTTCAAAAGCAATTTCATATTTCTTTTGGCCGTGTTCAGGTTCAATAATCAAACGATACTGATGATTTTTAGAACTAAGGGTAGGAATGATCTTAGCTTGCTCTGGAAGAACTATCAAACCTTTAATATTCGTATTGGTTGGTGTCTCTTTCCAAATGATACTTCTTGATGATGCATAAAAATCAAAGAATCTTTTTTGCCATGCACTATGTCCTAAACCACCTTTCTTAACACCCCATGAATGCAGAACTTTAGATGTAGTAATAACAGAAGGTGTTCTGATTCTGTTTTGTGCAGAGAAGTGACCAGCGCTTTGAGAAGGCATTTCAAGCCTAACTTTCTTTGTATTATGGAATATAATCGTGTTAATCTTCATCACGGGTGAATTCCTATTGCACATTGTTGTTAATTTGTTCGAATCATCCGTAATTTTATTCTTTTTATCTTTAGTATGAACATAGACAGAACCTTGCCTATGCCGAATTGACGTCTTACTTTCTTCAACATTCTCTTCTGGGAAGAGTATTGAAAACGGAGACTTGCATAATTTGATAATCTGCCTTTCGGAGCTGAAAAACATATTAAATTCGGGATATTTTATCTTCGAATGACTAGTCAGCAAATTACTTAATTCTTTGTCAATCCAGAATAAATAAGCGACATCAGTTGGTAAAAATTCGAGGATTGGTGAGTTTTTCTGGTATGCAAGCTTTAGACATGGTGAAACAATATTGTCAAATTGGTTTGCTTGAAGCAGTGTTAAAAATGTGTTGGCAGAATATTTTGGATCATCGGCCATTTTGGTTACAATGTGAGTAATGTTCATAGATAGAAAGGTAGTACATATGTTACTTTCTATTAGTATAACAATGTCGCGAATTGATAGTTTGTAGAAAGAATCAGAACAAGTTTGAATTAATGACTCGACAAGATCCGAATAGTAGTTTGGATCGTAAACATCAAGTGATAAATAGAATGCTAATTCATTTGATTTGCAGTGTCTAAGACATTCGAGGCAAAACATTAAAATATCAAAATTTGTTTCGGGCGACAATTCCTTTACATGCATTTTAGCGTACTTTATTATATTTGGCGTTGTTGCAGCGTGGAAAAGGGAACTTGACTCGGCTCCAAAAATAATATTATATAAATATTTCGAGTAAACAGGAAAATTATTTAAAGTTTCAATGGTGTTTGTCTCCAATTCTATATTAAACATCAACAGACTACGCTTCCAATGGCTACAATTTGTAGAAGATAAGAGAAAGCTATAGTCCATGATATAAGATTTTACGCCTCTCTCAAACTTTAGTCACGTTTAATTACAGGCGAAAAACAAATTTATCAAGAAAGATTTAAAAAATAATATGGAAGAAATATTTCGTTGATGACAATAAAACTTTACACCGCATAAATTTTTTTGAGAGGAGAAATAAAAAATGGCCACTATAGTTTAATTAAAGTTCGATTCAGAATAGGCATACCGTTTTAAAGTCATTTTAATATGAAAAGCTGTGACTTAATTTATAAACTCAGAATTTCCATTGGTTTACGATTTTGAGAGGAAATAGAATTTTTATTAATGCAAAATCAATATGTAGAATTAGAGCTCAATTCAAATTAGAGAATGAAAATTTCAATGAATTCAAATTATTTCAAAATTGTTATAGACCGAAAATAGATTTTTTCGGTTTTCTCTTCAAATAATTGAAAGAATGATACTATTATAGGTTTATTATATTACATAGCATATAATCATGCTATAGCCGAAAATTATAAGTTTTGAGAAGATTGAATATAACACAAATAAATTTGAATGTAAGTTAAATTGCTTGTTGTTTTTAATAGCTATTTAATGAGAAATCCAATATTGCAAAATTCAAATTGAATGATTGAAAGAACAGAAAAAGTCATTCTTTTCAATTTCGAATATATTTCATTGTATTTATAATTACATGGCAAATAAGATATTTAAACTTGATTTTTGAAGGAAAATTCACAAAATTGAATAAATTCAAATAATTTTTATTCAAAAATAAACTAGCTATTTGAGTTTAATACTAATTATCTATTCAAACTACAAAGTTTGTAATTTAAAATATTTTGTGAGATCAGATTGAATTAATTCAAGGTTCTTTTCAATTAATATTAATGACCATATTACGCATTTTCGAACATTCTAAACCAAATATATAAAAATGGGAGACGAATGTTAAATTTGCTAGACATGCGGGAGTTGTCTGCAAAGTTTTAGCTCTTGTCTCTAACAAAAAATTAATTTTTAAAAAAATGACCGAATACGTTTCACAGCGAGAAAAAAATAAAAGGCAAGATAGAATTTTCTAGACATAAAGAAGTTGTTTACCGAGTTTTAGCTCTTATCTCTAACAAAAAATTAATTTTTAAAAAAATGACCGAATACGTTTCACAGCGAGAAAAAAATAAAAGGCAAGATAGAATTTTCTAGACATAAAGAAGTTGTTTACCGAGTTTTAGCTCTTATCTCTAACAAAAAATTAATTTTTAAAAAAATGACCGAATACGTTTCACAGCGAGAAAAAAATAAAAGGCAAGATAGAATTTTCTAGACATAAAGAAGTTGTTTACCGAGTTTTAGCTCTTATCTCTAACAAAAAATTAATTTTTAAAAAAATGACCGAATACGTTTCACAGCGAGAAAAAAATAAAACTGTACACTGATTTTCATTTTCATTTCCAGTCACTTTACTTATTATTTTTTCTTTTTTTCATTTTAATTACCCAGATTTTCCTTACTTTTACCACTCCCCATGTAATTTCTGGGGAAAACGATAATTCATTTTTTTTATGGATGAATAGATCGTTTTCCTAGAAAGGACCTCATATCTCTGGCTAAAAAGAGTGTCAGATCCTAAATAGATTATTGATCTAGTGTACAAATCCAATAAAAAGCCTATTTTTTTGGCTTTTTTGGTGCTCATTTTTTCGAAGATCTACATGAATATGGGGAAACCATCGGATTTTTTTGGTTAACCCACATCTTCATGTAGTCTGGACTATCTTTCCTCGAAGGACCTCTTTACGGGTGTAAAAACTCATAAAGTTCTCAAAAGATTCATTCTCGATCTCCATGCTGAAAGAATTTACAATAAAAAAGAGATCTACGCATCAAACTACAGCCATAAATGAACTGAACCCCTAAAGCTCAGCTCTTAGTTTATCAAAAACGTCGAAATCCTTCTCATTGCAATCAAATTTTCTCAATAACTCATAAGAAAAATCGAATTTTGATTAAGCCGATGTTATAGGTATCACAAATACTACAAACTTAAGCAATATCGAAATTGCCAGCAAAAGTTTGAAATTGCATTGCTCATATTTGTTTTGTAAACTAAAAATCTGCTTATATTATTCATTAATTTTTTATATATTATTCATATACTTTAATAAAAACAATACTATTTCACCTTAAAAATGAATTTCATAAGTCAATATTATTTTTTTGAAAATGTATCAATTTTCGATTAAAACAACATGAGAATAAAAGTTACGCAAAATTATTTTAAAAATGGTTTTAAAAATTTACAATAGATGAAAAATAATATTGCAAGAAGTTTTTAAGTTTAATTTTAAGAAAAAAATTCGGATATTATTCATGGATCTAAGTAATCTGATATTTGAGTATCGGCACTATGCATAAAACATATATTTATAGTTTTTTTGGATTTTTATGATTTTAAATATATTCAAATTTGGCAATCCAATAGATTTTTAAAAAATAGGTAAATAAAAATAGATTACATATGCAGCAGATTTAGAACATGAAACAAATCTTATAGTGACCCAAAAAAAAAATTCATGATCCAAAAAAGAAAAAAAATGGCTAAATGGGAATCAAACCTTGGCATAATGAATCATTATGTCGGATGTTTCCACTACACCGGCAGTTCGAAAAATACCCTTGGTGGTTCTATTTAATAGCTACTCCCAACGATAGGCGGTGTCCCCAGCTTTAGAGAGGTGGTAAAAGTAAGGAAAATCTGGGTATAAATTATTTCATAATACGTTTATTTACGTTACCATTTTCTTTATTCTTTTGAATTCCATACTAGACACTTATAGAATATTTTGATTGTTAACGTACTTCATTAGAATGAATCCTTACAAAGGGTATGTCGATCGAATTTACCTAATTGGTATTTCCAATCAGATTGAAGAAGGTAAAATGACATGGGAAGAAGCTTGCACCCATGTTCCCATCGCCCCAACCCTTCAATCAAATGATTTCAAATATTTAGATGTTTCAAAATCTTTTTTACAAAATCAATTTAGCTTACAGAATATCCCATTGCCTAAAGGCAAGAAAGGTCGTAGGGTCAATCCCTACGACCAAATCAAAGCTCTTGCTGTGATACATGACCACTGGGCCTTTCCCTGTGGTCAAACAAAACAATGGAAACGTTTGAAATTACAACAAATTGATGTATCTTATAGAGAAGTACGCAGATACTTCAAAGAAAATCATTTCACCAAGACGCGATTAGAGCATGCCGGGCCAGAAACAGCAGTAAGATATTGGGCGCTTTCACCCAATCTTATCTGGCACGCAGATGTTCATTATTTTAGGGGTGTTCGTGGCCAGTATATTTATGGCATAATCGACGATTTTAGCCGCAAAGTCCTAGCGTGTATACAAATACCAGATATGCTGGCAGCGACGACAGCGAACGTTGCGGCTTCCGCCTTCATTGAATTTGGCGCCCCTTATTGTTTCTGGACCGACAACGGTTCAGAAAATAGGGGCGCCTTTCAAGATCTACTTGATCTTTGGGGCGTCCAATGGCGGCATACAGACTCTCATTCTCCCTACCAAAATGGGAAGATTGAGAGATTCTGGTCGACATTGGAGCGCTGCCAAAGCATTCAGGCTATTCCTGCCTTTATTCGGGAGTACAATAATAACACACCGCATGAAGATCTCCCAATTAATCCATTAACTGGAACAAATTACACGCCAAATCAAATGTATCAGCTGAAACCGAAATACACAAATGCAGATACAGAAAGGTTGTGGCAAATATGGGATACAGATACAGGCATGACCGCTGTTGACACATTCACAGCGTAATAATAAACATAATTTTTTAATTTCATTTTTAACAAGTTTTTTTAAATGTATGTAATGAATAATTCATTAGAATATGATAATGCACATTGTAACAGAATAGAACAATCACCAAATTTTTTTTTTGAAATTAAAAAATAAAAGTAAAAAGTGTAAAGTAATCTAACAAAAAAAGATATTTAAAAGAATTTTGGAAAAAACAGAATAAGGATAATGATATTATTTTAGATACACAATCGATGTACTGAAGAATAATCCGGTAAAATGATGATATAAAATTAGATTATTTTACAAGTAGCTAAAAGAATAAAACTATAATATAAAATAAATGAAGTTTAATGAAACAATAAAGGTTAAATAAATAATAAAGATTTTTATTTTATATCAGTATTGAGAAGAAGTAACAGCTGACACTTGGTAGACAACTTCTTATGTCTAGAAAATTCTATCTTGCCTTTTATTTTTTTCTCGCTGTGAAACGTATTCGGTCATTTTTTTAAAAATTAATTTTTTGTTAGAGATAAGAGCTAAAACTCGGTAAACAACTTCTTTATGTCTAGAAAATTCTATCTTGCCTTTTATTTTTTTCTCGCTGTGAAACGTATTCGGTCTTTTTTTTAAAAATTAATTTTTTGTTAGAGATAAGAGCTAAAACTCGGTAAACAACTTCTTTATGTCTAGAAAATTCTATCTTGCCTTTTATTTTTTTCTCGCTGTGAAACGTATTCGGTCATTTTTTTAAAAATTAATTTTTTGTTAGAGATAAGAGCTAAAACTCGGTAAACAACTTCTTTATGTCTAGAAAATTCTATCTTGCCTTTTATTTTTTTCTCGCTGTGAAACGTATTCGGTCATTTTTTTAAAAATTAATTTTTTGTTAGAGATAAGAGCTAAAACTCGGTAAACAACTTCTTTATGTCTAGAAAATTCTATCTTGCCTTTTATTTTTTTCTCGCTGTGAAACGTATTCGGTCATTTTTTAAAAATTAATTTTTTGTTAGAGATAAGAGCTAAAACTCGGTAAACAACTTCTTTATGTCTAGAAAATTCTATCATGCCTTTTATTTTTTTCTCGCTGTGAAACGTATTCGGTCATTTTTTTAAAAATTAATTTTTTGTTAGAGATAAGAGCTAAAACTCGGTAAACAACTTCTTTATGTCTAGAAAATTCTATCTTGCCTTTTATTTTTTTCTCGCTGTGAAACGTATTCGGTCATTTTTTAAAAATTAATTTTTTGTTAGAGATAAGAGCTAAAACTCGTAAACAACTTCTTTATGTCTAGAAAATTCTATCTTGCCTTTTATTTTTTTCTCGCTGTGAAACGTATTCGGTCTTTTTTTTAAAAATTAATTTTTTGTTAGAGATAAGAGCTAAAACTCGGTAAACAACTTCTTTATGTCTAGAAAATTCTATCTTGCCTTTTATTTTTTTCTCGCTGTGAAACGTATTCGGTCATTTTTTTAAAAATTAATTTTTTGTTAGAGATAAGAGCTAAAACTCGGTAAACAACTTCTTTATGTCTAGAAAATTCTATCTTGCCTTTTATTTTTTTCTCGCTGTGAAACGTATTCGGTCATTTTTTTAAAAATTAATTTTTTGTTAGAGACAAGAGCTAAAACTCGGTAAACAACTTCTTTATGTCTAGAAAATTCTATCTTGCCTTTTATTTTTTTCTCGCTGTGAAACGTATTCGGTCATTTTTTTAAAAATTAATTTTTTGTTAGAGACAAGAGCTAAAACTCGGTAAACAACTTCTTTATGTCTAGAAAATTCTATCTTGCCTTTTATTTTTTTCTCGCTGTGAAACGTATTCGGTCATTTTTTTAAAAATTAATTTTTGTTAGAGACAAGAGCTAAAACTCGGTAAACAACTTCTTTATATCTAGAAAATTCTATCTTGCCTTTTATTTTTTTCTCGCTGTGAAACGTATTCGGTCATTTTTTTAAAAATTAATTTTTTGTTAGAGATAAGAGCTAAAACTCGGTAAACAACTTCTTTATGTCTAGAAAATTCTATCTTGCCTTTTATTTTTTTCTCGCTGTGAAACGTATTCGGTCTTTTTTTTAAAATTAATTTTTTGTTAGAGACAAGAGCTAAAACTCGGTAAACAACTTCTTTATGTCTAGAAAATTCTATCTTGCCTTTTATTTTTTTCTCGCTGTGAAACGTATTCGGTCATTTTTTTAAAAATTAATTTTTTGTTAGAGACAAGAGCTAAAACTCGGTAAACAACTTCTTTATGTCTAGAAAATTCTATCTTGCCTTTTATTTTTTTTCTCGCTGTGAAACGTATTCGGTCATTTTTTTAAAAATTAATTTTTTGTTAGAGATAAGAGCTAAAACTCGGTAAACAACTTCTTTATGTCTAGAAAATTCTATCTTGCCTTTTATTTTTTTCTCGCTGTGAAACGTATTCGGTCTTTTTTTAAAAATTAATTTTTTTAGAGATAAGAGCTAAAACTCGGTAAACAACTTCTTTATGTCTAGAAAATTCTATCTTGCCTTTATTTTTTTCTCGCTGTGAAACGTATTCGGTCTTTTTTTAAAAATTAATTTTTTGTTAGAGACAAGAGCTAAAACTCGGTAAACAACTTCTTTATGTCTAGAAAATTCTATCTTGCCTTTTATTTTTTTCTCGCTGTGAAACGTATTCGGTCATTTTTTTAAAAATTAATTTTTTGTTAGAGACAAGAGCTAAAACTCGGTAAACAACTTCTTTATGTCTAGAAAATTCTATCTTGCCTTTTATTTTTTTCTCGCTGTGAAACGTATTCGGTCATTTTTTTAAAAATTAATTTTTGTTAGAGACAAGAGCTAAAACTCGGTAAACAACTTCTTTATGTCTAGAAAATTCTATCTTGCCTTTTATTTTTTTCTCGCTGTGAAACGTATTCGGTCATTTTTTTAAAAATTAATTTTTTGTTAGAGATAAGAGCTAAAACTCGGTAAACAACTTCTTTATGTCTAGAAAATTCTATCTTGCCTTTTTTTTTTTCTCGCTGTGAAACGTATTCGGTCATTTTTTTAAAAATTAATTTTTTGTTAGAGACAAGAGCTAAAACTTTGCAGACAACTCCCGCATGTCTAGCAAATTTAACATTCGTCTCCCATTTTTATATATTTGGTTTAGAATGTTCGAAAATGCGTAATATGGTCATTAATATTAATTGAAAAGAACCTTGAATTAATTCAATCTGATCTCACAAAATATTTTAAATTACAAACTTTGTAGTTTGAATAGATAATTAGTATTAAACTCAAATAGCTAGTTTATTTTTGAAAAAAATTATTTGAATTTATTCAATTTTGTGAATTTTCCTTCCAAAAATCAAGTTTAAATATCTTATTTGCCATGTAATTATAAATACAATGAAATATATTCGAAATTGAAAAGAATGACTTTTTCTGTTCTTTCAATCATTCAATTTGAATTTTGCAATATTGGATTTCTCATTAAATAGCTATTAAAAACAACAAGCAATTTAACTTACATTCAAATTTATTTGTGTTATATTCAATCTTCTCAAAACTTATAATTTTCGGCTATAGCATGATTATATGCTATGTAATATAATAAACCTATAATAGTATCATTCTTTCAATTATTTGAAGAGAAAACCGAAAAAATCTATTTTCGGTCTATAACAAAATTATTTCAAAATGTTAATGTTCAATTCGATAATAAAAAGTACTATTAATATATGAAGTATTTGACATCATAAAAATTTTCGGATAAAGCGATGTGGAACAGTTGGTTTATTTCGTAAGGCTCATAACCTTAAGGTCGCTGGTTCGAATCCAGTCATCCCTCTTTTTTCCCCTCGCAAATCAAGTTTTTCAACTTAACGGCGTGATGCGCCCCAACTTTTTTGCGAATTCGCTAAATTGAAAAATTCAAAATCACGAAAAATAAGCATATCAATCATTTAATACTTAAATAAGCCAGTTTCTATAAAATTGGAAGTGAATTTCACATAAAATATTTTGCGAATTCGCAAAATAGAAAAATTCAAAATCACGAAAAATAAGAATATCAATCATTTAATACTTAAATAAGCCTGTTTCTATAAAATTGGAAGTGAATTTCACATAAAATATTTTGTGAATTCGCATTCATTATTTTATCTATTCAAAAATTCAATATATTGAAAAAGCTAATTAATATTATCTCAAAGATAACATAAATTATTATGATGTTCTAAAAATTCACCATGGTTCCATTCAATTATTGAATGACAGTCTTATCAAATTATCAATTTCAAAAGTGTGGAAGAAATTTCTTTCAAATTCATATCATTATTAATGATTGCACCTGCTGGTGATCCTAACCAAATGCTCCTTGAGAAAGCAACCAGGAAGCTCACGCACTATAATGATCCGAGAGAGAAAAAGAACTTGGAGATTACCATCAATGAACTTAGAAGTGTACGAGGGGATGGATTCCATAATTTCTTAAACTCGACCTACAAAAAGATTCCTCCTGCAGACAATATAATTGATCTTATGAATTTGTTGCATTTCCATAACAAAGTTGAAAAGTTGCCAAGATTTGCAAAAAAGAATATATGTATTTTGAAAGTGGCGATGCAAAAACAATGGGAAATCTTAAAAGACATATTCCCCAATCGTGTTTTCTTCATAAATATGAAGAAATTAAAAATAAATCCGTGCAGTAAGCCAATCGAACAAAGCGAACGTAATGATATCTATCACCAGGCATGCAACAACCTTTTGGCTAAAATCAATCCTGAATCGGTAGCCATCAAAATTGTCCAATCCGAACAAGAACAGGTGAGCTATATCACACTTTTCTGTAACGAAAATTGGGCAGGAATAATCATATATTCAAGAAAAGGCGCCAAAAACAAGAAATTGCGAGAATATTTTATTGAATGGCAAAAACCCCAAACCGGAATGGAAATTGAAGAGCCCAAGAATTTTGAAATAAATGAGTCGCAGCAAACCATTAATCCTGCATTTGAAAATCAAAACTTTTTTGAAATTCAAAATGATAACGATTTTGACAATTTTATCACTTTTGATGATTTTATTTTTGATATGGATCCTGTGTTGTGATTAAACATTTTATTTTTTCTAACGTTTAAAACTGAATAAAAAAAGTACGGTTGTTCCGCATCCACACAGGAGTCTTCGCGTAGTAGTTGTGTGCTGTTCGGGACCATACTGCGCAATCTCCCACAAACATAGACTGGTGTTGCATGGCAGGCGCTCGGTCGAAGTCGAACGAGCACATCATATTCGACGTCGACGCGTCGATGATGAGTTCAGCATCTATCAGAAAGTTTGTGGACACGATGACGACGAGTATGTACTTGTTTGAATCGTACCTGAAAATCGTGAAACGATCTTCGACGCACAACGTAAGAACAGGGTTCGATCCTGCAATGACCCCGAGCGCATTCGGCAGAGACATGTTCACAGTCGGAACGAAAGTGTCCTGCATGTTGTACATGTTCTTGTACCGCTTCAGAACAGGCAGCGTTGATGACAGTTCTTTAACAAAAAGGAATTTGTCAACGTAAAAAAGGTATCGATAGGACGATCATTGCGATGAGCTCACTCAGGCGATTGAACGAGAGTATGTTCGATATGCAAGAATCTGTGACCATGATGGCAAACTTGTACATGTTGTTGGTCATCATGAGGCCGCAGTCGCTCGATATGTCTACCGCGGCATCTTTGATCATTATGCTCCATTAGTACAAAAATAGAAGTAATGCTTATGGATATATTCTTTATCATCCATTTTAACATGAAATTCAGCGGGGAATATCTATATAATATTTCAGTTGAATTTTATCAACATGAAAAAAACTGTCATTGGTAAAATTATAATAATATCAAACAAATATTTATTCATTTTCTCATTTGGTGAATCTTAGCCAGCTGATCTGATAATATCTGGTCGGCTATTTTCGTGAAAAGTGTGATAAAACTTACTGCATCTGGTTGAGCCACGTTCTTGACAATTTCATCAATTTTACCTTCTTGTAATGCTTTCATTTTATAATCCATCATATCTTCGGAATCCATGTCAAATCCTAGATCCAGAGGCTCATTGTCCTCTTCTTCATCGTCTATTTTCTCACCATATCTTTCCATAATCTTCTTTATTTCATCACTAAGGTTTGGATCAAAATCACCATCATCAAAGTCTAGATCATCATCTTCCTCTTCTTCGAAGTTTATTTTCTTAGGGAACTGCCATGGTTTCATTGTATCAAGAGGATGGAAGCTATGATATTGTTCTTCCTCCTCTTCTTCTTCATTCTTGTCAATCTTTTCTTGTGAGATATTTGGTGACTTTGATAAAACAATTTCACTTTTATCCTCTTCTTCAAACTCTTCTTTTGCTTCAAAAGGTTTATCTAAACCTTTATTAGTAGCAAAGATTGACATATCTTCCTCTTCATCATCATTTACTGATATATTAGGTGATTTCATTAATTCATCATTTGAATTACTGATATTTTCTTTTGATATTGTTTCTTCAGTACTCTCTTTAGGAACACTCATTTCTGTTTTATTTGCAGAATAATTCTGAGAACTTCCTGATTTTGGACTAATATCAGATAACTTTAATTCAGTAACTTTGAGAAGAGAGTCATCTTTAGATTCATTGTTTTCGTCTTCATCTTTTGTTAATGACATTTCAAATTCTTTGGAGTCATTTCCTTTGGAAATATCTTCAGTAGATAGCAATATGTGGTCTTCTTCATTTGATTCATTTTCTTCATCAGGGAATGTGTCTTTGGAAAGAGTTATGCTTTCCTTTGAAATATCTTCTGTTGATATTGTAACATGATCTTCATCTTTTGATGCATTAGCATCTTCTTTTGATATGTTTTCTAAAGAGTTTGTGATATCTTCATTCTTTGATATATTTGGTGTAAATGATTTATCATTATCAATAGAAATATCAATTGACTTCAAAGGATCTTCTTCGTGAAGTGATGATCCTAAATTGCTTATTTGAGTATTCTCAGCAATTTCTTCTTCCTCTTCTTGTTTAACTAATAATTCCTTCTCTTCAATTTTTGGAGAGTTGACAAGCTTTTCATTGTTTTCTTCTTCTTCTTCAGTTGTTTTATCATTGCTATTACTTGGAATAGATGCTTTGATATCTAACAACGATGATGACTCTTCTTCATCATTTTCAAGAGCATATTTATGTCTCTGCGTTCTTTGGAATGAACGTGGTGGTGAAATTTCCTCCTTCGAATCTTCTTCAACGCTAAGATTTGGTGACATTTGCTCTTTTTCTGGACTAATTTTGAGTGGTGTCGATACGACAACTCCTTTAGAAGGTTTGACAGGTGAAATTGCACTGATTTCTACCTTCTCTTCATCATTTTCATCGTCTCCTTCTTGGCTGTTATTTTGCTTGGCTTGCTTCATCTTGTTCTCATTATCTCTCTTTTCTGTTGCCGTTGTTCCACGAAGTGAAAATCTCTTAACAAAATCGGAAATTGGTTTTTGAACTCTTGGCTTTTCTTCTGGAACTACAATTTCCTCTTTACTTTTCGTAATATCTTCAGGAACTTTGTCATTCTGTGGTGATTTAATTTCAATCTTCTCCTCAAACTTAAGTTCTTCTTCTTCCTCTTCTTCTTCATCGAGACCATCATCGTTATCACTTTGATGAAGTGTTTCTTTGTTAAGAGATGTTTTAAGAACATCAATTTTAACATCTTCTTCCTCTTCTTCGTAGGTTTCTTCTTCTTCAAGTAATTTTTGAATAATTGATTTCGTTGGAGTTTGTTTGCCTGGTTTGAATGCATCATTAGAATCAGAGAATGAATCAATATTCATCTTATAAATGTTCTCATCTGTATCATTCACTCCTTCACTTGATGCATCAGCGTTGATTGGAGATGTTGGAGAAAATGTTTGTTGTTTTTCTGCTCTTCTTGGAGAAGGAGGTCTCTTTGGACTTGATAAAGGCGATTCTTCCTTTAGAGAATCTGATGATGAACTTGATCCATATGAATACCTATGAGATGTCTTTGTTGGTGACTTCGGAGAATTATTTGGTATTGTGATTTGCTTTTGTGGTCTTGATGGTGATATTGCTTCAACTTGATCAGAAATTATAATGCCCTTACGCTTCTTCTGAACCGGATTTGGTGAAACTTCATTTGTATTAATTGATAAATTAGGCGACTGTGAAATACTATCAGATTTCTTAGCAGTAATAGGAGTAGGTGTTGGATCAAATGTAACAGTTGCTCTCTTTCGGCTTGAGGATGAACTCCTTGTTGGAATTTGATCGTAATTTTGTTGTGAAGTAATCTTTGATGATGTACTAGTAGTTCTAATATTTGTTTTATTTTCAGGAACTTTATAATCTACTGTGCTTGACGGTCTGGATTCTTTAGGAACTGAGATTTGTTCATTTTGGTTTTTATACGAGTTTGTAGTATTCTTTTGAGAATAGTTTGTTGTAGATACAGGTTTAGAAGGAATAACATCTGCTGGAGCTTCATATACTTTAATTGCTGCTTTGCGTTTCTTACCAAACGTATCAGATGGTTTTTCAATGGCTTGCTCGGCTTTAGCAGTCGGAACATATGGTTTATATGCATCTGGTTTGGCTGGTTTTGACTCTTGTTGATATTGATTTATTGGATTATATGAACTCGAAGTACTTGATCGAGTTGGCATTGCCACATATGGTTGGTTAGTGTTATATGTTGAATTCGATGTGAAAAATGACTTGTTTGTGAATTTTGGTTTGTAAGATGAATTTAGATATTGATATTGAGTTGATTCATTCGTTGATGGTGTATAATCCGGATAGATATCAGCTAGTGTTGGCATTTGATGCCTTTCTGATTGAAAATACTTACCCTTATTAAATGATTTAGTCATTATACATTAAAATTTAAAACGGACACTCAAAGATTTCATAACTATTCAAAGCAATAGTAGACTCAAGTATAAGCGAAAAATCGATTGCATGGTATATCTACTAAAGAGAACCATAATGTTTACTATATTTTTTGGCAATTTTATCATCGAGTTTAAATCATATCACATCAATTGCCGAATATTATTACAAAAGGTAGGTCATTAATATTTCAATTCACTAAAGATCAATAAGCATATATTTTAAGTTCAAAACATATAAATAATCCATAAACAAGATATTATATATCTATATATAAATCAACTATTAAAATATAGTGAATAGTATAGTAAATTCTTGTCATTTGCATATCAATATTTTTCATCAAATTTCAATGATCGAATCCCATTTCTATCTGTAGAAATATTTTGTATTCAGCTAATATTTTTCGATGTCTTATTGTTGTCTCGATAAAATGCTTAGAATTTTGTTGTAAGAAATATAGTTATAAATAACTACTTCCATCACTCTTCGGCATATTTAAATCTATCTAATTGTCCTATATTTTGCAAATCACTAGTTCATCTGCTATTAAGAAAAGCCAATTGAAGAATTTAAAATAATTCTTGCCTGAAATGAAGTAATTTTCGACCACCATAAAGAAGACTACATCCAATTGCTAAATACATAATATATTCTGTATGTAATCGCGATAATTTATCGACAAGGCCGATGTCATTCTAAAAGCAAATTCTATACATATCGGATTTACGATAACGTCTTTTCATCTGAGCAAAATTTCAACTAACATATAGCCAATAAAAAATGTACATAAACTCAATTGGCCTTGTGTCCATTTAAATTTTGTCACTTTTTTGTATTTATCCGTTTGTGTAATGAATTTATTTAATTCCCTAATATAAATACAATTAAACTTTTCTGAAATCAAAATTTCGAACAAATTTTAGATGGGTACATCAAATACAATTCACTCTTTACTTAAAGCTATCGCAGACAAAGCCCCAACAACAGATATCGAGAATATCATTTCCAAGAGGGTCCAGAAATACATAGCAAATCCTTTATTCTTTGAACTTCCGCTGAGTTCAATTTATAGAATTTTTTCAAACGCAGGAACAGTCAAAGCCGCTATCGCCGCACAGTTCCTTGAAACATTATCAGCAAAGCATGGCAGTAATGCAATTGTAATTCTCAAGACAATGAGAGTTTCATGTGCGTCAGTCCAAGAAATTTGCAATGTGTTCAGCTGTGTACGTGGAGCGCCATTGTGCGACAGACTTGCATCTTTTATACATCCAGAAAAGTTCGAAAAAGAAAAGCCTGCTGACTATGAACCTAATATTTTCATAGCAGCAAGAAAAGGGAGCAAAGGCAGCATAAAGTACATGTTGGACACAGATATCGATCCAGACATTCGCGATAAATCAAACAACACACCCCTGATAATCGCATCTTTATATAATCAAACAGCAATCGTAGAATTACTACTCGATGGAGGCGCTAACATCAATGCATGCGATGAAATCGGTCGAACGCCATTAATATGCGCTGTATCTGTTGGAAATATCGAAACGATCAAAATTCTCTTAAATCGCGGAGCAAATGTTAATGCATACGATAAGGAACGCCAAACGGCTTTACATTTTGCTGCAGCTTCCGGCAAAATGGAAATAGTTCAATTATTAATGGAAAAAAATCCAACAATTGACGCAAAAGATTCAGCTGGTTTTACACCATTACTACTGGCCATCTCAGATGCGCAATATGAAGTGGCAGAATATCTAATGGAAAAAGGAGCCTCAATTGAAAGCCAAACGTCAAGTCTTAAACGACCAATTACATTTGCAGCAGCTAACGGTAACGCTAAACTTGTTCGAAAGCTTATACATAGAGGATCACTCATAGATCCAAGAGATTCTAACGGATGGACGCCGTTAAGCCACGCCGCAAGTAGAGGACACGCGGATGTTGTTTCTATACTCATCAAAAAAGGCGCAAACGTTAACTCTAAGGCCTTGAACTTATGGACTCCTTTAATGCACAGTTCATATGGAGGCTACAAAGATGTTGTTATACTATTAACTGATAATGGAGCAGATGTGACGTTTAAAGACCCTATTGGGCGGTCTGCTCTTCATTTCGCTGCAAATAACGGAAATGTTGACATTATACGGCACTTGATTGATAAAGGACTAGATGTAGATCAGAGGGATTGTGGTGAAAAGACTCCTCTGATGTACGCTGCTTTGGAAAATAAAGCGGAAGCTGTTGCATTTTTGTTAGAAATGGGAGCTGATCCGATAGCTATTGATGAGAAGGGATTGACTGCTTATGAAATGGCACGACTCGAACCTACAAGAGCTGTGCTTAGACCATATATGAAAGAATTGATTAGATAATCTTCTTTCCTTTTTTTATATTTTTATTTGTTTTTATTATATTTTGTCTAAACAACAAAATTCTATTATTAAATCTTCCTTGTTTATCTCTTGAGTGCAATAATCAATTCATATTGAGATATATTTTGCATTTTTAAGAAAATTCATAAATATATCATAGCAAAAACTTCATAAAATATCTTATTTTAAGAGCGTAATTCGGCACTTTATTGATTTATCAATCAATATCGAATTTCATTGTTAATTATCATGAGATTGGTTGCTACGAATTACATTTCAACATAACCATAACTATATTTTCATAATATGGAGCAAGAGCCACAAAAACCTAATTACAGGATATTTGATCGAAATATAAAAATGCCAAATTGTTATTCTTGTATAATTTTAAGTAGCTGCAATAAGACACTTTTAAGATACAAAATCAATGGTCTTGTACGAAAAATATTGCATTGTAAACGTTAGATTTCTTAATTAACTAGATATTTCATAAATATACAATACAGATAATGCAAATCAATCATAAAATTTGGCTGAAAATCTTCCTTTTTATACGATCACGACAAACTTTGTTCTACTATATTAGATATGCATTTTTATTATAAAATTTTCGGGAAACAATTTTGAGAGCTTACAAAATTTTTGAATTGAATGAAAGATTTTAAAATTGATATAAACCGCTTAGCGGGAGGTTTTGTCATTATTCCACAAGGAACTCTCCTCTAGGTGTCCTAGTATCGTTATTAATAGAGGGGGAGTAGAGAAGGTTCACTTTTATGGTTCATCCCTTTCAACCAATCTTTTTATCCATTCCATTCTTTTAATATTCAACATTTCCTTTTAATTCATTAGAATACAGAAGGCTATACAATAGATCTAACCAATTCAACTTGTCACTAACCGATCACTGTGAGATGACTTTTTATATCCTAGCAGGTACACATTAGTTTTCATATCAAACAAATGTAGACCTTTGTCTCTAAGATACACTAGGTTTTTCACACAGGTTTCTGTTTACAAGTCATTCACTTAATTTAAAACTAGAGTTACTTATTCAATTTCATAATTTTTTCATTTTATGTATTAATCAACTTCATAATCCTCGCAATATATACACTTATGTGCTCACTGCACCTAATCATATATATTTATTACTCTATCTTTATTCACTTTCCCAAGTTTTCTTTATTAATATTTTTATCCCAACATTATCATACAAGTCATGTATATATTTACATTCCAATAATGTTCTTTCTATTCCAGTATTTCTCTTATCATTACTTTCATACAAAACTAACTGAATTTGATATCATTTTCAAAATACATAAGAAGAGTGCATCATTTAGTACAAATCAATCATCAACCAGGTCATGTTTATTCATTAAGAACATTCTTTTTCATGTTTCTCCTAATTTCAACTCATCAAAGATTTCAATCAAGATAATTCAACTTCAAACAACCAAAAACAGGCCAATGTTCATTATATGTTCAATGATATTACATGGTAATTCATTCCACATAACATTTTACATACAAATTCATATCATTCATTTCAAATCATTCAATTTTACATCCCAATTCAACTTTCTAGCAATTTATATCAATGTTTTCTGAAGGTTACAATGTTAACAAGTATTACAAATTTGTTCAGAACTGTTACATGGATTTTCTGGTTTCTGGTTTCCGAACAATTTTTGATTTTTTGTTTCTCTGATTCCTATGTTCATGAATTGATCTGTTTCAGTTCCATTTGTTACAACTGTTTCAGTTTCCTTTCAATTCAATCCGAACATATTTGATTTTGCTTCCAATTTGTGTTCTGTTTCACTGGTAGATCAAGTTTCACTTCTGGCTACATTTGATCCCGAACTGTTCCTGATTCAATCTGTTTCAGTTCACAACAAGATCATTTGTTCCAATTTAGTTTCTGCTTCACTTGATCACTTTGATTTTATCTCGTACACTGTTGATCTGAAGGATTTTGTTTCATGGTCCTTATTAGAACACTGTTTTTCAATCCAGATCGAACATTTGTTCCTCTGAACACATATTTGCTTCTGAACTCTGTTCCAAGTTTCACGTAACTTGTACTTTGTTTCAGTTCATTTTGTTTCTGGACACAATTGACCAGTTTCATTATGAGATCATTTGTTTCTTTGTTTCTGATCAGTTCATTCCAGTTCATATTATATCATATGATTCATTTCGTTCCTCTGAACACCTATATGATCCTGAACTCTGTTCCAAGTTTCATGGACTCTGTATCAGTTCATTTTAGATCATTTGTTTCATTTCGTTTCTGATTACATTTGTTCAGTTCTTTATTGAATCATTTGTTTCATATTGATTCTCTGATCAGTTCACCTCAGTTCCTAACTCATGATATCTGATTCTTTGTTCCTCTGAACATTTATCACTCAGAGCTGTTCCAAGTTTCTCGTAACTTGAACTTTGTTTCATTCCTTATCTTTGAATCTGTTTCAGTTCATTCGAATTAGATCATTCGATTCTTTGTTTTCGAACACATATTACACCATTTGTTTCATTCCGAACTGTTATCAAGTTTTATCCAGTTCATTTATTTTATTTTCATTTGTTTCAGTATTCACTTTTTTATTGAGACTCATAAGCACAGTTCAGTGACTCTTTTCAAGTTGTGATTCATAAGATATAAGCTATCTATGTTTTTCTTTCTTGAACCAAATGAGTTTATCTATAACTAAGCTAAGAAGAAAATAAGTTTTCCTTATGAAGATGAGATAGATGAGCACTGAGTTCCCACTATCAATTCATTTTTCTACATCCAGTAACTATTAGTCTTGTTTCTTAAGACAACAGAAGAAGAAGACAAAGCTGATTCACAACCAATATATTGGTACTGTTTCACAGATTTAGTTACTGATGATTTTTTCATAAGAATTCCCGATGATTCACTAGTTTTCTGATCCAGTGACTTCAGGGTTATTGAGATTGTTCATTGAGATATTTCCTTATACACATTTATAAGCATAATTTCCTATGAATAGTTTTCTCTCTTTTCATTTCACTGAACTTTTTTCCTTTCCTTTCCAAACAAACAAAAGTTTTCCAATCCAATTCCCTCTGTTACATCAATTTGACAATTAGTTACATTTATTTCAACCACAGTTCTTTTTTATTTGATCAATCAACCAAACTCGATCTCTCAAACAATTTCATTAATTAAATTCATTCATAACTCGAACAACTCAGACTTTATTTTAATGAAGATTTGATCAAAAAAAGATTTGTCACTTATTTAATTGTCAAATGATGATTACTTTTATATTATTGTTTTATATTGTTTTGTATTTTAGATGATTGATTTAGTACTGATGCACGTATGATTCTTCTGATATCTAGCCATAAGTTTATATGTCTCCAAAAAAAGCCACAATGGTTTTCGATTCACTGGGTTTCCGAAGAAGGATATTTCAGGTGTTCTTGGTTTCAATGGTTTCATAGATGTTTCCGGTATGGTTTTCTGATTTCATTTTTGGTTCTTTTTTTGAATGGTTCTTGAGTGTCGCTTTTGGTGTCAGTTTTTGAAGGTTCACGGTTTCTTGGTTTTCATGGGTTTTTCTAATTTGATGGATCAAATATGGTTTCAGATGGATTTTACTATTGGAATGCAGTATTTTTTTACAATAGGAAGAAGTGGCAGTGGCATAATTTGGATGAACAAAAAACAGGCTCTGATAATTTGATAATTTTTTTCGGAAGGTTTTTTCTTATTATTCCGGTTTCTCTTACTTTTTCACACTTTTTTCCTTGTTGCAAAAGGATTTTTAGTGTGTTTTTTCTTTATTGTCCTCTCTTTCCTTCCGATTCGACCTTTTTTTGGGAATTTCTCGAATAAACGGTGTGTGAATACACAAGAAACAACGACACAATATATCCATTTACTTGGATATTTTATGTCATGTATTCACATACAAAACTTTTACCCCAAATCTCAAAAATTTTTTTTCTAAGTTTATTTTTTTCAAATGATAGTTCGATTCAATTTATTTTCTATATATCTTTCAATTGAATCCGTCATCTAATTTATCGGTTATAATAGATGTTATAAGAGTAATGATATTTTTAGCATTTAATTGAAATGTTTATATTTTGAGTCACACACAATTTTGAATTTTCGGGAAAAGTAGCAATTGATATATTTAGAATATCCATGCATTTTGGATCGGATTAAAATTTTGAAGTCTCGTAAATTAAAAATCAATATCGATGTTTAAATCCAATCATATATCATATGAATATTCAATACCACAAGTCGATGTTGATAAATAGCCATTTGGAACAATACCATTCATATTGAAATCGATAACAGCTTATCATCATTAAGTGAAATCTTCCGATTAACGTATGTAAGAAGGGTTTTTAATTCCTACCTTATAATTCGATAATAATTGATAACAAAATCTTAGATAACGTAACTTCCAATGCACTCCAACAAGGATTGCTTATGTTTCCATGAGGAAATTAATGTTTGCGCTTCCGAATCCTTTGTTTTGATCATTATACTACAAATCATTCAATATTCCATACCTGACTTCAATTATAATTAATTTTAGAATGATAGCCAGGTCAGGTATGAGGGGCTTCCAGGGGCTGCGCCCCTTCTAGCCCTGAAGATGTTTAGTATAACTTTGTCCGGACAAGTAAGGGTCTATCGTCGCTACAGGAAAAGTTACAGGCGTTCCAAGGAAGTATACTTTGAGAAGCCTTCTTCTGGGTCGAAAACATTATATAATGTGTCGCTTTTCACAAATTATATATGTTTTCATGTTTTGTCACTTTTCTGTCACTTTTCAGGAAAAACATTTTTATTATTATATATAAATGAATTTTACAAAACCACCGTTACCCTTCTTTGGAAATAAGAGTAGATGTAAAGATATTCTATTGAGAGAACTTAAGAAACTACCGAATGGTCTAACATTTGTAGATTTGTTCGGTGGAAGTTTCTATATATCCCA